ATGAGGTGCTCATGCAGGCAGCAGGCATGAATATTTGAATTAAAACTGTTAAATAAAGTCACAAAAGTAAATTGAGGTAACCTAACCTAAATACACAACTTCTGCATTTTGCTTTTAACTTTTCAAAGCCGTCGCTGATGATAGAGCACTTTTGTTTGTTGAAACACGATGTCTCTTTGGGGACCTCATTAAACAGCTTTAATTTTTTCTTTCTTTCTTTTTGATATCTTTGTTATTGTAATGGCATTAGGTCTGCAATAATATTCACTTTTTCTTATCATTAGTCTCTTCATTCATTGATTCATTGTTTGCTCTGAATGTCATCAAACAGAGCCTACAGTGATGTTGTAATGTCTGATGTTGTCTCATCAAAAGTTTAAAACACATAGATCTCAAATTGTGTGGGAGGTAAGACTTGAAAAAGGCGCAAATTACCACATCTAAGAAGCTGGGACCTTGTAATCTTTGGCACTCTTTGACACATCTTTCACAGTTGTTTTGAGAACATTTGAATTTAACAACCCAATAAAAATCCAAATTTATTAAAAAGCACTCTTCTAAAAACAACAGACTTCTGTATGAGCAAACATGTGATGTGACGCATTTGAGCAAAAGAATGAAATACTCAGGCAAATTCACTTAAAACAGGACAGTAAAATGGTAATATGTACTGGGAACAGTGATGAAAAAGAGTTAAAAAAGCGCTCATCTCTCATGTCAACTCATCTACATCTCCAAGGTCCAAGGCATCGTTCCCAGAATCAGGCTAGAAGATAGGAGCAAACTATTTAAACAACATCCACAAGTTCTGGACATGTGGATTTTCAACTGTTCAGGTCATCTGGGACAGGTCTGCTTTCTGTCTTCAGAGTCAAACCCAAACACGGAGAAGCAGCGTTCAGTTTTAAAGCCCTTGCTTTTATGAGATCACTATGACAAATTATTTCAATGTCTGCTATTTCAATACAAATCTGCACCGTAATATCTATGTTTCTATTTTAAACTAATATTGGTCAACCACTAATCTCCAGCTCCTGTCTTTGCTGAGTTTATTTTTCCTGTTTTGATTTTTATGGGCTTTTTAAAATGAACTTTAAATGTCATCTTTGAATATTTTGAAGGTATTTCTTTCACTATGTTTTTATTGACCTTTGTAATGGCCTTTGTCATGCTAAATCATCCTTTGTAATGTCTTGTGTAAAGCATATGAATTCCCTTTCCTCCAAATGTGTTATATCAATAAACTTGCCTTGTGTAGGATAAGATAATTGTACATACAGATTATGACACTGGGATTTTTCACTTTTATTTTCTTCATTTGCATGTATCCCTTATTGAGATGCTGCTACCTTGCAGACTCTTGACTTCATTTCTTTTGAGACTGGCGACCTCCAGTGATCTCATACCCTAGATCCAGATCATTGAAAGGTTACACTTGTGGATCCACCCACCACATGTCCTAAAGAAGACTGGACACTGAAACACTTAGAAGAAACCATTTTATTAATATTCTACTCTGGGAACTTGCTAATTTAATTTTACTCAAAAGATGACTGCCCAGGTGTCTAGTGTCTTTGTCTGCACCGAAAAAGGTGAATTGTGCTGCAGATGGAAGAGGAACTTAAGACAAGCAGTAAGGGGAGTCTGCTGAGCACAAGAGGGCAGAGCAATCCAGAGCTTTGGAGCTGGAACTTAAAAGACTTGGTCCCCCCAGAGCTTCAGTAGAGACCTTAGGTAGAAGCAACCGGTCAGTGGATCTAAGCATCCTCAATAAAAGATGTGGCTTTAAAAGGTCTGAGAGGTGTGCTCGATCCAGACATGTTGTGATAAAATCATGCACAGGGAGTCAAAGGATATGTGCTCCAGTTACTGCAGTTTACAGAATCAGCTGACTTGATTAACACCAACATGTCGTGCATAGCAATAACCAATAAAGTGATAATGAAAGCATGCTTAACTTATTCAAAAATCATTGAAAGATAGAAGGACAGGTCAATTGATGAAATCCAGAGATGGAAAAAGCTTGATTTCACAGCTGAGCTCTGCACCTTTAGGTCATTTTACAATTGTACTTTTGACCTGCTGCTTGCGCAAAAAGCCGCTGCTTTGCATTACATTGCAAAGAAGGTGTTCTTCAGCATCCTGATTTCGTGCAGTGTTACTCCTGTAATTTCCATAAATTTCCCTGCGATGACCTGCTGCTTCACCTGCAAATGATACACACCCTAGGTTAATGTTTGAGTCAAGGTTAAAGAAAGGGGAGGCCGCTGAACATCACTTAGGTAATTTGGTTGAGGTTACAGTGCAGCTTCAGGCATGTTAGATTATAGACTTGTATATTCAAAATCTGACCCCGCATGATCACCTCACACATCACACTGACAACAACATACACCCATTCCACATCCAACCCAAATCCCTGCCCATTTATCACTGTCTCTTTTGAACTCCATTTATTCTGTCATCCAATCAGTGTGAGGACATATCATTAAATTGTGGCGGCGCATTTTCAATTTCAGAATTAAAGGACACATTTTATAGAGGGGAAAGTAAGTCAAGGCTGCAGCTGTTGGACATATTTGGAAGTGCTCCTGCGGCGTCTCTTTAGCTCCTCAGTGTGAGTGAGAAAGCAGGTTTGGATGCCTGAAAAAAAAGGGAGGGATTTGACAGTGTAATTTAGCTGCAATAGAATAATCATCCCCTGAGGAGAACATTGAATCAGGAGCACGAGTTTCATGCAGCAGCCCCTGCAGCTGACTTCTATCATTATGAAATTATAAAAAGGATAAAAGAAGCACGTATACATCCATTATAAGTAAGTCATCTCATCCTTTAATCATGCCCTGATTGACAGAAATCTCCACACTTTCTTTTATCAGCAGGCCCGCTTTAATAGAGTACATGCTTCCATTAGGGCATGTTGCCAAGCTGCACGGTGAAGGCATTTGCAGTTTTGAAAGGTTGCATGAATTAAGTAGACCTACCTTGCCTGTACGAGTGAATAATGGGTGGTGAACAAATTACATTAGTTTAATTAAAATTTTAAAGTCAGGAGAATGAATGAAGCTCAGATATATGGTTATTGATTTTAGGGAGTAGAGTGAGAAAGTGTCCAAACTAATACTGACCAACTAATTAACTGGTGAGAAGGTTTTTCATTCTAATTAACGAGTCACAGACTCATTTTCCTCAGCACAATATACAGAAGTATTATTTTCACTTTCAGAAACTTTCGAGCTTCAATGTCACCATGGACTGTTTGAGTGTTCCCCTCGCAAAAGTAATTACTCGGCTAATAATTTAATTTAATCTCAATAATTCCAGACAAGATGACGCATGACTGCGCACACTTAGGCTGTTGTAAATTAAAGGATAATATACTTCATAAGCGAGTAGGCTCCTCCTGACACTGTATGCTCGCAACTATGAAACTGAAGGAATGAAATAAAAGACAATTCTTTATATTCAAACACCAAGTGGGAGATAAATCGTCTCCCACTCGTCTAAATCGGAGAGAGCTGGAGGAAAAGTAGAGAGTGCCTGAGTGGAATCAGTTCCTACATGGAAACATGAGCTGATTTTTACACCTCACAATGAGTCTGGAAAAGTTCCCAAATCCCATCCCTGCGTAAGTTTGGATCCCCTGCTGAAAGAACCAGAAGCTCTTCCTCTAAAGGATCAACTTTTCAGGGAAATCTGAATGCTAATGCTACTGCAAACATTTTCATTCTTCAAATGAAAACATGTAGTTGCTTTTAGGGATTCAAACCTCCTGTAGTGGTTTTGTAAGAGAGCGGAACCACCTGTGCAGGCTTCTGCAGCAGAGGTAGCTATCTGACAGTACTCATCTCAATCATGTTGTGCCAACCATTATAGGGGCATAAAAGGTGTAGAAAAATCAATATTGGTTTTAATAATCCTGAGCCCCTATGTGGAAAGCTTAATTAAACATGTGATACATAAAGTGCAGGTGAAAGTTGGTGCGAGAAACAGATGGTAATAAAAATTAAGTCATAAATTTCAGCTTCAAATGTAATTACGTACACTAATTAATCCTGCTGAGTCAGAGATAACCCCCAACCTCCAAAACCTACAATTACTGTCTCTAATTTTAGGTTAAAAGGTGATTTCTAGGGAAGAGAGACAGAGGAGAAAACACACCAAAAGTTAAGAATATATGTGAAATGTACAAGCAGATGTATTATCTTGCAAAAAGGGACACTTGAAACTTTATTAAGCAATTTTTCATTGAACAGGTCAGCTAGTCTCTCTGCTAAAGAAATTAGGGAAATTGAAAAAGATGTTTGGTGGCTAGTGCTATGGCTAAGACCCTATATGTACTGTTGATGAAGTTAGGTGCTGTTCTGCACATTATTTGTGACTATAGATGGGCTTTTTGGTTGAGGTTTGCTCATGGCTCCTCAGACCGCTGTGTATTGCTATCGTGCGGTCGTTACTAAAGTTGGTATAACTAAAGAAGCAAGCAGTCGGCAACATTCATCTCTCGACAGGGTGTCTAACTCGGTGGTATGGTATGTTTGACCCTAAATTAATTTAAGCCGGAATATCCCTTTAATTGCAGGCCTTATCTTGATAGGCTTGTTACATCTTCCATTTTTTTTCTATCTATCTATCTATCTATCTATCTATCTATCTATCTATCTATCTATCTATCTATCTATCTTATTTTTATTTAATGTAATGGAAACAGCTGACTCCGGTGAATTTTCATATGACCTAAAAATCGCTCACTATTACTACGGCCTAATTGTCTGTATTGAACAGGCTGCTCTGCTTCTTTATGTCTCACAGACGGTGTTAATGTTTCTGTCTCATTACATTATCCCGGGTAAAGCTTTTGAACCCTATCAATCAATGAACTCATGTAATCATCCACAAACATATGTACAGCATGTACATATAACCAGATGCATGAACTTTACGTGAAGACGTCACGGTAGCTACCCCCCCCCCCCCCCAGCGCGTTGACGTCACCAGGAGCACGTGGGTTTGTTATTGCAGGAAGTGAAGATGGCGGCTCAGTCGTTGCTTTCCGAGTCTGTTCTCGGATGGTCTATTTTCACCTTTATACTCTTGGTAAGCAAGTGTAACCTTGTCTATTCGTTTTATTAACCAACAGAACGTCATACGATCAGTTTGAATGTTTTATTGAGTGAAAAGGCGGCTGTGTTAATGCGCAACCAGACCTGACATGGCTACGATGTATTAACGCCAAAATTGGCTTTGGATTTAAGCTAACATTAGCCGTGACACACTTCGGCTGTTCTGTCGGAGGCGCTCAGTTAAGGATTAAGTCTACCTTTAGTGCTGTATTTTACACTGTCAGGAAGGATAGTAACGTAAACCAGGTCAAAATCAGCGGGTATTCTTTCTTCAGTGGACGATTTAGTAACATCTCCAGGTGGATGTTTCCAGGAAACGACAACAACCCAATTTATCCTGTTAGCTTTCAGCACTGGGTCCTAAATGACACCAGACTTTAATACACGGTTTAAAGTTATTTAGTTTTTAACAAACCTAAAGCAGAGGCTGATTTTCACCGTTGATACTGCAGATAATATGTTTGTTACCTGTACTTTCATGTAAACTGGGTCATTTGGATTGGTGGCTTCAGTCTCTATCAGATACTAAAAGTTTAATATGATCAGTCCAGGTAAATATGTATAGAAGAAGCTAACACCTGTGAGCTTATAATAAGACTACATAAAGTTGACTGAGTTGATTACAAGCTGAGATGTAGCTTAAAAATGCTATTGTGTGCAGTCTATGTGTGCAGGTATGAATGGGGTCACTTACAAAATGTTAAAAACACGATGAATTGAGATAATTTGCTTGTTTTTTCCCCCCTCAATAATCATCATTTGAATATTATATATTTTTCAAGTATTTCACTGTATTTGACAGTGTAATGGGAATAAGAAGCATATAGGGTAACTCCTGTTTCAACACAATACTTGATATCATGTCCACAATAACAACAATATTACCACACAGTGACTCAATTACAACTATTAATTACAAGAGAGTTCTATAACGATACAAAAGGATATCAGATAAACTGAAGTATAAAAAAATACCTTAAACAGATGAAGTGCACGATCTCTCCCAGTTGTGCCACTGCGAGGAGACATGAAGTTTGAAGTCAGGGAAATATGTTGTGTGCTGTATGTTAAGGATAAATATTTTAAATTAAAAACTGTATGTATGTTATAATTTTACATGCCCAGGGTTATGATAACCGGGTCCCGCTAGTCAAGATGATGATTTATTTCCGTATTGGTATTTTAAGAACTATACAGATTTAAGTTTATTTCAGTTTCAGGCTTTACTAAGGTCAACATAAAGATGTCTCAAGAAGTATCAAGTAGTTCACAGCTGTATGGTGGTGCAGTGATACCTGGCTCAGAGACCTTTTCTGTAGTATGGTATTAAAATGTTCTTGGCTTCCCTCTGAGAATTCTGGCTTCCTCCTACAGCCCACAGACATGCTGGTTTACCGGTGACCATAAATTGCGTGTAGATATGAGTTTGAATGTGTCAGTTTGTCTAAATATTATCTCCGTGATAGGCTGGCAACCTGTACAGTGTGTACCCTGCCTCCCACCCAATAACAGCTGGGATAAACTTCACCTCCCTGTGACCCCAAATGAAACAAAAACGTACAAATAACAGATGGATGGATCTATTACTTTGATAATACATCCTGTTTTTGTTTACTTTGTCCCATTTGACTTTGTCACTAAGGAGTCAAGAAAACAAGGTCTTAAACTTAGTAAGTTTTGATAAATTCAAACAAAGTTTAAGGACTTTTTTCAAAGAAATCCAGCAGCAAATGTTGGATGTCTCCTGTGTTCTTGCTTGGTTGAAACTCAAACTGCATGCACAGTTTAAGTGGCATCGTTCCGACTTGATTTTATACGTAAGATTAGGCCTGGACGATATAGAAAAAAAGCATATCGATAAAAAATAAATCATATTGATCGATATCGATAATTATCGATATAATTATTATAATTATTTAACATATATTTTAATTGCAGCCCTGGATGTTTTATGCTATTGCTTAATGACATACTTTTAATAAAGAACACACAAGCACTAAAATCAAATTCAAACCTTTATTCAACCACCTTTTTATTTATTTTTTTACCACAACTGAAAGTTTTTTAAAAAAGAACTTAAAAAAAAAAAAGAAATCAACTTAAGTGGCCTGAGTGACGTCAGTAAATACTGACAAACATAAAGACTAAAGTGACCAGAAAATCTGATAAATAAATATTTAAATAGTCTTTTGATGAAAATAAACAAAACAAACAAATATATAAATAAACAGAATAGCTTTAGGTGGGAATAGCATACTACCAGTTTTAACTGTGTGGGAAACTGCCCACAGCCTGGTGTCTCCCGGGGTCGGGAGATTTCTTTTTTTAATTATCATATGATTGACTTAATACGCAAACTGAGCACGAGAAGCAGGACTTATCCACGCCGGTGTTGTGTCGTAGAATGCACCCCTGCCGAACGCACCCCCTGCTAGTAGCCATGATCCAAATACTCGCGTATGAGCTCATTTTCTTCCACTTTAAGAAGCTAATGAGTGGACGGGATGCAGGGGTGCATTCTACAGCACAACACCGGAACATATTTCCTCCGCACCCTTCTCAGCTTTTCAACCCCTGACCCGTTTTCATGCCTGAAGCGCTGTGTTTGAGAAATACTTGCGGCCGGGCACTTCATATCGCGGGTCGAGAGTGGCTAGAAGCTGGTCGAAGCCAGGCTTTTCAACGGTAGTTATTGGCAGCATGTCACTGCATAGGTGATGTCCTTATGCCGCTTGGACGCTTTGTCGTATTTTGGCAAGAAACGAAGTCCAGTTTGGTCTGCTTCACATGCTTTGTGCTGGTGCTGGCAGCGGTTCCAGAGGATTCCTCCTCCGACGACGTGGAGCCGCGGCGCGGCCGACACAGCTCGTACTCCTGCGGGTGCGATCGGTTTAGATGGTAGAACAAGTTGGTTGTGTTACCAGACTTGGTTTTTACTAATTCTCTGCAAATTTTGCAAACGACCGCTGTTCGCTTTCTGTCAGACTTGTAAAAACCAAAACATTGCCATGTTGGTGAACTACTGAAACCTTTTTTCGGGACAATTTCCTCCGCTTCTCCTTGCTGTAACATTTTTTCTAATACACGTGCTGTCTGTTGTGGTTTGAGAGGGGCTGGGCTTGGTGCTGTAGCGTACCTGGGTCTGCGTTTGTGATTGGTTGGGAGGAAGTAATGACTGTAGTAAAAGCTACATGATAGGCTATGATGAAAAAGAAAGGGAAACTGTGTTTTTCTATCGAACTTTTTATCGACCCGTTTTTTTTCTATCGCACCACACGTCTATCGATCGATATATATTGTTATCGAATTATCGTCCAGCACTACGTAAGATCTGATCTTACTGTCCTCAATTTCTCCCACTTTAATGAAAGCCTTCAACTCGGTCAGCTAGCTGGGTAATCTGCTGCCTGTTTCAGTGCTCATTACCCCAGCTGTCATTCAGAATCACATGGCTAAACCAGAAGCCGCCAAGAAGAATGTCTGGATGCCAATAAATCGCTCTGCTTCCCCACTCACCACCAGCAGCCTTTATATTTGAACAAACCTTTCAATGGATCTTATTTGGATGCAAAGCCTGCGTCATTACCTGACAAAACAAGCAGCCAGAGGCTTAAGGCTACGGGCCTTTAATTGATCCTGTCTGTGAATGGCAGCCCTTGATCTGAAGGGACTAGTTTTAGCAGTGTCCTCACTTCTTACAGCCTGTGTGCCTGGAATATGACCTTGTCATTTTGAAGGCCTCTTTGTCTAATGAGTTTACTGTTCGCGACAACAAAAGCAGTCTCTTATTTTGTCCTTTTGATGTTAAACAGCAGCAGAATAAATTAGCCAACGCATTGATGAAGTCAAAAAGCAGCAGAGTTTGCTTTGAAATGTGCAAAATATAGAAGCTCAATTTTCTGTCATTACCATCACTTCTCATCTCAACAATATCAGAGAGTCTGTTCTCACTCTGTTGCTAAAAAGGAGGAGGGAGTGTGATGATATAATCAGATCAGCTGTTCTCGCAGCACTTGCAGTCAGGCTACTCTCAGTTTATAATTCCCTACTTGTTGTTAGCACTTTTGAGTATTTCATTTTGGAAATTAGCACATGCACACACATACAAGCTCACAATGAATGCAGGGTTTCTAAGCTGTGTTGATCAGGCCTGGGAATAAACATCAGGAACAGAGTGGGATGAAGTCAAACAAAATATTGCACCGCAACCCTGATCAATAGAAAACACACAAAGATATCAGGCTGTTTGTCACAGAAGGGTATTATACCATATTGCATTATTTATTAGAGAGCTTTTTGGCCCCTCAATACTTTTTTAAATATTTAGTTATCTGCTGATATGGAGACCCGATTCAGTACTTCTATTTGCTGATATGATGTAACTTCTCCACTAGAAAACTGGTGAACATGCAGTACTGTACACTTAATCTGTAAGCTATATGTATTATCAATAAGACTGATTATTATGATCACACAGAGCCACTTTTTCTAAATTCTCGTGTCATGAAATTTTATGATCTGTTTTATTCTAAAATAATGCAAATTATGTTTAGGGAAAAATCAAAAATGCTCCTTTACTCAATACAGAAGTTCTTTTCAATTCAGGACAGTCTGTATAATCTCAGAGGTGCTTGCAAATTTACTGTACAAAAAGCTAAAAAAGGTATGAAAAGGAGATGTGTCTCCATTACTGGAGTTAAATTCTGGAATGATGCCAACACAAATCTAAAAACGTCATTCTTTTTTAGTTTTTAAGAAAATGGTTTGTAGAGCTATTTTTGAAGCTAAGTGCGATTAATTGTCTGTTGTTGTGGTTTCTTTGCTTTTCTGGAGGTCGGTAGTCTAAAAAGTTGACAATACGAGCTTTTATAAGCAGTCTGCTTCTGCCTCTGCCTTTTTAGTCAATATTCAACACATAATTCTTGATTTAGTGATTTAGTGTGAAATGTCAATATTGTGAACAGTATTTGGTGTTGTCATGACTGAATAAACAACTACTACTACTACCACTATGTTCTTTACTGTACAGCTCTTGTAAGGTGGCGTCTGATATGTAGTATTGAGAGGGTAAGATAAACACCGGATCCAAAGGCTCTAAATGATGTCAAAAACCTCAAACCACATTTAAATTCTGCTTCAGATTATACCCAGTTCATATCAGCTGATGTAATCAAGCAGGGTGAGATGATCAGCTCTGATAGCCGATCCTCAATCAGTTAAAAATGCCCGGTCCAACTCTGAGATCAAGATCTGGACATCCTAATTTTTTGAGTGTTGGTTTTTGAATTAAAATCTAAAATCTTTCATTATTTATTTCCTTCAAATGTTTCTCACTCAATAAGACTGCACGCACTCAGAAATAAGGTTTGAAATGTACATGAATAGTGTCTTATATCCTCATATATCTTCATAAAAACTCTCTTACTTATAGCACTATTATTGTTGATTGATTTTAACCCATTTTTCCCCCTGCTGCAGATTATCCTGGCTTTCTGTTGGGTCTACATCCGTAAATTTCAAAGTCGCCAGGAGAGTGAAGTTGTTTCTACTATCACAGCAATATGTGCACTGGCCATTGCTCTGATAACATCTGCGCTCCTACCGGTGGATATATTCCTTGTTTCATTTATGAAGTATCCCAATGGCACCTATAAGGTAAGTATCTCTTCATATCACACGGCATCATTAAAATCTATTTGAAAATGCTAATTACTTCCCAGAGGCAGCGTTTAACTTTGCTTTTCAAAGAATTACATCAACTGGAGGCTTTTTCTGTCCAGTTTAAAAGCTCAATCCATTTCTTGGCTCATTAGCTTTTTGCCAAGTCGTTACATTTGCTCCATATATTTGACGGTTTAGCAAAGTGTGTACTGATATCTGTATTTGAACTACAGGTAGTCAGCAGCTTTTTGTGGAGTGGGATTGTATTTATTATTGTTTGGCACCAGTGAGTCATAGCCACCTTGTTATGGCTGGACTTATTACCAACATAATCCCTCTAGTTTGATGAAAGACATTTTCCTCTTTCGGTGCTCTCTTAATTGTTAAACCCTGTGATATAAACATTAAAAAAAGGAAAAAATAGAGGGATGTTAGCGCTGCTTTCTGATAGGAAAAGAGCATCTGAGCACGACTGAAAGTGGTTGAAATAATGGCAATACAGCAACTGACAGAAATGACCCAAGCGTTTTCCTTTGGAGCTGTTATGTTATAAAAACAACATCCGACTTTGAATCTTTTTCGCAGCTTTTCACAGCTTTTATTTTTTCCGTTTGACATGTTTTGCAGTTAAATGTAGGAAACGGAAGTTTATGATGATGGACAACATTCTGAACCCTTGCATGAATAAAAATAGATTTAGACAAAGGTGTGATAGCTTTGAATTTTTCCCCCTCCAGTATGTCAGATTCTTGCATCATTCTCTTTAACATCTAAACTCAGTTTATAAAGCAAGCTAAATAGAACTGCTGGAGCATTGTAATTGCCTTGTATTCTTAACAGTTTGGCAAGTATCCTTTCTAGGGTGTTAGATTCAAATGTTAAACTGTGTTTTTTTTTATATAAAATTCTTATTATTGTACAATAATCAAATAATTAACAGATTAGTGAAATAAACAGAAAAAAACACCATACTTTCTGTGTTGGTGATAATTATCCTCACTTTATAGTCTGTCATCTTACTGATGCATGTTCTTCTTGATCATTTTACTTGTGTTTTTTCTTTACTGCTGGATTTAACTCTAACTTTTCTCCTTGGGTTACATTCAGGAATGGGCATCAAACAATGTGACAAGAGGCCAGATTGAAGACACTGTGCTGTACGGATATTACAGTAAGTGTCTTCTGTTTATTCCTGTTTAAGAGAGTGTAAATAATAAATCACTGGGTACACAAAATCTTAACTTGGGAGGATTTATAGTCAAATTGAATCTCTCTCTTTCTCTGAGCCTTTTTGAGTTGAGCTAATTTTGAGCTGTCATGATAAGAGTGCTTCACCAAACTCTTATAATTTCAACCACAGCTCCCCTATCAAATTGATGACATAGTCAGTTTGTTTCCACAACACCTGGGGCTCGACACACCCACGCAACAATCCATGTGGGCTCAGTAGTCAAACATTGAGATTTATAATGGCTCATTGTTACACAACAGTAAAATTCACAACATATTCTCAGGCAGCATCTCGGCACCTTGTTCTGCACATCCCACCTGCTCTTGAACAGTTTTATTTAGACTGTCATACTGATACCGTTTATTAAAAAACCCAGGATATCATTAAATGATCTGAGAACAGTCGCAGGCTTAAGAAAATACTAAATGGGTAAAAAAAAAAAACATTGCTTTCACTCACCGTGTTCCAACATTGCAATTAAATATCACTGGCAGCCCCCGTGGAAATAATAAATATCAATTCTAAAAGTTATTTCAATGGACAGACAGAACCATTAATTTTCCGTCAGATGCAGCAGGCAGAGATATCCAACATTTTTAAGTCTTTCTTGTCAAACTGCCCTCTGTGGATATTGAAATGAATGGAATTTGTCAGACAGCAGGCAACACTTATCAATGATATGTGTCCACCAAAAATTAAATTTACCGTTTCAGTTTAGATTTGCTGAAATGTTTCTTCTAAATGTAACTTGTGCTGTCTTTAGAGCACATTCAATGTTCCCATCTTAAACTGATACTGATGAACACAAAGTACTAGGATTTGTCTGAACCTTATATAAACCTCACTGAAACATTAATGTCTGTGTTTTTCTGATGGGTCATGATCATTATATTCATTACATTTTCTTCGACTGGTCGCTGTGTTAAGATCTTGCTTTTGCTGCCCTGAGATATTGCCCTTATGCATTATAAATACTGCAAATGTTAATACATAACATGTAAGTGGGTTTTAACATAACCTTGCATTTCAGTGCATGTATGATGTACACTTGCGTCATGGAACAGTGTTTTTATGTGTCAAAATTTTTTTTTTTTTTTTTGGTTTGTTTTTTGCTGGACCTTTGCTGAATCGCAGCAATGACTTATTTTCCCAAAGAGAAAACTTAGGAGGCTGTGGAAATGTCAATAATTTGATTTGATGGTTTGCAAATTATTCAAACCCTACTATCCTATTACTTGAAAAATTGTGCTGTTCTGTTCAGGGTCAACAAAACATTGGAAATAGTTCAGTAATGCAAAACAAACAAACAAAAAAACCTTTAAACTAATTTGGTTTGCAAAGGACATCCAAAAACCATTGTCAGTGAACACATATTACTTCTGCGCCCACAAATGGAGATTAAAACTTGACCATGAAAAAAGGAAACTATGATCCAGTCATACAGGCTGCTTTTCTGGACCTGTTAAAGATGGACAAAGATAATAGTCCAAATGCAGGTTTTGGAGTATGCGGCCATTTAGACAATGCCTAGTGTATTTCAGCAAAACAAAGTCAAACTACCTTTTGTATGAATTACAACAACCCCAAACTTTAAGCAGCAGACATCCTGCATTAGGCGAATTTCATTTTCAAAACTCCAGAAATTTCAAACAATGTCAAACAGTTAACCTCAGTCCTGTTTTTAACTTTTGCTGGCATCAAAATTTAAAATAAGAATTTTTCATCAAACAGAATTTTCCAGGTTCAACATTTGATATATTTTTGCACTATTTTCAATTAAATTGAGGATTTAAACTATTTGCAGACCATCAGATTCTGTTTCATTTTTACACGTTATAACTCTCAAAGTTAAGGCTGTGAAACTGGATCATCAAAGTGGGGTTGAGAGTAGTTAAAATACTCTTCCTTTGATTTCATTGTTGGTCTAATGTTTGTTGATCACTGACTCAGAGAGGAGTCAGTGCTGAGGGTTTATTTGTTCCCTTTACAGGTTTAACTTTTTTGTGATGCAGAAGCCTGTACAGACTTTTAAAAATTTTGTCCTGCTCTCCTATTAGTTTTTGAATGACAGCTTTATCATTTTTATTGGTTTCTGAAATAAGTTGGTCTTGTGTAATTCCAGCATATCTCAGTCTGGCTGTAACCTGAGTTGAAGTCTAATTAGGGTGTATGAAAACACCTGAGTGTGGAGAGCAAAAGTTTTGCATGCAGACCATAAGTTCTGCACAAAGGACTGTTTGGTGATTGGCAGATGAGTTTTCAAGAACCTGTTCTCATCCCAACATAGGATAGAAAATGGATTATTTCAGAGGCATTGTATTTTGTTGTTGACTGAACTAGGTCTGAGTGATTTGTGCGCTGGCTTTACAGGTGCAGAAGTTTACTCTCTTATGTCCCCCACCTTCAGTCAAGTTGAAAATCGCTCAGCTGTCGACTTCTGTTGAGTGTTCCAGCTGTTGTTTTATAATTCTGAGTGTAGAAGTGGGCTGACTCAACAAACCGGCTCGCCAAAGTTGATCTAACACACACTGAAAAAAGAGATTTTGTTAATTTATCATTCTTTATTCTCTTCAATGCCTGTACTGCTTTTGTAAAAAACAAAGGTCTGTTTCCATCTGAGCAGTCATTCAATTGTTTCTTTCCTTTATTTCACTCTAAAAACAAAGCAACAAGCATCACACAGTGTAAATATAAATGTCTGTTTGATGTGGTTTCTATGAAGCGGTTGTCACAGTGAGCTTTTAGTGAGATTGTAACATTTCACTCTCAAGTCTTTTTGGATTTGACTTTGGCACAGTCTTGTTTCATTCTGTTGTTCGGAGGAGGGCAGGTCCAGTCCCCAAGGATCACTCCATAATTCTAGTTTTGTGCATGGTTGCATTTCATGAAGACAGTATCCAGGCTGTTTGTCTGATAAATTGCCAACCCAAAGCTATTAGTGCCACTGAAATATCTCGTTGATTGTCATATTAGGCGATAACACGAGTTTGTTGTCTTTGACGATAGCAAATTCAGTCATAGCAGAGACACTAGATCACACGTTTTCTAACAGATGCTGGCTTAAAGTGCCTGTCAGCAACACTGTTATGTACCGTCTGTTCAGAAATGCCAAATGCAAGGAAGACAAGCTGTCTCCTTTCCCAGACAGCCCAATCAAAGAAACCTCCTCCACTGGTGATGTGACATCAGAAAATTGCCTTTCATGGACCAAGAACTCTGCAAGTGTATCCAGCATTCAAGGGGACAAAGTTTATTTTACTCCAGACTAACAACGAACGAGTCTACCTTTTGAAGTGCCTGTACCAATACTGATAATTGATATCAATACTGGAGCTGATACCAGTATAACATAAACAACCTCGACTGAGAATTAGGTTTTTAAACTTTGTGAAGCCAAATGACGTAGATAAACCTTTTTATTCCATGTGACTGTTATTACTTATCAATGAAATTATGATTGTGTACCTACAGTTTTATAAGCAAATCATCAAATAAGAGAATATTGCTGGTTTTAATGGACAACAAGAAGAAAAAAGCAAAGCAAATAGAGAAGCAACAACTTGCAGTCATTCAGCTGGAGTTGTCAGGTTTAAGGAAACAGGTCTGGGACACTACTTTTTCAAAGATGCCACTTTGAAACCATACCCATAGATATCGCCTCTTTCTCCTCAAATGATGCTTGTCAGTCTAGTTAGTCTCCGACCAGGAACGATCAAATTAGCTTGATGCTTTGCAAGATTAGTTTTCCATGTAGTAAATTGTACAAACCTAGGGGTGGGAGAAAAAAATTGATACAGCATACTATCACAATATTTTGTCTGGTGATATATCGTATCGCCTCGTTTACCAAGTATTGTTTTTTCAAATTGATTGCTAATATTAAGTCAAATCTACGATAATGGAAAAATAAAATAAACTTTGTCCTGTGAGGTTGGCAGAGGTGACATCATAGAGCAGTGTGCAACAAATATATATATAAGGTTTGTGAGATGTGCTACATGAAAATGAAATACATCGTAATTAAGACAAACATAAAGGAAAGCCAAACGCTAAATTAGCTTAACAATTGAAAAAATCTAATAAATTGCAATATATTGTATTGCAATACTCTCTGTATTGCAAAATGTAAAAAATTGCAATAATGTCGTATCGTGGCCCAAGTATCGTGATAATATTGTATCCTGGGGCCACTGTATCGTATGTATTGGTGATGTAGCTACATGCATGGTAGTTGTAAACATAGAGACGCATAGAATCAGATTAAATAGATCCGTCCTAATGGATTCTCTGTTACTGAAACTCTGTCTAGCTCTTTCAGTCAGTATCTGTTATGAGCATTAGATTGGCACATCCCTACTCCACACCCACAAGTATGATTTCATTCACTGCATTGATTCCCTTTTTTAATGACCCATGGTTTGGAATATGGACCTCATTAAACAGGACCTTAGAAAAATAATAACCCTGCAAGTCTAATCATGAATGCAGGCTGTGTCCTGTCACTTTTCATTATCAAGCCAAACTGCCTTGAAAACATGATGATGGGGCAACATCGACACTCAAGAAATATGTCACACAGCAAAGTCAAAGTACAAAGTTGATGTAGAAATTGACTGAAAATGTTACAGAGACCCTTTTATTGGAAAAAGCCTCTGATTGTGAATGCAGCACCTCATTTTCTGCAAGTCATGCTCTGCCCTTTTCTGTCTTATTCCCCTCTCAATAACTTGAATTTCATTGTGCGTTAACGAGGCATTATAACACAAATGTACCATTCACAGAACTGAGGGGATTCAGTGTTTCACATGTTAGCTCCCTTATCCAGCTAAGAAATCGCAGACATCTGAAGAATCTGCTCTCGAGGAGTTATGGTAGAGCTTATTGAGAGGCTTGAATGATTTTGCCTCTTGCCTCGAGCATGTGTGTGTGTGATCATAGCTCTGGGAGTGTGCGGTGCAGAATGATCAGCTTACAAATTTGTTGTGGGCATGTAACCTTTGGCTGTTGATAAGGAAGTTTGAGTGCTTAATATGCTGCCTGGCACACAGAAATCACGGCCTTGCGGCTGTGATTGATATTGTGCTCAGTTCCTCAGGTGCAGGATGTTTTTTTGGGTGAAAATAGAGAAGATTAAGAACCCCAAATGCATTCCAGTTTTATAGGTACCAGCTTCGAATGACCCATCACTAAGCGCAGAATGGGTTTCTCAGGTCTTTGCATTTATTGTTATGATAGGTTTTGAAGTAGCGTTTAAGTGCAGGAATTCATCTTTTAGACTGTAGGTTTTTATTTTAGTGATGCATCGAGGATTTTTACAGGTTTGATCCAGATCAGATGCCTTGCCTTTTGCAAGTTAAATACTTAAGAGAAGAGCGTTGTAGGACAGTGCTGCACTCAAGATTGTTTTTTGAAAATCAAATGGGATTCATGATGATGATCCGCGCAGTGAATGGATGTTTGTGAAGATGACAGTATAAAAGGACTGTGTACAGAGGCAGAGTAGAGTCATACTTTGCTATGTGCTCATTTTAAAAATACACTAAATCTAATTTTAGCTGCTTATCGTCTCACTGTGCTGCTGTTTTGTTATTTATATAGGACTGAAGGCTTTTTCCCCTGCATTTTCAGGGCCTTCGGGTTTTTGTTTGCCAGTAGGTGGAGACCAAGCTCCATGTGTGTTGTGTTCACACTGTGCTTACAGATAAAACCTTGCATTAAAGTTGTATTTACTCTAATGCCATATCTGACAGCACTGTCCCCTTGTCTCCTCACAAACTGAATAATTACAGGCTTGATGTAAAGATTTCTTGTTTCTTCACTTGAGCTTTTCTGGATGGTAGATTGATTTGTATTCAGGGGTGATCACAGTTAATAAACATGTGTATGTCCAGTGATTTTCGAGAACCCTCTCTAGTATTTGCTGGATGTTTGAAATGATTTAATTGCCTTGAAGAGCTGTCACGCATCACCAGAAATATAAAGGTTTCACCCCGTGTTTATTCAAACCCATGTTTGACATTGTGAATATTTCTGCAGCTGTTTTGATTGATTGAGTAAAAAAGATGTAAAGAAAAGGCAAAGTGGTTGATTGTACAGTTGCAGGCAGGCATTAAAAACACATAGAAAACAAAAAAAAAAGAACTACAAAAAAAAACTGAATACAACTCATTCTTACCTTTTTACTATTAATTAGTAATAGTGTATTATTTAGATGTATTTTTGATATATATCCACACTGTTACTTATTTGTTTGACTTGTTCTTAGTTATATTAACTTCATATATTTGTCTAACAGCAGGATTTAAACTTAAAACAAAATAGTCATCTTAACTAGGAATGCATGTTATTGGATTTTTGCATTAAAAAGATGTTTTTAAGCTTTTATCTGCTGACCAATATAATGTTGATAAAAACAGAGCTGCATCTTGGCTCTTCTCTTACCAAGCCATAATGTTGTAAATAGGGCTGTCACAATATGATATTGATATCGGTTATCAGATATCGGTCCGATATAGGCCAAAAAACAAATATCCGATTATATCGGCCTGCATCTAAAATCTCCGGTATTAGCACTCCGATACAAGCAGTCCATTCCGGACTCCAATCTAGCAACTCTAGCTAGCAGCGCTTGGATCCAGCATGCAGAACATACGTGATCACAACAACAGTGTGTACAAAGGTACTAACAAAGTAGCAAAGAGAAGGAGTGATGTCGGCTGTGTGGCAGCATTTTTCGTTAAAGTCCGAAAAAGAAGTTGCAACTGAGTGCAAAACTTGTCTTGTGCAAGTTTGTGCCAATATCGGCCGATGCTGAAGGCTATAATATCGGTATCGTATTGGAAGTAAAAAAGTTGTATCGGGACACTCCTAATTGTAATACATGCAAAATATAGTTTCTATTCTTTTTTATAATCTACACCTATTTTGAGTACAATAAAGGTCAACAAAGCTGTAGAATTACCTGGTGGAGTCTTAGAAGAGCTGACGCCTTTGCGTTGTAATTATAACAAACCTGCACATTGCTGTTATCATTAATATGCGCGTGTTGTATTTTAATTGATTCATTAGGTTGATTGAGTCTATGAAGTCAAACAGCATCAGTGGGGGTTAGTAACATTATCACACTGAATGGTTTGTTTACATCTGTGCGGTTGTGTTTTTGAGGCGTTATGTCTGGTGTCAAGTTGTGCTGTTTGTCAGAATCTTTGTCTCATGATAGCTACAGTAAACAAAGGCAGTACCATGAGTAGGTGAAGTAAATACATCTCAGTTATGTAACATCTCCAACATTTATTTGCATGAACATGGGACCAACATGTCATAGGTGAGTGTAAATTGTGTTGGAGGCAATAATCAGCTGTTTTTGTGCAGTTTCTGCACAATTGTGTGTAGCTTATAAGATGTATCGTCAACTTGACAGTGGAGGATGCAGGATGTAACTCAGACTCCCACTTCCTTTTAGAGCCCAAATAGCTTTTTGTGATCTTCCACGAACCCTCAGTTTGAAAGCCTGGCCTTTCAATCTTCAGCCTCTGTCCATTTATACATTTCCTCGGACGGCTCAGTACTTCAAAGCAGTGGTGCATAAGGCCCTTAAGCAACAGGGCAAAATACCCCTAGGCCCTTTGAATAAATCATTGGCCTTCTCTGTGCCATTTTTATCGCCATTTGTAGAGAAGAAGCTAGAGAGGATGTAACCTTCTTGTAAATACACTGCAACTACTTTTGTTGTGTCTGTGATTCTTGTCCAGCTACATGTGCTCAGTGAATTTTATTGGAAAGTGGTAGCCTAGTGCTTCTTTTAAGAGCATTCAGTAAAAACCTTGACAAATTGCTGTTTTATTTTGGGGGACAGCTCTGTGTGCTACTAAGAGGCATTCAGTGATAAGAGCATTGACCAGTGTGCATAAGGAACAAAAGGCACTTTTTTCCCCCTCAGTGTGCAAAACCAAAACCCATGCCTCATCGCTTCTGCCTTTGTTAAACTCTAAATTTTATAAAAAGAGGTTCTGGCTTTTGAAATTTTGAGCCAGAAGTTACTCCCCAGTGGTAAAAGCTTCTCTCAAAAGAAAATACATGAACACTGGAGCTAATCCTGAATTTACTGAGACGAAGCTGCATGGTGACAAAGAAGACCGTGTGTCTGCTGTGACATTTTTCTTGATTACAAACAAGGTTATAAAAGTCATCTCATTAAAGGTGAATTTACCAAAAGGTGCATTTTAGGGTCACAACATTCACTTTGGAAACAAAGTTACTGCTACTTATATTTCTCAATAACTTTTAAATATTAGTACCTCAAAAATCTTTGGCAATTTCTTTTTTAAAACAAGTATAAGACTGATTTTTTCTAGTTAATCCTGATTCTGATGTGTAGGGATGTATTACTTAAATGAATATATAACTTTAAATAGTCACCAATGGGATACAGTAATCAGGGGAAACAGTCATTAGTATGCTGGAAAATATTAAAACTGTGTAATGTCACAACACTCTGTCTTTATTTCTTACTCTATATTATACCACTTTGTCCAGTGTTCAGCTCTAAGTTTAGGCTTAATGAAGGATTGCTATTTCAGACCAAGCTAGGTATGAACACGAGGTTGACCGTTCTTGTTTTTTTTTCAGGGCTATTACTGACTACTTAAAGTTCATCAGACCAATAACTCGTGTTGGGGAACTGATGACCATTTAGAGTAAAAACAACAAAATCTTCCTGTCAAAATTTAGACTTCGAAGGCCTACGAACCCCAACATTTCACTTTGTTTGAATGCACCTTGGCAATCTTTGATAAAAACTGGAACTTTGAACATCATAAACATGAGTTGAGTTCACAACCAACATTAAAGTTATGTAGCACAGGTGTGTGACATCTAGCCAATCAGATAGTGTTGTGGACGGGACATTAGTTAGGGTAGGGAGTGCAAACTGTTAACTGATTAATTTTTTGGCCTTCTACAAAATAAAATGCCACTAGAGATATCGTCCTCGACAGTCGGCTAAGGTCTATCCCCAGTTTGCACGTCAAACTGTGTTTGCTCTGTGTTTCACAAGCCCGAGTCCTTATCCTCCAGAGTCCAGGTCAAGCCACAAAGCCTAAGAAATAAGGACTAGAGTGGAAATAAGGTCTGAAGGTCTTTGGACACTGAGTCTGTTTTATTTTTCTGAAATTGTTGTATGTTTATAAAGAAAATCAACATCATTGTGACAATCATGTTCACACACTGACCTTGAAACTTTGGTCTATAAGTATTTTTCCAGAGCAAATTCAATTTTGGGCAGGTTTTTTTTTTTTTTTTGCTGTTGTTGTTTTTTGCAATCATTGCACCGTTGATGTTTTTTGAATATCTACAGATCAGGGTGTCTTTGCACAGTTTTTCAATGACACCTATTTAAGTGGAAGTGATAATTCTGCAGCTTCTCAGCAGATGAAACTTTTCTTACTCCCCTCTTTTCACCAGAACCGGATGAACCCAGTGTTTTCTTGTCCTTCACTTACGAGTCAAAGAACTGAAAATTCTCTTTAGCCTCTTGATGACATGACACTGATGATGTTTTTTTTCCACTGCGAATTTTCACATCAAATAGAAACTTGGTGTGCAGAGACCTTGAGTGTTAGAACTGTATACAGCACTGACCATCAGTCTTTGATGAATCAAACCTTATTTCATTCAGATACTGTGAGCCAAGTCCAGCCTTTTACTGGCAATAATGTTAATAAACGTGAATATGCTCATAAATGAGTAAATGTGTGCAAAGATAATTACTGAAGGTAATTTACTTACTTTCCTCTATCAAACAAGCTGCATCATGTGAAATTTACACATTATTAATTACAGATAACTCTCTATATTTAACACTTATCCAGTCATACTTTAACATCAGTAATTATAAAACCATCTTTTGAGTTCAATAAGTTCACTTGCTTGTTAAAGCAGAACTGTGATGCTGCCTTCATAATAAAGGAGCTGAAAAAAAGCGATAGAGTTAAATATAATACATCAACTCTCCCACTGTCGCTTGAAATCCATCATATGCTATGTTGATTATTGTTTCATTGACAGTTCCTCTTCCAGAAGGCTAAAAATAACCTCTCTATGTCTAGCTGTTGACAAATAATGCATAAATGTCATCACTTCATGATGAACGTCCCCATTACTGCACAAAGCCCCAATAAGAGGATTTGGAGGATGGAAACAAACTCAGAAAAATGAAGACACTTTCTCTCCTGATATGAATTCATTTTCACATTACTGTATTTAAAGAGTCCTTCAATTTACCCAGAGAGAAGAGCATTTAGTTTCTGCATCATAAACAGCATATTGTGAATAAAAACAACAACAATATAACCCGCTCTGCATACTTTGGAAAACTGTATTTAAACAGCAGCAAGTTCCTGCACAAAATTAATTAATAATTCTCGTCTTTGCATCCATGTTCAACCCCGTAATGCTCCTCAAAGAACAAGTGAGAAATGTTTGCTGAGCATGGATGTAAGCGGTGCAGATCTTGAACAGACATATTGTTGACTTACAGTGTAAAAACTGCATCCACTAAGCTTTTACTCGTTCTGTATCTGCCGTCAGGTGGCATGGTGCCTCATGTTTAACAAAACAAAACAAAAGACATTTGTATTCCATGAACTTTTCTCCTGGGGAGGTTTTGCTCAGCGAAGCTACAGATGTCAATGTTTAACACACACACCGGTCTTCTGGATCAAGAACCATTTTAATAATTTGGTACAAAAAGATGTTCTTTCTCTTAAGAAGTTCTTCCATATCAGCTCACTATTCATGTCTTTCAAAGCCACTCTTTGAAATTGATGTTCCCCACTTCCTGCGACAAAGGGACAAGGAGCCCTGTGGAGTCCATTTGTCCTACTTGAATTTTTTTTTCTAACCCCAAAACCTCACTATGGATGTGTGAAATGAAATAAAATGGTAGAGAATGACTGCAGGCTTCCTCCCTTTGTAACTAGGTTAGATGCATTAGCATATTACATATGTGTTTCCTGTAAGATCAGAGCATGCTTCAAACTCTGGTGATGGCAAATGAAACCAGAGTAGGTGTGCAAAAATCTGCAGTTCCTGAAGTGTCCACTTGAGGCTCTACAAGCCACAGAAACTCATTTAGAGGACATAAATAAATGCTCATTTTTTACAGTAAAATTAAACTTTCTGGTTTCATACCTCAATGGAGCTAAATAGTGCAGCATACACTCAACCTCAAGCAGGATGTTGACATGGATAAAACCTCAAGTACACTTAGTCTTGGACATTTTTTTGTTTTAAAGGGTAAAATACAACAACACTCAAAGTAAGTGCACTCTTGCTAAAGAACAATAGGCTCATCGAGTCCGTTTATTTTGTTTCTGAAGCAGCATTCAGAGTGTAACCACTCATTTTAGTCATAAATATCTGGTACTTAAATCATTAATAAATACCTCAAGTTAAGAATTTTTTAATTAAAAGGTAATGAGTCTTTTTTATGCTTCACATCAGAGTCCCCTTTGAGTCAAAAACTGCACAAGACTTAAAGAATACCTTAAAAAAGCTAACAACAGCCAGCCCTTAAGGCTTCATAAGCTTACTAAGATCTCTGCAAACATCTGTTTACCCACCGCATCCAGTCGCAACAGAGCAACAAAAGCATCATGCCCTTCATACTACCTGCCAACTTTTACTCTTATTTTCTCTAGTTTTTTTCATCCCCAGGTTTGTCCTCCCCTCCCTGAATCTGGTGCCACTTTTTCCCTGATGTTTACAGGATATGAAAGTGCAAGCTCAAAGTGTCATAGCTTTCAGCGAGTGTCGCTTCAGACAGGTATTTTCATCCGTCCCTCGAGTCTTTTGTCAGACAGTGAGTTCCTGCAAGAAATCTCTTCTGGCATTTAGTTTTCACATAAATTATATTACAGTTTGCCCGTCTATGAGGCGGGCACAGGAGTCCAGGTGCTCGTGCCCTTGTGATCTGCAGTGAGGTGAGGACAGAGGTTGGATGTTTTCATTATGCCATACATGCTTCAGGGAGTCAAACAGCTTGGATTGATAGTCACTAATGGTTATAATCATCAAACATGGCCAAAATAATTATAACAACATAATGAGGTAGAACTATTGCTTGTGTTGATGTCCTGCCATTGTTTTCCCAGCTGACATCCATTTGTGGACCAGGGTTTTCCAGCCGCTTCTCCCATCAATTCTCCAAAATATTTTAATCATAGAGCCTCCCCCCATGAGGACACTGGAGTATCTTCTCTATAATGAAGACCGCAGCTATTTGAAGGGTTAAGGAAGGACTTTTAATTATTTAGCCCTCTCCTTTCTGTCAGAGGGATAAATGTGCAAACTTTTATCCCTGGTCGGTCGGACATTCTTCCCAGAAGAAGATCTGCTTAGAGAGTAATGGATGCTCCATGGTAATGCAGAATGACCTATTCTCTCAGCACGTTAATATTCATGGTGTTATGATTAATTTTACCCATTTCTTAAACCCACAGGCATATGCCAGTGGCTGCATACTGTGCACGCTTTGCATTTATTGGCTGCTGGCATCATCTTAAACTCAGTTTGTCTGCCTGTAAATGAGTGTAAATGGATACCTTAGTGGAGCAATGAGCATGTGTTTATTGAAAGTAATGCCCTGTCACTATCACAGCTGGCAAAAAGCACACTATAGCAGTGACATTCATTCGTCTGCAGACCAGAGAGCCTTTTCCTGAAATATAGTCCATTTCACAGGGGGTTGGGGGGCGTGTGCCTCCCTCAGGCTATGCATCCTTGACTGATATGGAACATTTGCTCTACACATGAGCACTGCTGCTGCAACGTGGTACTGTCTAGTGTTATGGATTAAATGTTAATCAGGAGCAGGTTTTCAATTTATTTTTGAAGCGTTGTTGATCACTATAATGGCACTGCTTTAGGCATGTATTTAGATGTGGTTTCTCGCCCTTAATCCATCAATGATTTTCAATCTATGTTTCCGTTTTGTCTGACTTTGCATTAAGGCTTGAGTAAATAGAAAAGCGTCGCCATCAGAAACAGTCGCATTTTGGTCGCTGCTGCTCTAGTTCCTGCACATTTTTTTTAAGCTGGGATAGAAATGCAACCTGTGATAGATACTCACATTATCGCCTCAAGGAAGTATTGAGCTTTGTCAACCCTGTAGCTGAGCACATCTTTGTGACATGCTTTTTTCTCTGAGTTATTTTGGGGCTGTCTTCAACGACATCCATTTTCTGGAAACAGAGAAGCCCCCCTGCTTGAAATAGCATCTCTCTCTATTTAAGTGTTTTTGCCTCACCTCTACTCTATGAATTTCTAATGCATCCCAGTGTTGCTCCTTTCTCTTAAAAAATGCCTGTACAGGAAAAACCAAATAAATACCAAAGTCTTGGATCAGGGAACAGTTAGCTCTGTCACCAAAGACAGGTGATGCTCTTTCACTTTATTCAGAAGGTTCAGGACTTAGTTTATTCAGTCGTTTTCAGGTGCAGGAGAATTTCTTTCTTTCAGAGCGAATGACCTGGTTTGTGACTCTGGTCTACAGCACTGTTACACACTAAATAAATGTATTTGTTATTGAACACTCAAGATGAAAATAAAAGTGAAAGCACATTAGTCTTAGCTCACTCAAAAACAAGTATTTTTCACAAAAGCTATAACTGTTAGCAGTTGTGCATTTCTTGTTTTTTGGGCACTTGTGTTCCCAAAATGAATCATATAGCTCAAAAATGTTAACAAAAACAGATCTCAGTGGTTTGAACTCCACTATTTAATTGAAACCAATCCAAGGACAGCATATCAAATGTTGAATCTGAGAGGCAACACCTGAAATACTGAAAAACTGTCTAGACCAGGCATCTCCAAACTATTCCACAAAGGGCCGGTGTGGCTGCAGGTTTTTCCTCCAACCAAGCAGCAGCACACCAGACTTGATTCATTTCATTAACTGATCTCAGTCTTCAGACAGTCTTCAGTCTTCAGACTGCGTGCTCTTGATTGGTTGGAAGATAAACCTGCAGCCACACCGGCCCTTTGTGGAATAGTTTGGAGATGCCTGGTCTAGAGTATTTCATTCTGCATTATTGGAGCCTTCCCAGGTGTGTAGGCCACCCATACATTCAGTCATTTAATGTATCCTCATACCATCACAGATACTGGCTTTTTAACTGTCCACAAATAAACACTTAAGAGTGACTAAGCAGCATCTGTGATTTCCAAAAATGTCAAATTTTGATTTGTCAGACTACAAGACTGTTTCCTTTCCATCTTTAATCGGCTCAGAGAAGTTTTAAGCCTTTCAGGATCATGTCTGAGTATGGTTTCCATTTTGCATGGTGCAGTTTCAGTCTACACTTGTGAATGTAGGAAGTGATTTTAAGCCCTTGCAGGGATTTCCCCCACAGAGCCATGTAGGTTTTTAATGTAGTGCCGCCTGAAGGCCTGAAGGTCAATGCTGTCCAGTCACGGCTCTTGATCTGGACCCTTCAGGATTTTCTGCATCTTTTAATGAATTCATAAACTGAAGTCTGAAATTCTCAGTGATTACACCAAGGAACATTATTCTAAAATTGCTGTCTCTCACAGAGTAGTAAATTTCTTCCTGTCTCTACACCTGAGATGCACGTGACGTTACTTTCCAGTAATTACAAACATTTTACAGAGAACCTGTTTTATTGAACTTGGGGTTAGTACTATTAAAAATACATCAGTAAGAAGAAAAATTATGTCCTATCAAGGGATCTGGACATTGTCTTGCACTCTCACTCTTCTTTTGAAATTATGTTTAGACAAGTCCACATAGAGAAGCAGTAAAAAATGAAAATATGAAAATATTACCGGCTTAATGAGGAGCTCTTTGTCTCTCCTGTTTTATATTATCTCTTCTCATAACACCACAAAGTGCTTCGCTTAACAAACCAGTTCAGCAAGTTTTGAATTCATACATGTAAAGCTATGCAAAGTGGCCCCTCATTGCTTAATGGGCCTCTCATGAAATAATTAGCTTCATTTTTCAAAACATGTCATATTTGTACTACCTGCTGGGCCCAAATGTCCACCATACAACCCACGAGTCCTCAGTGTTAAGCTCCTCCTGATGAAAACCAGCCCACAAACCGGCTTCAACACAAAGAGAGCTGTTAGTCTGAAATGATTAGAAACATTGCTCCTCAAATGCAGGGCCCTGTGGTCGGATATGCCACTGTTGTAAAAGATGAGTAATCTGGATCATCACACTGTGCGCACAGACCAGCTGTTTGTGTAGGAAAGTGGAGCACAAAACTCAAAGCAATTAAAACAATGAGCAAGAAAAGAAGTAAATATCTCTTCAGTCAGCCTTGACAGACGTCTGAACATCACCTGAAGTGCTTCCATGTCTTGGGACCTCATTGTGCCCAAAAATTGGATTGTTTTGTGGTTTGTTAAAAACTCTTTTTTTATTTATCAACCTGGGTATCCACTTCACTCCAGGGCTGATAAGAATTTCAAGGATAGTATGTTTTTTCAGTTGTGTTTTTATGCACCACAAACATCACTTTTAAAACATAGAAGCTGAATGTTTTTGTGTTCAAGGGTAGATGATTGTTTTCACCTAATGTCATAAGAAAAAGTCGTAGTCAGTGAATGCCACTTTCTGTGAAAGAGTATAAATCACGAAGTGATTAAACATGAGTGAAGAAGGACCGTTTTTTGTTATGCACTTTAAGGGAAAGTGCATAGCAATTTTGAGAATAAAGTGGGTAATTTAAGAAAAAAGCTGAACTTCAAAGTCAAGGGTGTAAATTTGGTATTTTGGAAAAAAAAATCAATTTTCAGAAAAAAAGTTTAAAAGTCAAGAAAAAGTGGTGACTCAGTTTAAAATCAATGTTTTTCATGGAGAAATCAAAGAAATATAGTTTTGATAAAAAAAAAAAATCTATGGCTTCCAAGTGGTGACAGACTCTATAAAACGTTCTGCATCAGAGCTGTCGATGCATGTTTTTTTTTTACTCACCTGTACTGCATTGTTCATTGCTGTTTTGAAATCAGAGTTTAGGAACCCTTTTTTTTAGGGTTAGGGACAGGCCTTTGATTGTAGCCAGTCTAAGACACACCTGTGCAATAATCATGCTGTCTAATCAACCTCTTGATATGACACACCTGTGAGGTGAATGGATTATCTCAGCAAAGGAGAAGTGTTCACTAACACAGACTTACACAAATTTGTCAACACGATTTGAGAGAAATAGGTCTTTGTGTACATAGGAAAAGTCTTACATCTTTGAGTTCAGCTCATGAAAAATGAGAGCAAAAACAAAAGTGTTGCGTTTATATTTTTGGTCAGTGTAAGAAGAGGGCAGGGTTAATTTCAACAGTGCTGCCATGTATTCTGATCATACATTGACTTTTAACTATGAGAAACCAATACAAAAGCAGGCAAGAGCAAGTGTGTGTGAAGGAGCATTTCGATCTGGAAGTCTGACGTCAACATTCAACATTTGTGACTTTACTTTCAGTCTAAAACAATGAATTTAGTCCATTTGTTTTCCTCCAAGATATTGAATTTCAAATTTATAGTCAACACAAAGTTTATTGACTTTTGTCTCAAAATACATTATAAAAACTTATCTTCCTCATTTAACTATTTTTTTCACAACTTGGCTCTTTTTTTACTCTGAAACATATTTTAAATCCAAAACTAAATTGTTTGCCCAGTTAATGCCACTTAAACAGTGTTTTTCAGCACATGTTAAGCAGATGTATGCATGTTGTCAAGTCACAAAAAAGACTACTAGGAAAGAGAGGAGCACAGTGCTGTTTGATGGGGTTTAAAGTCTAATTTTATTCTGTGAAGTAGATCTTAAATGTGTTGGATTCGTCACAAACATTTATCTACAGAAGCCTAAAAGTTATTTTGATATCAGTGTTTCTTGATAAATTAGTAAGTGATCTCTGCCCCAGATTTGCTCCACTGAAGTTTTCCAGGAATGGGGTCATGCTGTCTCAAAGTTTTCTTAAAATCACACAGTACCATCCAGCTCTGCTGAAGAGACAAAAACAGAGACTATTTAGAGGTTGTTTATTTGAACAACTGTTGACTCATTTAGCTGTTCAAGGGAACAATGAAGCAAACTTGAACTGTACTTCATCAGAAATGAGTGGGTCATGTTACGAAAACATGTGTTCCTGGAGTTTTTCTGGAGTGGGACAGATATTCATTCCCTTTTCTTCTTTTGTATCCCTGCAGCTCTTTACTCCATCATCCTGTTCTGTGTCTTCCTATGGATCCCCTTTGTTTACTTCTACTATGAAGAACGGGATGACGACAACGAGAACAAATGCTCGGTAAGAATTCAACCTTTCTCTTCTGCCTCTCTACACACAGCCTCTCTAACCTGCTCAGGAATTCAAATTTCATTCAGATGATTCAGGTGCGGCTTAGGAATATGTTAATGCAAGAAAGTCTGAAATCATTTAGGTTGAACCTCCAAGCTCGAGGCAACGTGAACCAATTTGTTTGCACAAATGGCAATGAGAGCACATTTCTCATCTTTGACTGTGTTCACACAAATCCCTTACTTTTCCCCTGAGTTTTTTTGGAAACTAAACCTCTCAAAACACACCCAGATCAGCCTGTGTTATCAGCTGATTGCAGATGTTGCAGCTGATGGTTATTTTCCCCCTGTAATCTTGCTTTAAATGTTTTGGCTGCAGATTTTTTGCCTCTTTCAAATACTGATTTTAGGAGAGGTTTAGCATTTTATATCACAGATAATAAATCAAAATGCAAAACATCTAACCAAAAAGTACTTTCTCTATTTTATCATCAGAGTTAGATAAGACCCACTGCTTCACATCTGGGTCCTGCTTACCCTCGTGTTACTTGTTACTGCCCCGTTTATCCCCCTAGCTGCTGGGACTAAAATGTGCTGGACTCCTTTTGCACGTGATCAGGTTGCTTGGCTGATTGATATAACTTAAATACATACAATAAACATAACATATCCAACACTGGACAGAATATTCAAAGGCTTTTGATGTACTTCTTAGGCGGTCTTCAGCTTTATATTTAATCTTAGAAATGATTAGCGTACAAAGGAATGCTTTTATTAAAACATGGAACCCTGTATCTTAGGTCAGATAAGTTGAGTATCGAGTATGTCCATTGTCTAATGTTGAGGGCCAGCCTTGACATATTTTCATTGAAGGATGATTCACACAGCTTCTGAAGTGGCTAACCTTCAATCTTTGAAGATGTTTCCATCTGTGAGTGCAGTTTGGACCATTCTTGTTTTTTTTTAAGGCCATTACAAATACAGATTCTTTATAGTTTATGAGATCTATCTGTATGTTTTTCAAATGACAAGAGTCAATGACTAACAGCCCAGTTACTTCACACCATTGTGAGACATCTTAGCCAGTCAGATAATGTTGAAGACGGGCGCATGTCCTATGTGGTGTAACAGTATCAATACTCACAGAAGTACACAAAAAATGAAAGTATTTGTCTGTTTGCCCTGATAGAAAGATTCATTGTGATCTGCTTTGCCTGTTTTGAGAATTACTACTGTTGCTATGGAGTTTTAACCAATCAGAGTCAAGTATTTAATCCAGGAAGAAAGCTTGGTAATAAAGGTTATTAAGTACTTTTACTTCTCCTTTGTGATATCATTTTCAGATTATAAACATTTGTCTCTAAAATAGTCTTCTTGATGGGGAAAAACACATTATTGTATTAGACAACCAGTAGACTGATTTGTTCAATATCTACCAGGATTTTGTTTCATTTGATCGATTTAACCCTGAAATGGAATAAAGGATGATAAAACTGTCAGTGAAACTAAATTAGCTACAGAAGCTTAATGAAAGTGAGGGGCAAAATCCTGGATGAATATTAGGATATTTTTTGACAAAGTAAGGACGAAGTGAATATTTATGGTATTTTGTGGCACCCAAAATAGTCTGATGGTCCAATCACTGCATCCCTGCATCGGGTCTACAGATAGAGGGCCACATATTGTCAGCTTAAATTGAAAAAAAAATTTTAAATTCTTATCTTTAAGAGTCTTTCAGTGAGTGATGTACCAAAGAGCAGCTATCTCATCGTGCCTTTTATCCTTTCCGTGTGTCACTTTTGAGCTGACAGAAGCACTTTCTCTCTCAGACAGGGAGGTCTTTTGTATTGTTACTTTAAAAGCACCTTGAATGGCACCGGGAGTGACATGTTATCTCCGCCAGGTCGAATCGCATCTCCACCGACTCGATATAGCACTCACTCTCTATAGACTGTTGCTAAATGAAGTATAACCCCCTTCCCCTCCCTCTGAATGAATAATAATATTTCCCTCCATGGCCACGATTGACCAGTTTAATTTTTTTCTTTTTATTACAGCAAGTGAAGAACGCTCTGAAGTACACAATTGGATTTACCATTGTCTGCGTGGTGCTCCTTTTAATTGGGTAAGTTGGGGACATGGATGGGTTCTTCTGCGTCAGTACAGGAGGGCTGGAAGGGGGTGCGGATTTGTCATTGTGTTGGGCTAATGAGAGGAGAATCCTGTGGAAAAGCTACGGCACCATTTGTCTGGTCCTGATAAACCAGTCATGAAAAAAAAATGTACGTGCGACTGAATGTAGGTTTTATTCTCGTCTGTCTAATTCCAAACGAGTTTTCTTGTGCGAGTGTTTTTCCCAGATATTTAATGTTCTTCTCACCGACCATGCTAATGCATATTAGCAGCCATGTCCTGCTTATCTTCTAGTCTTCTCCAGGCTTTGTTCGGAACCACGTGCACCACATAATAGATTTCCTCTGCAGCCCTGACAGCAACTTACCTCGAGTTCAACCTGTACGATTTTATGTGCTCTTCCAACCATTTAATAGTGCGCTGAATGAAAGCTTACCTAGTTTGGGAAAATAAAAGACACATGGCTATACTTTATTATGGCTTAAAGTTTGGTAGTTTGGTCTTTTTTATAGACAGAAGCAATTTAGCTCCTCTTTTACTTCATGAAGTGGAACTATTGTCGCTTTGTTCCAGCAGTTGTGGCTCCAGCCTTTTGATCTACAACAACATGATAGCTTTTATCCTGAACTCTTTCTCTGATACTAGGAGACATAATGACTTTGTTTGGCGACCGTTCACTCAGGAAGTCTTTTCTTGATGGCTTTTATTTGTTGTCTATTTACTTGGCGACGTGTTTACCTTCTTGAATGACCCCTGCTGCAGTTTACAGGTTCTTTCCTCATTGCAATCATCTACAACCTTTTTCTTATTGCCAGTTCAAGGTGCGATATTTATTTCCCTTCAACACGAACGGTGCACCAAGTTGTCCCAGTGCTGTGCAAGCATCAGAGGTAGTAACAGGAGTAGTAGAAGCGCTGTGTACTTCAGGTGTGTGTGCATATGAAGCTTCTGCCGTGTGTTGACCTTGTGTGCTTCTGCAGCGGTGCAGCACACTGTGAATTGCACACTGGGTTACCAATATTGCACTTTTCTAGGATCAATATAAAGCAAAGGCATGATGAAAGTAGGGCTGTCGCAATATCGGGTTTTCATCTCATAGTTTCTCTGGACAGAAAGTATTAAGGGTAATGATATTTAGTGATATTTACAGAAAACCTGAAAAAATAAAAGCAAAAAAACAACACTTGTAGTCGAGGTTAAGGAAAGGTGAGACAAAAGTGGAATAACATAAGCTCGACTGATAAATGCAACTATCTTCTTCAACATTGTGGCGTGTCTTGAGATAATATTCTTGATCAAGGTCTTTTTTTTTTTTTTTTTTTTGAATATAACAAACAAAAGAAATATAATCGACACAAGAGACAATAAAGTCTAGTTCCTGTACATTCAAACAAACTTCCCAATACCCCCCACCAACATGTACTGGACCCCAGGCAAATTTCAATACATCCAGACATCGACACATACACAAACTAGGTCGATAGAAAAGAAACCCATAATGGAGAGAGAAAAAAGTAAAAAACAAACAAATCTATATACATTTGGGTGACATAGACATTTTAGTAGCGGCCATGCCTTCAACAAAGGAAATGAATGGCTGCTAAATGACATTGAATTTCCTTGTGTTCCCTCTTACAGTATATCTATTTTTTTCTAAATGGACATGACTCATGACCTCCCTAATCCACAGATAACATCTTTATTTGTAACTGCTACCATGTAAGTAAAGATTAGTTTATTAAGATTATCCACTTCTAATGATGACCAAAGTTATTTTTCATCTACTTCATCAGCTAATAGTGGAAACTTCTAATTAAAGGAGCTCTTACACGACACATCACCACCTCCTTCCCCCTCACTGCATCGCTATTACTAACTCTGAGAAGGTAACTATTATATCCTGGCAATAAAAAAAGGGCTTGTATCTCGAATTCAGGTTTTACCTTTGAAAAAACTGCAGAATACCTTTCTCGTTCAACATTTCATTACCTGTTTCATCGTTTGTTTCATGAAGTATTTCTATTATTATCTTTTTTATGTAGAGAAGTGCAAGTCTACCAAATTTCAGTTTGTACCTGGAGAAAGTTCAAAGTGAAAGGCAGCAAAGTGGTCCCATAATGTCTCCAATATTGGAGGCATTATGACCTTCAAGTGTTTTTATGAAGTCTGCTTCTGTGTGCATCAATTGGAGCCAGATCGCTGTAAATGGACTAAAAACAGGGAAACAAACCTTGAGAATTTTGTGGGCTCCTGTTTTGAAAGAAAAAAGAAAAAAAAAAACCTCTTTGGTCAAGATAGTGTTTCCCCCTCACTACAATCTTCTAAAGAGTAGGGTAAGGTTTGAGACCACTTAGATGTGTCTTATTCCTTTAAAAAAAATGAAAGATGTGTGTCATGAGTGAAGAAAGGAACAGATTGAAGAGATAAAGTCTAATAGTGGACTCATTTTTAGACGTGGAATTTTTGTTTTTTGCATATAAGGCAAAAAGATGTCTTAATATGCTTCACCTCCCTGGTTTAACTCTTTTTTTTTTTAAGGGGGTCACTAGTTCTCTAAAAAACAGTATCTCGAATATCTCTAAAGATTCATAGAGCATTATTTTTTTATGCGAGTTTGTAGATGCTAGATACAAAGCAGGATTCTGCCCTAATTCTCTGTTGTGTGTCAGGAAGGATTTATGATCAGTGCAGATGGATTTCATGATTAATGGAATCAAAGTCTGCTCTGAAACTGAGCTGCATGATCAGTGTGTTTACCCTTTCCACAATGCAGCATACAAAGAGATTTATTTTTTGTTTTCAGAAACGCTGTCTTAGTTGTGTCGATGCTGAACAACCCCAATCCCAGAAATGTTTGGACGCTGTGCGGATGACAACAAAAATGGATTTTGAGGGTTTGCAAACCATCCAAATCCCACAGTTATTTAAAAGTAGTCCAAAAACAATGTATTAAATGTTAAAACTCAAACATTTTGTAAGAGAAATAGGCACAAACTGATATGGATGTCTCTCAGTGCCCTTAAAAACAAATCAGACCACCAGGCAGCAGCAAGTTTGATAATTTCCCTGCTGTCAGTTTTAATGATCCAAATCCTGAGATGGGGTAGAAATCAGAGCAGGTGATTGTCAGCAGGCCAAAATAAACAGCTATTTATACTTTGTACAAACCAAATACTCACAGTGAGAGATAAACTTCTTAATGGAAAGACAACAGGATAAGGTTTGTGGTCAGAAAACACTGCTTATTCATGTACAAGATGATAGATAAGAGGTATTACTTTGCCCACAGGGGGCACCGGTAGTTTTTGAACACCCCTTTTTGCTGTATTCACAAATGCAGGATAAGGCTGTTCCATTCATACGCTGGCATCAGTCATGGGTAGTGTGCACATCTGGGAAGACGCTACCCAGACAATACCAAACATTACCACACCATAGCACATTCTGTGTGCATTACAACACTATGGTTCTGTAGTAGAAGAGTCTATATACAACACTGGGCTGTCTGCATTTCCAAATTCTCACCGGCATTTCATGAAAATAAAAATATGACAGAGGAGGTCTGGAGCTTTTGAGCAGCTGAAATCCTTCATCAGGAAAGAATGAGACGATATTTCATTTTCCAGTCCCCAGAAACTGGTTTATGTGATTTTTTTTTTAAAACCCCAAGAGAGTGTTGTTAAAAGAAGAGCTGATCTGACACAATCATCCAAACATTTCCCTGTCCCGACTGTTCTGAACATGCTGGCATCAAATCTAAAACGAGCACAGATTTTTCTGAAATTGATGAAACTCTTCACTTTTAATATTTGATATATTGTCCACTATTTTCAAAGATTTAGAAACCACCAAGATTTGTTTTGATCTATTTCTTACACAGCAATCCCTACTCTTTTGGAATGTAGATCTGCCAGTGCAAGTGCTGGATCTTAATGGCTTAATCCCAGCGTTAAACATGGGAGACCTCAGAAGAATCAAAACACTCCATCCTTATCTTTTTCAAGGGAACACAAGGTCGGCGTTTTATAATGTGTTTGATGGGGTGATCACTAATAACCTTTACGGGCAAAAGACAAATCAAAAGTTTCTGGAAAGAATCGTTGAAGTCACCAACAGGTCATGACATTCACGGATAATTTTACTAAAAATGGAAAGCTATAAAAGTGTAGATCTAGCGCTGCTTAGTGATTTTGTTGTTGTTTTGTTCCCCTCCAAAACAAATTGGAAAGGATTGGAGGGGACACAGAGCTTAGAGAAATGTCTGCTGTGTTAAGAATAGCAATTAATCCAGTTTCAAAGGTGAAGTTGTATCCAAGGCAGATATATAAAAGGTCAATAAAACAGCTTGCAAAATGCTGTTTATGTGATTTGTAAGCCCTGTGTTCTTACCAGAGGCATTAAACATGATGGTTTTTATTTATTTTCACTAACATACATTAATTTCTCTCTAATTAAACCCCAGTTACATTCACACTTTATGTTTGTGAGGCAGATATGAAGAGCAGCGCAGCTTAATAAGGCAAGAGATCCCTATAAAAGCAAAAAAGAGACGAGTTTAGTGAAGGACAGCGGCAGAGGTCCAATTTCACAGCGGTGCAGATAAGCAAGGCAACAGACATTCACCATGGAGCTTAGACGTCTGGATGCTGGAGTGAAGAACATGCTGTAAAAGCTTCTTTGACCGTTTCTGTCTGGGCATTACGCTGCGCAGGACATAAAAGGTCCGTGTAGAGGGATAGAGATGTTTAGACCAGAAGCAAAACTTCAGTGTGCTGCCCGGCAGCTTTTCAGAAAACAGACTTTCTAAAAGGTTTCTGAAAACTCGCTCTATTGTCTGTGTTTTCCAACAAAACTGGCTTGAGTCCATATTTCTGCTTTTCTTCTTTCAGCAATTGAAACACTTGAGCGTTTTCAGTAAATTAGTGTAGGAAGGAGTGATTCAGATAGTATGGACTGCCATTTGTTCTTTTTCCCACTCGATGTTTAGTTACTGAATGGTTCAAAGAAAAAAAACAACACACCACACACTAAGAAACCTAATTTTCTTAACCTCTAACAAAGCCATTGTTTGATTGCTTTCAGAGCGTTTGTTCCACTTGAGGCCCCGCCAGGCCAGAACTCCACTCAATGGGAGAAAGTGCAGTACCTTTTTGAGGAGCTCGGCAGTACGCGTAAGTAGCATTTGTGGGAAATGCTTCCTGTTATTTCCAGCTGGGGTCTTATTTCCCCTCATTTTTTTCTCTTGTAAGTTGAATTGCTCCAATCATTCTGACCTTTTCCTTCATTAGATATTACTTCCACTCTTGTAAAAACCACATTCTCTCAGCATATTCTGTATATTTTCATGCTTCTTCTCTTATCCTTTCTATCTGTTGTTCAGCTTTTTACCTATCTCACTTATGAGCCTAAAAGAAGAAGTTTTTGCAGGCCACAGGAAAAGCACAATTTGTCTCAAGAAAGCCCAAAATGAGAGGCGCTGATTGGCCTAACAGCTTAAACAGGCCCATTATACTGAGGCGACAGCTCTTGTTGCAGTGGTCACCGGGCAGATCTTTAGCTAATTTCCAAAAAAAGATGGTTTAAAAAAAAAAAACACAGCATTTACGCAAGCAGAGTCTCCCGCAGATGATCTGAAGGAAGAATAAAGAAATTCAATTAACACCTCAGACTGTGATAGGAGGGAGGTCAGTACTTTGCTGCCTGTGCTGGCTGCATTGATAGGAATAAAGGTTGAAATAATCATGAAAACAAACATAATTTTTTCCTACTCAGGTGAGATTTTATTGTATAACATTGCATTATGTGTTAAAATGTCATAGAAAGAAATAATGAATGCACTACAAAGTTTGGGCTGCCTTACTTAACTTGCAAATGATCATTGTATCAAAGACCACATCTCAGCAGTCAGGCATAGATGCAACTGTGTCACACAGTGCGATCAATTTATGGCATATATTGTGATATATGTTTATCTATGTTTATGTAAAAAATTAAGAAATACTGGTAACTAAAAACTTGAGACAAAACTAGAGGAAAACAAAAAAAAGTCTGGCCTTTCTAACTGAGATTTTGCAGTACAGTCACAGGAGTATACATAATTAATTAATCTGCATTGTTTATTATACAGTTTCTGTAAAATTCAATGCATGATACGCACTTTTTATGATTATTTTTGTCATGCTAAAAGTACACAGGTGCCGCCGATATACCAGGGGGCCCTGGAAGAAGCGAGCTGCAGATTCAGTATGGATGTATAGCATTCTGAATCCCCATTAAGGCAGACCAGTCTTGCAGCACCACAATTAAAAGCGCTTAAAAAACAGTATTGTGCTGCGAATAGGTGCTGTAAATAAATCTTGTAGAGTTCTGATTTAGTGCAAATGGGCTCTATGCACAACTCCACTACTTATGGAACTTAAGGCCGCTTCTTTATTTCTTGTTTTACATTACTGGACAAACTGATTAATCCAAGTGTGACTGATTATTGTGACTAGTCAGACACACCTGGATTAATCAGTTTGTCCAATAATGTAAGCAGGAATTAAAGGAGCAGCCTTAGGTTCAGGAAGTAGTGGATCAGTGCATAGAGCCCTTTGGTTGGTGTAACACACAAGGCTGAGCTTAGCTGGCATGGTAGCAGTTATAGAGAGCTACACATGTGCATGGGAACTGCACATTGCTGAATGCAGTGGAGCTCTTTATGTAAGAACACAGTTTAAAGTCCTCCAAAGAACAGACTCCCAGGGCCTTGCAATTTATATTCCAGAGTTTATGCTGTCTAAGTAGACGTACAATGACAAATACCCTCCCAACTTGCTCAGAGTACATTTTTCTATAAAGCTGACCAAGTAATCTTGTCGTTGGCGTATAAAGGAAACATCAGCCTTGATTTGATTGGTCAGAAACAAGGTTAAGCAGTCTGGTGACCTCTCATTGATCCAACTCTGTATTATTGCTTTAGAAAGTGCTGAGATGGACAAAAGATGATACTGATATAAAATTTCAAGATGTTGCTGTCTGCTCCTTGTTGTAGATTCATCCCTTCATTCAATTTCCGGCAAGACCTCATTAAATGACTCAATAACTAAACACAGCAGTATTTCAGAGGCAGGGCCTTTACAGCCTCAATATAAGTGTGCACTAAGAAATTGGATCTTCCACTAAAAATAACCAAATACTCCAAATCAGCTGTAGGATCCCGACTCTCCCACTTTGTGAGATAAAGCATTGTCTGTGCTTACATCAAAATATAGACTCCTAAAGGTCCTCTGGCCTTCTGCCATCTAGGGATCAAGGCGGAAGTCGAACCATCTGCCTCTCTTCACAATAGTAGACCCCTACATGCTCTCCCTAACCTTCCTTCCTCGGCACAGGGGGGTAAAATGACTAGGCTGCTGAGAAGGAAACGTGGGGATCATCCCTTTTCTAATTCCCTGTCTCTTCTCCCTCCAGATGGGAGGTTAATTGTGTAAAGGAAAGGCACTTTTGCCACATAACCCCTGACTGCTTAGCAATGGCTGTTCATTAAGGGCGCCACATCCTTAATGGCTCCAACATTACATGTGTTCCAATATTCCAGTGATGCCTGAATGAACTCTTGAGCAGCTATTCATGTTGGTATTCAGGACCACACGATGCAATCTGGTATTTTTGGCCGTGGTTTAGAGAGAGTGAAGTGTGCGGGAGAACTTTAACAAGGAATAGTACTCGGGCAAGATTTCTAACACTTAACCTTTCCTGATTTTCCTCTTATTAGTCAGAAAAAAACATGTAAACTTACTCTAACTCTGACTTACTTACACAGAACCGGAAAAAATTAAGGGACCACTTACAGTTCCCACCGAAATCAGCGAATCTACATGCATGGAAGCAACTCAATTCCAGCATCTGTCTCATTTCAACACAGACAGAGCTCATTTTACTTAATGAGATACTGATTAAAACTCCTGTGAGGAGGTTTTTAGATGGTTGTGTAGCAGACTGAAATTAATACTGGTGTCTCTTTGTGACCTACAAAACCAAACAAGAGCATCAGTAGAAGATTCACAGTTTCCATGTGGTTCCTTGTGATGTTTGAAACAACTCGCAACCAGTATGGTTGTACTCTTTGCACTCTTGCTTTTTCTGATTCATTTCAGTGTAAGTTTCTCTCTCCACCTTTGGCAGTTCTGTGAATTCTCAGTACAAGAAAAAAACACTTCACTCACTGGTCTCTTTTTTCCCCTTGGAGCTGTAAGTATGTTTATACCATGTGTACAAGAAAATCTGAACAATAGCAGTAGCTTTTACCAGTATGTTTAACCCTCTTCACCCCACTCAGCTCACAATAAAAAAAATACTGTGGTCTTTCCATGAATGAGAACTACTCATTGGTTGGTACCCACTTATTCCCATTGCACTGAGTAATCAACTATAGAAGCTGTGTAGCTTCCATAGGTTATAATTACAAGGGTAAACAAAATTATCTTTGTTTGTGTAAATCAGTCTCTGCTTTTTAACACAATGTACCACCACTATAATTTCACTTTGAGAGGCTGGAAGTAGACCAGACTGGACTGTTAATTGTTCCTGTGCTGCAAACAGACATCCAGAACATGCAGCCGTCTCAGCAGGAAGAGTCTACTGTTAGGTTTGTCACAATACCGCAATTATGAAGTTTTGTTTTGGGGCATTTTTGCCTTTGTTAGACAGGGCAGCTTAAAAGAGAGACAGGAAATGTGGAGAGTAGAGAGTGGATGAAGACATACAGCAAAAGGGTCATAGCTGGAAGTGGAAACAGTCACTACTAAATAGAGCTAGGCGATAAACTGAAAATTTAGCGATACCAAAATTTACGACAATAATCGTTGTCATTTTGCCCATATCCATATATTTGGTGTTAAAAAAAATAAATAAATAAAAGTTGGTTTTGGGTGTGTGTAGGTATTGACGTGATATTGACTTGAGGCCATATCGCCCAGCCCTACTACTACAGTTCTCAGGAGCATCACCCTCAGAAACAACTTTGACCACTTTGTTTTTCTCTGTCTGTGAAAAATCTGACGTAATGACTGCAAATCAACATCATGACAACTTTATTGTGCAGTATGATACAATGCATCAAACAGGCTGCTGGTTCCTGCTTCATTTATGATTCTGTTGTTACGCAGATGTGATGTCGGTTTCAAGAGCCTAAGGATCTCTTAATAAAAGCCTCTCCTTACAAGTCTCATGCACATACACAAACCTGAAGGGCTATAAGCAGCCTGAGATAAGAGCCACCTCATTCCACTGCATTTAGGAAATCGAAGCTGTACAGATGTGGGAGCACCGGCGATAATAGACAATATTCCGTCTGTTAAATCCCCGTAAAATCTGCTCGAGGAGCCAAGAAGAGTGGCAGCAAACATCTATCCTTTGCTTTGTGTAGGGTTCATGAACAGAATGTTCTCCTTGCAGAACATGCAGCTATTGTATATTTTACCAAGCTCACCGCCAAACAAAGGCGGCGAAATCGCAATGAAACACTCAGGAATAAGAAACCTGCATTCAAATGTTAATGTTCAGCCCAGCTGTCAGACTTCAAAGTTTTCTCTCTGCATATAATACAACAGAGAGCAGGCACATAATTCATCTCCATTTTCCACCCCTTTGTCCTGCTGCTTGTGAAATGCCTCTAAAAGGAAGTGATAAATGTTATAAACAGGACAAATTATACATGCACTGAATACTGACTTAATATCCCCATTAAATGCCACCGTCAAGGAGAAAGGCAAACAGAGAGCCACCTCTGCTCGTGCCGACAGGTGGGCTGGGCATGGCAGAGCTGCTGCTGAGAGAATGTGGGATATCTACATAGGGGCGACTGTGCAGCTTCTAGCGTGGGACTCTATAACAGGTGGGATCTTGACAGGGGAGGGAGGCAATCAGTCTCTGCATCAATCCCTGTCTTCTAACTCCAGCTCTGACAGCTGGTGTGACACCTACTGTTGCCCTTGCCTGATGGGTGGTCCCTTTTCTGCCTCAATCAAAGGTGATACCCATCAACTCAACTCACATAGACTGAAGCATCCAGCTGTTAAACAACCGATCATGATCAATGTATTAAACAACAATTAGGACAAAAGATGGTGGCCAGATGTGACTCCAGAGGAAGACTTAGCAACAGGGAGATATTAGAAGAAGAGAAGCAGAAAATCAACATGACGCACCGTCCTTGGGATAATTTTCTTCTCAAGAGACTTCCAGGAAATGAATGTCCTGAAATAACATAAGAACAGAGACGTGTACTTGCAGTTCAAGGTCAGCAGAGCTACTTGAGTCAAGTGAGCAATTGAAACTTTCAGTTTGAAACTTCTTTGTTAGCGTGGAACCTGCTATTCGCATGCAATACTCACAACAAATTCTTGGCCTCCAAATCAAATAAGTCAAGAGTTACCGCTGAGGAGTGAACTATTAAACAAAAGTTGATGAATTTTCTTGGCAAGGCAGTCATCGTCCATATAATACCATCAGCTGGGGTACAGCTATCTGTTTGTTTATATAGTCCATAACGTCATCAGATACCTGGGCAAGTAATTCATGAGATTTCAATTTTAGTAACAAAATGTGTAATGTGGGGACAGCTCGACATATTCGACATGTTGTACAACAGCAGTAAAAATGACCATGTAACCACAGGTGTAGAGAGGGAAACTGTGTGCAATGTCAGAGAGAGGAACACGTGTGTGTTAGTAAAGCAGAGGGACAGATTGAGCAAGTGGAAAGAGGCTCATGATGACTAAATAGAGTGTATGATATACAGTTTAGGCTTGCCAAGGCTAAATAATAGGTTATTTGCAGCCCATTAACTTTACTTCAGGACTTTTTTATCACTCGTGAAGTATTCTGTGTGTAAGTGTTAAAAAGGGTTCAATGTTTGAAAAAAAATGCAGATTTTGTCTAATCCATGAGCATTTGTGTTGCAAAACTGTGGTTTCAGTTTCAACCAAGAAGTTGTTTAGTCACCTGGAGAAGGATAGCTCAGTACTGTCAGCTAAAAGACAAGTGATTCCCACCCAAATGTTTGCTGACCATTCGCCAGCATCCGTTTTCTCCGCTCATTTCCTTCCTCAATTCCAGCTTCCAGTTTGGTGACAGCAGTTTGGGCTCCGTGCACTGCCGTGATTTGTGTTTTTTAGAGAACCACAGCTCTCTTTTGCACCATTTAAATTGTATGGGCTACACAGCAGGAGGATTTCAAATGACTAAATTACAGTCTTTCAGGGATTTTTAGAGTTGATTGTCCACAGGTGCATGGAAATTTTAGCAGCACTTTAAGAATTTTCAAAGAAAGTCAGATGATTGCTCTACCTGCCGAAAAATGTTGAATGCTTGGAACGTTTTAGCTGTCAATGTTGAGCTTGAAATACAAAAAGGACTAAAATACCAACAAAGTGCACAAAGGAAAGTCTGTTCTTGATAGTTTGCTCGTGTGGCAAAGAGTCTCAGCTATTTCTTTGAAAAGCTGGGGTTAACTTTCTAATGGCTGACCTGTCTTTCCTCTTGCAGATGGTCTTCCTGCTCTGTCTTTCTCCATCAGCACCTTGACCTTGATTGGCATGTTGGCAGTGATCACTTACACGGTGAGTTGGGACCCGAGACAAGTGGTTGATGCTGTTTCATGTGCTCAGTGGAGCTTCACCTTCTCTGTAATTAAAGCATTTCTTCCAACGTGATGATTTCCAAATCTTGCCAGCCCTGTAGCTTAAAGGAGTAGTTCATGGTTTATTGAGCTGGTGTTGTGTGTGTGGTTCTAAAAGTCAAAGTCATAATTTGGAGGGATGGCGGTCGGCAGACCCTTCTTTTAGAGAGGCCAGCATCGAAGCTTAATTATGTCGTGCTATGAAGCCAAAATACCCTCCATTACGGGTGCTGACATAGTAGCCAGGTGATGTTATTGGAGCCAAAATCAGTGCAGGAGAGAGCAGCTGGTGCAGCCACAGTAATAACATCTCACCTCTCTGCTAAACAAAACACACATTTAACTCTGAGAGAAAACTGAAAAGATCCCTTCAGGCTGGTACAAATGTACACTCATCAACATACACTACCTGTTTTTTTCCCAGTATGTTCCAACAAAAAGGTGCCCTGGTCTCCATATAGATTTCACTATGTTCTGAACAGTTATACAGGCCTTGGACAGCTTTGGCTAGCTGCACTGAAAATAAACATCAACACTCCACATGCAACGCAGAGACAGCCCCTGTGAATTTTCAGAAGAGGATTATGAAACCACCACGAAATAAGCCAGAGAGACAGTAGCTGGAGAGCACTGCTATTCCCCGAATATGGGGAAAGATAAATAAATGAAAACACCCAGCAACCGCACAAGTTCTCCCTCTCTCTTTTGGGCTGTCTGTTTGACTTAAAACATGTCAGGGGGTTTGAGGAAAAACTATATAGAAAAGTTTATTTGGTGCAAGTTTGACCAACATGTTTCCTCGCTGTATACCGTATATCCTGGTTAATAATGCGTATTTTTGTTCTATAAATTTTGGTATATGAATGATTCCAGTCTTCTTGTATGAGATGTTCATTTTGATGGAGTGGCCTCTCAGTATAAAAGACCCCTTATTATTTTGGAGTTATGCCATTCAGTTGGTTAAATTTCTCAGACTGCTGTCTCTCACCCAAAACTTTTACATGACATATGTGCACCTTTCACCGGCTTATCAACCACTTATCTGCTGCCTATTTATACACAGATCTACCTCAGTTTTCATTAATATATGCCAGTGTTTCAGCTTCTTCAGCGTTCTGCAGCTTCGCTGTTTTTTTCCTGGATCTGTGCTGCAACTTTAGTCAACGCTGTCCATTTTTCTTAGCGGTTACCCCTGTAACTAGATTAGTAAGTATTCCCCAGAGGTGGTGATACTGGTATCAGGGTAGGTTTAACACAGAATACTGCCTACTGGGAATAACATATATGTATAAAAAGAAAAGAAAAACTAGGATTTTAATCCAGGAACAGGGGAGGAGAAGTGACAGCCAACCCCAATCTATCCAGATTCTGTTGAGCTTAAAGAGGCCCATTTGACAAATTACACAACAATTGAGTGTGGAGCTCTTAATGAATAATACACAACCTATTTGAGTTACTTGTAGAGCTAATCTCCCTTAAGGACATATGATTTATCCCAGCTTGAATTCCACCAACTGTTCCCCCACTTTGTTTTCCACATCTCTTTAAAGAGTAGATGATTATCGCACACATGAAGATGGAAATACGCTCAGATTCGCAGTGACCCCATGTTGCTTTTGACTGCGTGGATGCCCTGTGGGATTCAAACCTCCCTGTGAGCCTTTGTTTTTGATGCTCCTTGTTTTGATGAAGTCAATCAAAGAAATCAGGCCTCTGGGCGACATCAGCAGCTGCCACTCCCTCTTTTATTCTCTCCGACACAAATGCAGAAGCTCGTTTTATCTCACTTTTTCATCCTTTCATCAGCTTTATTTGCCCTCTCCTGTCTCCCTATCTACAAGCAGCAGAACTCTTCTTGGTGGCAGCCTACCCATGTTTTCAGAGAGCTATGTGATTTATTATTCTTTGCTATGTGTAAGTATTAAGTCTGATTAACTTAATGGAATGGAAGTGAAGGGCCTGAGAAGAAGTGGAAATGTTAGCCATGACTCCTGCGCTAATTTATTGCTATACTTTGTGCAGAACTATCCGCCTACGTCTCTACAAACAACTCTATGAGACAAACAATATATAACCCTGCAGTTCGGAGCTCTTTAGATTAATATAAAGTGAAGAAGGTTATAGCTTTTACTGCTTCTTCTGATCTTTTTACTACTTTTATTCAAAGTCAAAGGAATATCACACCCTTTGCAGGGGAATTTTCGCTTCCGATTTGACCGAGCTTTCAACGTATAAGTAGAGTATGAGTCTTTGCTGTAGGGCTCTGCTCAGGTAGAAGTGGCATTGACATCCAGCCCAAACTATCACCTAAACACACATTTTAAAGATCATTGAAACAACCGAGACCCTCAAGGTTGGCAGAGTCCACAGCCATAAAGTACACAGTCCTATGGTGGGTTTTGTTGGGTTTCGTTAAGCTGTTTTTTTCTCTGCACTGCTGATCTGCACACAGCACCATCTACAATGTCTAAAACTCATGTTTTTTTGTAGCAAGTATTTGATTTTCGACTTATTAGATTTTCAGGTTTGCATGCCTGTCCTTTAGACTGCACTGATACAAAACATTGTTAACTGAAATACATGAAAATGAATTTTTGACCTTGGCCTCTTACTAATCTCAACTCCACAACAGTGCCAAGACAAAGTCATGCCATTGTGCTTACACATTAAAACCCAACACAGTATTACATTTGTGTTACAGTTAGGGCTGGGCAATAAACCAAATATTTACCGATACAGAAATTTATGACAATAACCAATGACATTTTGCCCATGTCAATATATTCTGTGCCAAAATAAATAAATAAATAAATTAATTAATAAAAGTTGGTTTTGGATGTGTGCAGGTAGGCTATGTTCTCATGTCCCTTTAAGACGCTGTCCTACATCAGAGATGTGACTCCACCCCATCAAGTCTGTAACAAAGAGGGAAAGACAGGTGAGGAGATGGAGGACGGTTCAAAAGTTGTAGCGGCTGAAGTAGATGAAGTTAATATGGGAGGTGGTGAGCAGCTTGTGGAGTAGTTATCATCCATTTATCGTATTGAGGTGAACTGCTCAATATATCGTGATATTGATTTGAAGCCATATCGCCCAGCCCTACTAGATAGCTAGTTTAGCCCCTACACATTACCACAGTGTTTCCCTCCATTCTGCCCCTGTTACTGTATTCCTCTGAACCAATTATGTACCAGTGGAGCTGATTGGTTGTATCTCAAGGAAAAATCAGCAGGCTAATACTGAATTATTAACTCGGTTTGCACTTGATTTGAGATGACAGTCATTGTCACTTGATATTCAAGCAGTCTTTTAATGCAAATATTTTATTCAAGACTGAAAATCAATATTTATGGGTACATTTCTACCTTGAATGTTTGCACATGCATATTCTTTCTATATACATCCTTCCCAGTACTCTCTTTTAAAGTACCCAGCAGTCTTAACATGACACCGATCAGACCAATCTTTAAGCTCATGGATCACGAGAAGTCCTTTTGCTTCATTTAAAAGCTTGTCTGGTATGTTGACTTATGACTCCCCGTGGCTTCGTCTCCCGTGGCCCTGCCTCTCTATGCTTTTAAATTGCCAGCCATAAGATGCTGATGTCGAGTGAAAGTTCAGAAGATTAATGTGTGTTTATCTAATCATAGACTCTGAGATTGACCTGGGAAGATGGGGGTCTCTGAGTGAATAAAGGTGGATTCGCTTAGACTTGCATCAGGATCCCCGGTCCTCTGGTGCCTGTTTGATTTCTGACTTTTAATTCAAACATAACTCTTAGCTACCAAAACACATTTTTTCACAGAGATTTGAGGATTAGAACTCAGTTTAAGGCTCTTAATTAAAACAACACATTGAGAAATTGCTGTAGAAGAACTTTGGGTCAGTGTATTTTAACTTTGAAAAGGAAAATATCACCAGCTTGAATCAAAAATCTACACAACATGAACATTTTTATTTCACAGGTTGTACAAAAATAAAGTAGATAAAGAAGAGATCATTTAGTTACGGTATGTACAATCAAAAATTACATCTTGTCAAGTAGAATAAGTACGGTGCACTCTTGAGTAATGCTCTTCCAAACTCTCAAGTTTGTCAAACACACTGATTTGTTCAATTGTTTTGCTTATTATAACCCTCAATAATCCATTTACCAAATACTCATCAATGTCGGTGATGTTTTAGCAGCTCTCGCTGTTGAAAATGATGAATGGCTGGAAATCAGATCAGGTGTTAATTAGAGCTAATTATGTGATTTACATGATTAGAAGCCAAAATTAAACTTGTAAGTTTTCTGATTAAAGTGCTCCGCATACAGTGTCTGCACTCAGCCAAGGAGCTTTTGTTAGCACAAACCTTCACTTTGTATCATTGTTGTGCTAAAGCAGAGAAGGGTTGATTCAAGCAACTTCTACATAGATGTGAATCTTTTCTTTGAACAGATGGCATCGTTGAAATTTACGGAGTCATATTCTCCTCTGATTCTTTCTTTTTATCACCACTAGGCTAGCCCTAAAGCATGTAGAAAATATTGTTTGTCATGTTGAGCTATTATGATGCTTACAGTAGTATTGTATCAGATTTTAGTCTCTATAAGTATCTACTTTGACAGGAAAAGAATAAAAACAAAATGAAAAGATGCTGATCATAAAAGCCATCCAAATAAACTCGATTGTCCATCTTTCTACCTCACCCACTTTCACGTTCATCAAAGATTCATAAACACAGGTGCACCCTTATGCACCCTTGTCTAAAGTGTTTTTTAGATTTCAAACATTGGCGTGGGAAACTGGTGAGCTGCTGTTAACACTCTGTTTGCAAGCAGGTCTTTTTTAGTGAAATAGTAGCTGCTTTCTTAGCATAGAAAATACATCAGCTAAAGAGGGATGAAACCCTGCAGTGAGAAACTGTGTGAGAAAAAGGTTCAGCAGTCCCTGAAATACACTCACCGGCCACTTTATTAGGTACACCTGTCCAACTGCTCGTTAACACTTAATTTCTAATCAGCCAATCACATGGCGGCAACTTAGTGCATTTAGGCATGTAGACATGGTCAAGACAATCTCCTGCAGTTCAAACCGAGCATCAGTATGGGGAAGAAAGGTGATTTGAGTGACTTTGAACGTGGCATGGTTGTTGGTGCCAGAAGGGCTGGTCTGAGTATTTCAGAAACTGCTGATCTACTGGGATTTTCATGCACAACCATCTCTAGGGTTTACATAGAATGGTCCGAAAAAGAAAAAATATCCAGTGAGCGGCAGTTCTGTGGGCGGAAATGCCTTGTTGATGCCAGAGGTCAGAGGAGAATGGCCAGACTGGTTCGAGCTGATAGAAAGGCAACAGTGACTCAAATAACCACCCGTTACAACCAAGGTAGGCAGAAGAGCATCTCTGAACGCACAGTACGTCGAACTTTGAGGCAGATGGGCTACAGCAGCAGAAGACCACACCGGGTGCCACTCCTTTCAGCTAAGAACAGGAAACTGAGGCTACAATTTGCACAAGCTCATCGAAATTGGACAATAGAAGATTGGAAAAACGTTGCCTGGTCTGATGAGTCTCGATTTCTGCTGCGACATTCGGATGGTAGGGTCAGAATTTGGCGTCAACAACATGAAAGCATGGATCCATCCTGCCTTGTATCAACGGTTCAGGCTGGTGGTGGTGGTGTCATGGTGTGGGGAATATTTTCTTGGCACTCTTTGGGCCCCTTGGTACCAATTGAGCATCGTTGCAACGCCACAGCCTACCTGAGTATTGTTGCTGACCATGTCCATCCCTTTATGACCACAATGTACCCAACTTCTGATGGCTACTTTCAGCAGGATAATGCGCCATGTCATAAAGCTGGAATCATCTCAGACTGGTTTCTTGAACATGACAATGAGTTCACTGTACTCAAATGGCCTCCACAGTCACCAGATCTCAATCCAATAGAGCATCTTTGGGATGTGGTGGAATGTGAGATTCGCATCATGGATGTGCAGCCGACAAATCTGCGGCAACTGTGTGATGCCATCATGTCAATATGGACCAAGCTCTCTGAGGAATGCTTCCAGCACCTTGTTGAATCTATGCCACGAAGAATTGAGGCAGTTCTGAAGGCAAAAGGGGGTCCAACCCGTTACTAGCATGGTGTACCTAATAAAGTGGCCGGTGAGTGTATGTTCCTAAGCATAAAATTGCAAAAGAAAAATTGAGGATTTTATCACTAGAAAACCTTGATCTTGATATAGACACATTGGCAACTTCTGTGGCCATCAAAATCTGTTTTTATCAACATTATACACAGCATACCAACTCATATGGAATTGGGGTAACTAGATGATACAAATGTTTACCCAATGAGCATGACGTATAAGAATAATCAGCATAAAAGTCCTTCACCGTTTTATTAAATCTCTCAGTAGAAGAAAACACTGAAGATTATATTTATATCTCGTTATAAAACATGGATTAGTGATTTTGCCTGCAGGTTTCTGAATCAAAATCAGTTTAGTAAAATGAACGTTAGACGGTGGTAAATGACATGTCATCGTGATCTGTTTAAAAATTCATGTTTTTATGAGGCACATGAATGTACTGTCTTTGCAAGAGCTTTGTGTTTGCCATCCCAGCAATTTAACAACGACGCTACACTTTGAATTATGACCCGTGTTACTGACTAACATGAGCTCTTGTTAGCTTCAGATACGTCATTATAGCCAATTATAGAAAAGTAACAAAAGCAGACCATATTAATCGCAATGAATGAGCGCGGTGTCATTAGCATAAAGGTACGTATTCTATTTTCCTGAAAACCAGCAGTCAAACCTCTCTTTAAAGAACATACCTCAACTCTCCATGACATGACTGAGCTGAGCACTGCAGCAGCAGAAAACTTCCAACCCTTTGTAAAACTGAGTCACACAGACAGGCATGTATAAAAAAAAATCTTTATAAAAACAGCCCTCAGGTAATATTTGACAAGCTGGCTACTGGACTACAGAAAAGCTACCCATGGGGGACGCACCAGCAGATGTTAATATAAACTCTGTGCCAATCAGAGTAAAGTCCATCCGTCTGTAAATACTTTGCATAAGTTAGGACCTAAAGGAAAGCCTAAAGGACCCTGTCCACAGCAGAGATTTTGCCTTGTCAAAGAAAAGACAGAATAAATAGCGTAACAATGTTTGCTGCATCCCATTTAATGGAGCTCGTTCCCCAAAGCTGGTGTTTTACATGCCCCCTCACAACATAGCTTTCTGGGAAACCTGATTAACTTCAGTGTTTGCTTCTGTTTTCCTGCTCAGACGAGTCAAACTGTGACATTTTAAAATTATGACACTTAGCGGTTTTATGTTTTAAATTCTAGTTTATGCCATGTGAGGATTGTTCAAAAGTCAAAAAAGTAACAGTACAGGTAAAAAAACTTTTATTTTTTCTTCAAAAGTGTCAGAGGTATAAAAAAGGGGTCAAGAACAAGATTATAAAACCTTTTTAAAGTGAGGAATCAGGTTGTCAGAGTCAGTGACCTTCCTTATTTTTACCTTTTCATTGATCAAACTTTGACGTGTTCTGGTGGAACAGTTCTGTTACAAAAACATCTTTCTGTCCCTGCAGTGTTAAATGGAGGCGAGCATCTTTGTATGTTGAACTTTTGAGTCAATAAATCAAATTGAAAGTTTGACTGATAATAATAAACTTGAAGAATTAGTGTGTTAAACATTAGTAGCTTTGTTAGTCGAGGTTTTGGTACTTTGCTCTTTCCATTGATTTTTTTTAGAAAAGTACTCTAAAAGTCCTAATACTGTGTCACTGTGAGCAGCACAAAATAACTGTTTTAAGACATATAAAACGAGAAAATGAGCTATAACTTGCAGTGTGTTGAATTGTGAATGAACTGTGCGCTGTCTTGGCTTCACATTTTTATCATGTTCATCATGTGATTTGCACGGAGTTAATATTTTAAAGTATTCAAATAAAACTTAAATATTTTAATACTCTCATAACCATGAAGTTGCCCTTTGACCATTCCACTTTGTCGCTCCTGTCTTCTTATTAAAATTACAGTCAAGCCTTGAAATTAAGGAAGTGACTCCTCCACTCCTGCATGTAACGAGAGATTAATCATCCCGCGAAGCTAGTTCTTTTTAATTTTAAATGATCTTAATTACCGAGCTAAGACTCTTGAATGCTGGATGTTGGAATTTTTCAGAAAATGTGGATTTTATTGAATCAGATACCTCTATCCAGATAGCTCATTTTCAAATAAACACAAAGTATTTGTGCCCTAATAAAAAGGATAAGGGCCTAAAAACGGGAGGCATCCTATTAAATCTATTATTTTAATATCAGTGTCCTGCTGATTAGTTACATAAGCTACCACACGGTCTTAATGTCCCCTACAACCCAAGCATGGAAAAGATGGAAATAAATGGTCAGTACATCACCGAGGTAATCAAGTGGGCATCTTTCCTAATTGGTGTTTCCACAAGTTAGGTCCATGACACATCAGAGAGGCTCAGTCGTTCGCTTCCAGCATCCGAGAGCCACCCACCTCCATGCCAGCTCCCAGTGGCAGTGCCCATCGTACCCACAAATAACAATCACAGCACAGGCCAGTCACCAATTTTATGTTTCAGTGATACTACCTGCCTTTATCACATGGACCCTAATGACTCCCTGCTTTTTTGACTGGTGTTAATCACATCCCTGAGTCTGCAGAGAGATGCAATAGGAGAGAGGGAAGACAAAGCCAGGTCAAGAAGCCAAGAAGCTTGACTCTGCTGGATAAGGGTGTATGCTCTAACTCCTCTACTCTCTGCTGTATGAGGGAAGAAAAAAAGGGATTATTGATACTTAAACCAACATCACAAGACCAAAGAAGACAAATAAAGATAGGTAAAATCACATGATTAAAGGGAAAAAAGTGGATAGTGGACTTCTATAGTTAAACACTCGTCCATATTGTCTTTCTGGGGATAAACAAGGACACAACATTACTGTTTTGCGAACTTCCAATCACTGTCTACATCTCAGTGTCCGTGTCTGTAGATGTTTTTTTCTCCTCCTCTTTCTCTTTGTTTTCTCTTGACCCTAAAAGTGATGGACTTTGACAATCACGGCTGACTCCTGTAGAGACTAGCGTGTTAACTCTAGCAACGGGAAGCTTTTAACAAGCAAGCAGTCATACATCAAGCTGTTTCCGACAGCCTAAGCAGCCTGAAATGCTGTCTAATTTTGACATCAGCGCCTGTCTTGTTTTAGTCCTGCTCCTAAAACTTTGCTGTAAAGACGGATTCATGCTGTCTCAATTTTTGAGTCCTAATCTACGTGGCTCTGTGCCCAGTGTACTGGCAAAAAACAGTAAAGCACCTAATCAGGAAAAATGCAGTTTTAAACAAAAAAATTAAATGTGCAGATTTATTAACAGACTTAATAAAGAGTGTGATGAGGGGGAAAAGCGGAGGCTATTTTTTTCACCATTTTGGTTTCAGATTTCATAAACATATTCGATTGATTTGAATGATTTCAAAGTCAAATATTTCCTTCCCCTGCCTGTAAACACCCCGAAAATTGTCAGAGGCACCGATTAGCAATCTTATCTTGATGATGATGATGTGATTACATTTGCACAAACCGAGCAAATACTTTAAAATAAAGATTAAAGGGAAATACTTGAGGCAAAAGAGAATAAAACAGAGAGTGGAGAAACCCTTAATGCCACTCATGACCTCTGATCATCCTTTAAATCCAAGCACAGACACACATAGACGGGATAAAAGTCTGCTCTACACCAGGTTTGTGAAGCTTGTCTTGTTTAATGCTCCAGCCGGCCAAATTGTCCTATTAATCAAAAGGAATTAGAGAAGCTAGCATAAGTAGCGGGACAGCCAAACTTGCAGGATTAAGGGGAACATATATAGTTAAGTTTTGTGTCCTCAAACGCATGGCTTTAGTTATTTCATATTAGAGGAATTACCCAAAAGCCGGCGTGTGTTCTGAGTAGTTTTAATTAGCTGTGTTACACTGGACCGACCTCTTAATCAAAAGCTGTTGAGAATACTGAGGGGAGCTCTTCTTTCTCTTCTGTTATTCTTACAGATTTATGTTAAAATCTGGATTTTCAGACCCATAGAGATGATCTGTGAATCATAGATATGTAGGAAAACACCTTTAATGAAGGTAGTACCCTAGTTCGGTGAAAAAATAAGAATTTCAGGGTGGCTGCGGTCTAAAATGTGATATTTTTCATTTTCAAGTATTTATGCTAATTTTTGTGTTAAGCTTGAGCTTGTGTTTGACCAATATTCCTTTTTTATCTGTTTTTTCCCCTAAATTTTGTAAAATAAATAAGAAAATATTGTTATTCCATGCACATGACAAATTAAAGCACCCTTGAGGATTTTTTTCAACATCCATGAAAAAGACTGAAATTCATATTGATGTTTTTTAATGATATCCAAAAGCACACAACACCATCAGCAACATGACTGACGATTTTTATATTGCAATTTTTAACTCATGACCACGATGAGAGGGTGTAGGTGTCCACCCAGCAGCTGAAGAGACAGCCTGTTTTTTATAAACACCACATAAAACAGTCACAGTTAATTACACAAAGTCAGCTGGACTAGATATTTTGTCAGAAGGTAAGTTAAAGCATAGGAATCACAAAATAAGTAAAGTCTACTTTGTCCATAGGGGGGCGCCAGAATTGATGCAAATCATAAGTTCATTACAGTTGTTTGAAACACTAGACAGTAATTGTTTAAGGTTTAATATGCTTCATTTAGAGAGTGTCAATAATGCTCAACAGCAGTCACACTGATGAGACTGCCTGTAGTGTCTGCAGACAACATAAGTAAACTTTTTTAACAGTCTTATGAGCGCAGTCATCGCCAAACTGTTTAAAATGCTATGAATCAGTCATGTAGTATGTATAGAGTGGAATCTGGTCTTAGTTCCTGAGTGTCTTTGTTATAACCAACTGTGTTACCAGCTTTTATGTCACCCAGGACCTGCACTTTATAGATATATCCCAAACAGCATTTCTTTACTGTATGCTCTTGTTACTCTTTGCTCAGAATGATCAGCTTCAGTGTTTTTATAATTGCTTGACTCTCTGTGACATTCACTGAAACTTAAAATGCCCTGTTTATCAAAATTAAGATTCCATGAAAACAACTAAAAGACATGTTTATTCCTCTACTGCATGTTGTGCTTTTTATTAGTTATGAATAACTTGAAAAGTTTTATCATTTTTGTGAGAACAGTGCCGAAAAACAGTAATCCCAGTCATAATACACAAAACTACATATAATTTACAAGTATGTAGTATGCACATTGGCTGCCTAAATGCAGACTAACTCTGAAAATGCTGCAGTATTTGTTGAAATTCATGTAAAACAGAGTTGTTTCAGTTGCAAATTGAAGTGGTTTGAAGAAAAGATCATGATTTGACATTACCATAAATTGTGGGTCAAACATCGTTAGGTAAATGAGGGAGCGGGTGTTGCTTTTATTTCGATGCCAGTCACATCCCTGAAACTGTTTTTGCTCCACCATCTCATGTAAAAAGAGCGACAAAGGGAGGGCTTGTGCCTCAGACCCATGTCCACCTAACTCCCCCTCTTTCCTCCTACCAGTCACATGACTCTGGATGATTTCACCCAGTAACTCCCCCCTGTATCCCACACGCACATAAAGCCACTCACACTCTCGGCTCTAAGCTATTTCTGGTCGGTAGTGACCACAGGGGGCTTTAAAATATCTTTAATGAGCATGCATGATTATGTGTGAACTGTAAATGTCCACTCCTGCAAAGGGACACCTGTGTTTATACCCTCCTCTTTATCCCTCATGTAGTTTCACATTTGAGGAGAGGGGGAATGTTTCTCTGGGGAGTAGGGACAGGTTTTCCTTTTATGAGTGTGTTTGATATTCGGGACATGCTCCGGCCTTAAGAGCTCCATGATTCATTGCAGGAGGCGACATTCGCCCCTAGCTGAGATCCACAGCAGAGACTAATAATAGTCTAGCCTGACTTCTTATCCCATGTGACTTTCTTAATGCTACCTTACACCCAGAAAAGTAGTTTTACAAAGATATTGACTCTGATGTTTCCTCTCATGGAATAAAGATATAAAAGGGCAGCATCTTTTCGACGCGGCTGACAGTATCTACGCACAAAAGGCCCCTTTGTTTTATTATGAGCCCATAAATGGCACTCCTCCAAGTTGGTTCGAGTGAAACTCATTCTGGGAGAGCAGGAAAGCGTGTGCCTGGTGGTGTTATTTTGATTTATATTGATTGGTGCGTTTCCTAGCATAAGACATGCCCCTTTGTTTTTAATGAAAGCTCGCACAGGCTTTTGGGAGACCGAAGCCCGTTTATACCCTGAAATGTCTTTAAATTTTGTGCACATACTCTCTCTCTGTCTCTGTCTGTCACTGGGCCTCGTGTGTATGTGTGACTTACTGTATGTTTTGCTATCACTTTATTATTTATACCTTGTACCTTTTAATAGGAAAGAAAAGTTTATGTTTTGCTTTAAAGCCATGCCATTCAACATTGATGACACTTTGATGCCCCTCTCTTTTAACCCAGATTTTCTCTCTCAAACTCTATTTATAAAAATTTCATCACATCCCGGATGGAGGACGCTGCTGTCACATGGGGGCACTGTTAAGCTGTAAATTGCATCAGAGTGATATAAGGCTGTGATACCCCCACAAAATGGTTGCAGCAAATTCACCAATAAACCTAAGGACAATTATAGATTCCTCCATTTTAATCTTTTTTCTTATACAGCCTGGGAAGCCTGGAAATATATGATGTCAGTTTGTTTGTGTGTTTACTTATCCTCACGGACTGTTGCAGCACTTCTCAGGGTGATGTGTTTGTCATTAAGCAGACGTGGTGGGGATGTGTGGGTGGATGCACGTGCCATATGCGCTGTCCCACTATGACAATAACATGTCATTGTAATGGCCGGTTTGTTCTTTCTTTCAGGCATATGGAATGTCTGTGCTGCCTTTGAATCTGATAAAAGGCACACGGAGCGTGGCGTACGAGCGCCTGGAGAACACAGAGGACATTGACGACGTTGAGCACCAGATAGAAAAGCTGAAATCCAAGGTTGGTTTTAAAACAAAAGACACAAATCACAGACAAGATGTGTGGCACTAAGACATGCAAACACGTGTAAATTATTCACAGGTCATGGAGTAACTTCTTTTAATAACAGCTGGGAGTGAAAACACACAGATCGTTAGCAGGAACATTTGAGTTTTTGTCTTATTTTTACAGTTCAATGTTGTCAAGAGTGTAATCATGGATTCGTTGAAAGGCACACAGGCATCGCCTTCAGCTAAACAGTCCCTCCTACTTATCTTACTGTCATGCTTCACTGTCTCCGCATGCAATTATGGATAGTTAGCAATGTCCTTATCAAAGAGTGCCGCACAAGTACAGTCATGTAGTTTGTGTTATCAGCAGCGTTTGCCAATGTCAGTTTACCCCTCCTCCTCCTCTGTCCCCAGCATCTATATATGTATTTACCAATAAGCATCTGTAACTTTTATCAGATCTGACATACCCAAAAAACAAATTTTGACTTGCTTAAATTTACAATAATGTCAGAGTTATAGTTATTTTACTAACATATGTAAGTCATCGTAAATCTATCGAGACGGTTTAACCTTAGATGCTCTTTCAGAGGTAAACGTACACACACAGGTGTATGCTTCATCGATTTATTTGGTTGTTTGTTGGTCTTGTCGCCAGTGTACAGATGGGCGTCCCCTTTCCTCCAGGGACAGACACAACCTGCAGGAGCTGGAGGGTAAACTGCAGGTCCTGCGGCGCAGAGGGAGACACCTGGAAATTGCAGAGAGGAACTGCTGCACCAAAGTGGGCAGCGCTCTCAGACCGGTCAAGGTGAGACAGAGTTAAGGAGTTAGCTGCCATTAACAGAGGTAGAGTTTAGAGCGAGTAGAGATCGTAGATTATCAGAAGTTAAATATTCAACCTAATGGAGTTAGCGTTATGTCTTCTGGCCTTGTTTCGTTTGACGTTAAGGTCAAACCAAGGCATGAATCTCTTAATGTTTCTGTTGTTTTAAAAATATCTTGTTTGGCCAAGTGTCATCCTATTGTTCATATCCTCCAGCTTCACCATCTCCCTCCCTATGTGTGTCTTTGTGCTCAACTTTTAATCTGGACTGCTCTAGATTTACTTTTAGCTCCACTTTACACAACCGCATATTTACTTGATTCCCATGGGGAGTCTCTTCACCTAATTTACTCTGAAGTCTCGCTGGGAGTCTCACATTTCCAGGCAGGATGCCATGTTTCCCCAGGGATAAACCAAAGCAACCACAAGTTTCTATTTGATATACTTTTTTTTTTTTTTTGACTTGGACCAATACCTGGACTTCATGTGCAATTTCAAATTGTTTTTCACACGTATTCAAATTTGGCCGAGAGGGATCGGCAGGAGTGGGGTTATAACACCACTTCTCCTAGATTGAACAAACGCTGCCACCTTTGGACATGTTTGTGCACCTCTGTTGAGAATATGACTTCTGGCAGTGCGTTTTTCCACCCTCTTATCCACAGTGAGCACACGGAAGAAATAATAGACAGCCAGTCATGGTGCAAAATAACAGCACTGAGTTTACATACCACTATGAATGACAATTGATAAGCAATAACTGAACTCTGTCTCAGTACAGCCTAAAGGGACTCATTAGATACTAAGTGTTTACATTGTTCTGTTGCAAAAAAAATGTACTTATTACCATCACAACCATGAAATATTTCTTTTATATACAAATTCCAAGAGCTAACTTCCTTGTTAAGTAAAACCCCTGTGGCAAAAACATGATTTCACTCAGTTTTACATTACTAAGGTTGCATTTTTGATTACAGAAAACACTCATCAAAAAAACACACATACCACTAAGAATAAGCTCAAGTGATGCTTCACTGATTCTGTTATTTCAATGCAAATGAACAAAAAACTGCCCCAAAACTTGGCTCCATGGTTTATGTGATGGTCATCTGTCAAGAATCTCTCTCCTGGTTACCTGGGTGACCATTCTCGCCCCATCCAGATGTGTACAATTGGTTGGCTCACAAGCAGCGACACTCGCACATTGTTGAAAAGCGCAGGCGGGGGGTGGGCGGATGGCTCATACTGTAGAAACTGTATGACAGAAAACATCAGTGCTTTTTCAAACAGTGGCACACCTTGAACCTCAAACAATCAGATTGACAGAGTTTGTGTCACAGTTATAAAACCTAAAAGAAAAACTGCCTCTTAAGGCGCTGTGAGGAGTTCTTCACTGATTTTGAATAGTGTCGTTTTTATACTGATCTGCACAGGGAAATTAGATAATCAGTGAAAAGATTGGTTATTTTTTTATACTGACTTCTTTTGACTGGTGCCTGTGTGTGGATTAATTAAAGAAAAGGCCAAGTTGATATTCAGTACCCACCTGAAAGGGTCTTCATGATGTCTTTTTTTCTGACACTGATGCAGAATAAGCACAGAGACAGCATTTTCAGATGGAGAAACTTTCAGGGCTTTACCAATCTAAAATGTTGATGTGAATGTGTGAGTGCTTTACTGCTCTTTGGATGCTGAAGGTAAACTCAATATCAATGTCAATGTCAGCTTTATCTATATGGCAAATTTAAAACAGCCAGTGGCCTACCAAAGTGCTTTACAGTAAAATAGCCAGAAACAATAAAAATATAAAAACAATAAAAGCATAATACATATAAAACAACAATATAGATAAACAGCAAATAAATAAAAACCCAATAAAAGTAACAATACTACCCCAAAGGCTACAGTGAACAGGTGCATCTTTAGAGTAAACTGTGCATATTTATCATATTAAGACACTTACTGGGGCACCAGAGCAAACATCATGACACAAAGGATACACCAGGTAATGCTGAGCTGATACTTTTGTACTTACAAACAGAAGTAAGTGAGAATTTACCAAGTTCAATCGTAGTTTCATCATTTTGTTTTTGCAGTAGCTACAAACCTTGTCTTTAACTCATCAATCTGCATCTGCAAGTTGTCTTGTCTTCAAAGGGTTCACCAGAAACAACACAACATGAAAGTTGTATATATATATATATATATAGTATACTGTAGATATCTACAGTATACTATACACAGTAGATATACTGTAGGCTACTGCTCTTCACGCTGACAGGAAGGCCGAGTGATCAAACTCAGACCAGAAAAGCGTTTTCTGCGCCATCTACAGGATAAGTTGGGGAACTTTTTAAATGGCGGAACATTTTCGAAGTGAAACCGAATCTTATTCTACGCATTTTATTTCTGAAAATATCGGCCAAAATCGGCGAGTTTTGGCCGATGACTGTTTAGTCTCAAACTAGCTAAAATTGGACGATTTAATCAGCTCCTTACTGCGTAAATCTTTGCAGCTTTTATGGAGTGACTTATTTACTTCTCTTTTTTTTGTTTCTTGGTGCATGTTTTAACTACTTTAATTCTTAAGTGTGCATGGCATACCCACACTGTCTGTCCATACATGAAAGGAAAAACCACCCCATACTGTATTAACAGCATGTCTCAGTGTTAGAGACAGGAGAAGTTTCAAATCATTTTCCTAGTTCACATTTTACGACCCCACTGCTATCCATTTTCCAGTATTTTACCGCACGGCAGGCATGCTCAAACATTTAAAAGCAGTGTCTGTAACAGTTTGTCTCGAACCAAGGGGGCTGTGGCTAATGACAGTCCCCAGACTCGAAATTTTAACAGTAATGAGATGGGAGATTTATTTACTGTATGCTCAGGCACTGGTGTGGAGTGATAAGCCGAAGGATTGCGATTTCTCCGGAGCAGTTGTGCCACTGTTACTCCAACACATGCTGTCTTTTTTATATCAACCCCAGTGGTGAACAGAAATGGCTTATTTAACATGATCAGCTACAGTTTCAAAGTGCACAGACCTCTGAAACCATAACTTTGTTTTTTTTAGTAGGATCTCAGATGAAGGAAAAAAGCCGGTTAGTGTTTTTAATGAATAATTTATAATGCAACACCATTCTCTTTGTTTAAAACTCAGCTGCTTTATCATTTAAACTTTTGTTGTTTATATTCCTAAGCGTCCATTTTCATAATATTTTCTTCTGACAGCAAAGACTTTAGTTGCAGAACTAAGTTTGGCAATCTCTCTGCTTTTATAACAAGATTTAGGCAGTTTAATAAGAGCATTTAAATAATTGCATTCCTCTTAGCTTCCTGTTTTAGTTGTTTATATCAACATTTAATGATGACGGGGTGTTAACTGTAATTTTCTTGATTGTAATTTAAACCGAAGTCAATTAGTAAAGACTCCAAATGATGTTTTTTCTACACTAGTGAGGTTAAATTGTGTAGTTTTGTTTCGCTGATTACTTCCTTTTTATCATAATTGTGTTGACCTTGATATAGCAATGTCAATGAGAGTGACAGTGAGAAACTAAATAAGCCAAACACATTTATTTATTTTTTTCTTTTTATCTCATCATTCATCCTAAAAAAAAAGCCAGCACTTTAATTAGTGTGCTTACAAGCAAGACTGTGCGACACATAACCGATAAATAAACACATTTTTAATAAATGTTCATAATTTCCTAATGTGTTCGTCTCCCGCTTCATCACTTCTGTTGGTACAGAATATTCTTGCCATAAGGGCTCCTTGAAGGAAAGCAGTTGATTGGGTTTATTGCCTTTTTGGCTGCCACCCACCTTTTGCCTCCCTGGTTGAAACCTCCCCGCTCTGTCTGGATTGTGCCATTGCTTCCCCCCTGTCACCGCGGGCAACAGTGCCAAACTGTGCCCGGCCGAGCCATATGGTCTCTCCTTGACAGAGGAGATGACAGGAAGGTGATCCAGTGGACGCCTTTGAAAACAAACCTTTTTTTATTTTTGGTTCAGTCGTGGGATTTACTGTAAGCCCTTTTGTTGTGGGTACATATCATGGTGCAGTGTTGTTTTTTTATTTATTCTGTTTTGTTTTCTCTGCAGATAGTGTTGGGTATTTTCTTTATCCTGGTTGCTCTTCTCTTCACTGTTGCCCTGTTCATTTCAAAGTAAGTTAAGATCACTCTCGACACATAACAACTATTAAAGATGATTCATTGTGCTTCAAATTTATACCGATGTTTATGTTGTTTTTGCATGTTTCAGTTTGGACAAAGCCCTCCACTCTGCTGGCATCAGCTCCGGGTTCATAATCTTTGGCACCAACCTCACCAATCCTCTGAACGAACTTCTATTAGCCTTACAACCCGTGAGTATCCTTTCATCTGTCATGCTGAAAAGATTATTATCCTCAATTAAGATATGCTTAGAGCTATATTTTCCTGTTTCCATCATCATTAACCTAAATGAAGCGTCAATTAAAAGCTTTATTCTTGGCTATCCTTAAATGCACTTGTGAAACTGTTAACTTGAAGTGCATGTGCTCCGGCGGCACACTGCAGGAGCTATGTAAATCACAAAATCCTGAACTGCAGAAAAAGCCTCCTCATACATTAAATGAGTCATTTTGAGTTAAATGTTGTTTCATTACTTTTAAATAAAGTCTGACAGGTTCCACTTATATTTTAACAGAGGCTATAAGATAACAAAATTGCAACCATAGAAATCCTACCCTCATGAGTCACGCTCACAAGTGCAGTTTGCATACCACAGTAACTTCAGAATAATTGCATTTTCAAAGGGAGCAGAGCCGAGATAAAAATTCCTACCTGACAAGCACATTAAACACTCCTGTAAGTGGGAGCATAATAGATGTCAAAAAGAAAGGATAAAGATTAGTGACTTAACTCCAAAATGATTAAATTAACACCTTTTTGACTCCGTCTTGTAAAAAATATGAACTGTAGCTGATAAAACTCATTCACAAGACCATGCAGGATGATGCTCAAGTGACTATTCTGTAAACCGTAAAGATGCTGGTAATCTGTGAGATGGCAAAAGTGGAAGCTGTAAAACAAAGATCCCTAAGCTACTCTGGACTCTACCACCAGGTCCTCTGTAGCATCCCTAAGACAATGTCACACCAGACCTAAACCAGATACATGTTCAGTCCATTTCTGCCCTGATCAGGTTTGGCTTGGTGCCTCCTCATCTGTCACCACCCACCTGCTGCGTTTTTAGACAGCAGCACCTGCCAGCTGGAGTCACAAGACGACCATCCCTGCACCCCAATCTGTAAATGCTTTTCAAAATACATCCAAAAACGGACCAGTTCAGACAGGCTTTGGTTCATTATCCCTCTTCTGTCATAAATACCTGTTTCTAATATCCAAGGGCTGTGTACCTATAGCTGTGGTTCATGTAGTTCTGGCACTTGTTTACATATATGTTTTATCTATGTTGACTTATTTACAAAGGATTATCTGTCTTAAATACAGACTCAGTGGTCTTCTTACTTCATCATGAGCTTTGACACTGCCTACCTGTTGACTCAAGTTCTGGTTGTTCTTGCTGTGACCGTTTGATGGTATAGTTCGGTGGAACTTAATCCGGCGCCAACACAGTCAGGGTACTTTATTCTGAAAGTTTTAATGTTGCCCTGGTGTCTGGCTTTCTGTCTCCTCCCATCTGCCCTGTGCTGGTCATGCTCATGTATCCAGCAAATATGGAAGTCATGCATACGTGCTGCAGAAGGCCTAAAGTGTCCAGAAACACAACCCTGCACAACCAGCAGAAGCAAACAAACTGACTAAAGTTGAAGTTAGGGACGGACCAAACACAGATGGTGGAAGTTTTCGGTGTAGTTACTAGATCATAGATAGTTAAGTCTTTTAGAAATGAAATGACATTTTCATTCAAGTTTTTATTATTATGTTAGTCATACAGGGAAAAAAATTGAGTACTTAGAGCCGATTTCAGAAGTTACACAAAATAATGCATCAAAAAACTCTAAGCCTTCCTGTTCTTGCCTGCTGTTTTGATAAAGTGGCATTTAAATGAAGTAAAACTTTTGTTAATCATCTCCCAAACTGAAAAACTAGCACTGAGCTTTGATCACATTACTTTGTTAGAAATATAAATTGTTTTTTACAGAAATGAAATGGGATTGAAAAGCTTAAAAGTCCATAAAAGCTTAATTCTGATGCTGTCACCTAGATGTAAGTGGTTGCCAAGAATGAGACTTTTCATCTCCCTGCTCTTGGATTTCATCTTTTTTGCCACAATGAACCCTTCGGATTTAAAAGCTGGTGCTATCAGCAATATGGTTGGCTGAGCAAAATTTATTAGAAATTTTTAAGAGATAAGATAAACTTTATTGATCATCCACTAGGGAGGAAATCTTCTTTCTCCTTTTTTAAGTTGTGCACCAAAGAGACTGACAGAATTTTGTTACACTTCCATTTCTTCTTCCCTCCGAGTGAAGTTTATTGCCGCAGGTCTGGACACCGAGCAGAACATCCTCTGTTGAACTTAATATTCTGCTGCAGGGGTTGGAGGGAGAAATGACTGACAGCTCAGACCATTAAAAAATTGGCCCAGAGATAGTGGCATTGATTAAACGTCTAAGACCAGTGTTTAGAAGAATGACCCTGCTATTTAAAGAATTAAGTGCACCGTGCCAAAAATGGAAACTGATATAGGATCAAGTTTTAGGTGAAATCGTGTTCACGGAAACTCATCTTAGATGTCTCTGCTACATGTACTGTGCTTTTTTGTTCAAACTAAACCTCACCAGAAGCCCAACAGTACAGCAGTTCAGAAATACTTAACAAACAATATATTCTGATTGGGAATGCAAATAATCCATGACGTTGTTAACAATCCATTATTGATCAGATCATTTTCCTGTAATTGCATATTTTTACAGCAACATACAGGACTGACTGATGGTTTTGCAAAGCGACAGAACAAAGAAGATGTATAAATTGTTAAACATGTAAAGCAAGCTCATAACAATAATTTCAGCGGCTGAATAGTCATACAAAACGAGGCTCAAACTACTTAATATGGAGTTGCTGCAACACCAGAAACGATCTAAAATAGGCCAATTCTAGACTCACAGTATCCAGTTCTGTGCATATGTGTTCTCATTGATAAAATAAGCTTGTCTACACAGTTCGGTGTCAGACAAGAACACAGCTGGGTCATAATCAGTCTGGCGGCAGAAAACTCACGCTCGGGAGACGTTGATGTTGCTGGTGTGCAGATACATGCCGGCCTTGTTGGCGTTAGGAATCACTCTGCATTGATTTTTCACCCGTCTGTCCGGTAAAAAGTTTCTCAATCTGCGGCTGTTGACTTAGTGTGTGCAGTACTTGGTACCCATTGAAACAGGCTTAAAACACTACAATGACAGGTGAATGTTAAATAAAACTATATTTATTCAACTCTATCTTTATGTATCACAATTAATTACCTTCTTACAGAGTTTTCTATGCTGCATACTCTGTCCAATCAAAGACAGGCTCTGCTGTCTCATGTCAACACAATCCAGTCAATAATCGTACATGCTCATTAACATCTGGGTCACCAATGTAAAGCTGTTATGAAGTTTAGTGTAAGGGTGCAAAGGGGTAATGACGGTAGAGGTTTGTTGTGACACTGCAGATGGATCGCATTGTAAGTGGGGCCTCCATGCTTGTAGGTTTGGGTGCCTTCGGGTACACCATGTACTAGAAGTCACTGATTACTGGAAGATCAAACATAAAAAGTCATTTAATTACACAACCTATGACCGTTATTTCATTTTCATCTTTTCAATCTAACATTACTCTTTACTGAAAACATGCTGATTATTTTAGGTAACATTCTGACTTGGCTTTTAACACGACTAGTGTTGATGCAAGCTGGAGGAGATGGTTACTATAGTAACATGGTTAGATTTTTTCTCCTCTGGAAAGTAGTAGAAGAAGAGCAGGAGAAAGTGATGAAGTGTTCTGAAGGTTTTTAAGGTGAGTGACTGAAAGCTCAGACAGCAGGGCTCTAACTTTTGACTGTTACCCTGAATGTCACATTAGATGTCAAAAAGAGGCACATCCACCGCGCTTCCCTTCAGATGCATTACAGTAATAACAGGATAAGCAAACCCATTTTACAAATCTTGCAGCTGGTCCTTTCCTTTGCCGTGCAGTTTTAGCAGATGACAGTGTTGAATTGTTCACCATTATTTTGCTATATTTTGTTTCCCTGTCCTGTCCCGGTCTCTGGAAGTGCAACTCTCAGCAAAGATAACACTGTTGTTTACTATTTCTACTATGTTTGCATTATTTATTCATTTATTTTTCTGCGACTAAGCTGAAGAGTCCTGCTCCTTATTTTTCTGCATTAATCTTGTAAAACCAACAAAAAAAGTTCAATAATCAAAAACTCCTCACATTAGTGTCTGAATACTTTGCTGACTCTTAGAAGCTTTGGCAGGACCAGCTGATATTGTAATAGTTGCTCATTAATAACTTGAAGTATCCTTGAGGAGTAACAAACCTTTATTCGGCTCTTAAAGCTGTGATGAATTCAGTTACATAAAAGTTAGTTATTCATTGTTGGTCAATGTCAGGTCTCTGTAAATGATAAACCAAAGAGCTTTTTGTGTCCCTGATAAGTGATGTAAGAAACCTTTAGCGATATATCAGCGCTGCATTAATAGTATTTAAACTGCTTTCTTGATTATTCAATTAATCAAGGAAGATTTCTACGTTGTATGTGCGCTTATGCAACATTTGGATCTATTCATGAAGAAGTAGTTTAATTTTGATTTTTTTTTCCCACAAAATTTTTATCATGGGGTTCGAAAGAAAGCTTTTTATTGATGGTGATGCAACAGTATATTCAAGAGGCCACTGACACGATAACAGCGTGTTTAACACTAGTCTGAGTTAGGAAGGGTGCAACTATGTAATGTGAAATGCAAATTGCAAATGTTTAAACCCATAGAGATATGATGCATCTACTATATATCTATATTTGATATGTGATGCTTGATCTTGGGTGATCTGTATTTTAAGGGTAATGCATCGCCCCGCATATCCAGTGTTGCCAAATTAGCGACTATGTCACTAGATTTAGCGACTTTTCAGACCCCTCTAGCGACTTTTTTTCCAAAAAACGCCTAGTGACAAATCTAGCGATTCTTTTCTAGAGTTTGGAGACCCTAAAATGAAAGCAGGTATCGATGTTACTCTTCTCAACAGGTAGAGGGTGTGCACTGAAAATACCTACTACACAAACATACAGACACACACTAACACTGCGAGGAAAACTCCTCCTCCAGGGGGGTTAAACTTAAAAATTAGGCAAATTAGACAATTGCGTCTTCTAGCGACTTCTAGGATCACCACTAGCAACTTTCCTTACTGAGGAGTTGGACCTGTAAATGTTTTGTGCTTTTCAAAAATCAAAACATAAAGAGTTTGAGACATTTCCATATTAAAGATGTAGCTCATCCCTGTCCGTCTGATTTCAGGTTTTTCCACTGGATTATATCCTGATCACAGTCATCACTATGTACTTCGTGGTCACATCCATGGCTGGCATTCGCAACATGGGCATCTGGTTCTTCTGGATAAGGGTGAGTAAAGACTCCGCTACGACCTTCTTTTGAAATGTACAAACTGACCATTGATTTCCCATAATGATGTTCTTCTTCTCAGCTGTATAAAATCCGACCTAAGAGGACTCGCCCTCAGGCTCTCCTTTTCCTCTGCATGATCCTCCTCTTGATCGTCCTTCACACCAGCTACATGATCTACAGCCTGGCCCCACAGTACGTCATGTACGGCAGCCAGAAATATCTTGTACAGGTGAGGAGAAACAAACATGCATTTTTGAGTATTTCTCACTTTTCTCAGTCTTGTTGCAGAGAGCTGAAACTGAAGATGGTGCCATTACGATGGCCAGTCAGTGAGTTCAAATCACTCGGGTCTGTCCAGGTGTAGGCAGCAGAATGGTCCCTACAGGCTGGTGGAGGGGCTTTTAGAGTCTTGTTCTTTTTGGATTCTGTCTATTTGTATTAGACTGTTTGGCTATCACTGTGTGGATCTGTTGTTTTGACAGTCTACCCTCCGTGCCATCAGATGTACCTCTGTTCTCTCTGCTTCTCTCTGCCTATGTGTGGGTGTGTGCAAGTAGTTTAGATGCACCACGGTGTCTATGCTTTGTCTCAAAAATCTTTCAAACAGCATAATTAAAATAAAACCAGGTGTTGTTTTGTGCTGGAACATCCATTTTTTTAAATGAGAGAAAATAACCTTTATAAAAGCTGCTCTTTTGGTCTTACTGGGAAAATGTGGTTCATTCCTCTCTGCTCGTGTGTTTTCACTGCAGTTATGATCTCAGTGTCATTTATACCAGCGGATCTTTTACAGTTTAGCCTGCATGAAGTAGATATTATCAGCTCAGACTCATAATTAGGTTGTTTTTAACACCTTTTACCTTCTTCTTAGTAAGATTATGCTTTATAATAGTAATAATTTACATGTTAAATCTCTTATTTTTGGGTTTATTTTTAATTAAAAACTCTATATTGAAGTCTGAATCTGAATTCCATCCTATTTTTTAATTTTTATAAAGCTAAACTTCTCCAAAGCTACACAGTTTTGCACAAAATAAGTAGTTAGTGGTGTTTCTTTGCTTAACATACACCTGCTTTTTGTGTTTTTGATTTCATCAGATGCCCTCAGCAGGCTCCGCATCTGGGAACACTACTTCAGGCACCACGAGGACCTGTGATGCAGCCGCGCCCGAGGGTAAGTCTGTCATCTCTGCGAGCACAGTGAGGTAGCACAGGTCCAGCAGTGAGACGATGGAGGAACTTACAAAACATCATCAAAGATTTATCCCTCACAGGTGGAGTCCAGACTGGCATAAAGGAAGGACAGTGTACAACACATCCTGGACTCTGTTCAGTAATCTTAATCTCTGTTTATTATTCATTAGAGGGAATAAGTCCAAGGACAAACATGACTAATAGCCTCTAACTGTCTCCAGGTCGATGCATATTATAGTCAATCAGCCTTGAAAAAGTTCTATGTGAATTCACATCATCCAGTGATGGTAACAGTGCAGAGATTTATTCACTTTCTGAATGCTCAGGTACGGCTGTTGTAGGTGGTGGAGGAGATGTAATATGATTCTCACAATGCTTAACAAAGTCCTATCCATCTGTTGACAGCTCTCTTTGTTCACCTATTCACATATGCAGACATACACTACATACATACGCATTCACCTGCTCTATCTTACATCCCTCCCTCCACATTTACTCTCAGATCACATCATATTCAGACTTCATTTGAGACTATTTGACATCATGAAAATCAGGACGATGACACACGGAGCTGCAATTAAAGACGCTAATCTGTTGGAAGTTATACACTGTAATGTATGTAGAAAAACAGCAAATGTCATGTAAAAATTCTTGCAATTTTTGTTTTTACAAAATCTATGGTTGGTCCTCTTTGTTGAGAAACCAGACAGAGAAGTGCAGTTGATGTCACTTAGTTTGCTGCAGGTGTCAGCACTCCAAGTAATCATGTGGCAGGGCAGAGAGCTCTCAGAGCAGAGCTGTACAAATAGCCAAATATAACTATTGCATGATCATAATTAATTATTATAAAATTTAATGAAGTAAAACCCAAACATTGTATAAATTAATGTTTTTAATTCCTTTACTTTGCTGTTTCAGACACTACACATATCTGATTCTCGGGCTGCAGCACACTGAATTTTGTGTGGAACACTAATGTATTATCAATTTTGACATCTCAAAAGCATCCCCAAAACAATCCCTGTCAATAGCAACCAATACCTGCACATCATGTAATTCATTTTGCACAACCACTGACACTATCTGCATGTGATCCCCTTCAAAAACTCATCTTTTATTGTCCTGGTGGACTACATTAATACATCAGTGTTCTATCCCAACCCTCCTACAATACCAATCCAGTTTCCCACACTCTCTCACAGACTCATGCCCACACAAATGCAAACTAGGGGTGTGAGCACACTGCGAAACTGCCATGTGGACAGAAGGAACCAGGGATTGAATCACTTAACCCTGTAATTAGTGGACCTGCTGCGACACAGCAGCCACTTCTCTGTCTACTCACCTTGAAAATGACAAAGCAGCCTTGATTTATTTATCACTTTACAAGGAGTTTGAGATGTATGTCCAGGGTTGTTATTAGTGACAATATCAGCAATAATGTGTCAAAAGTTTGGACCTGTTGTGTCAGGAAACTTAAGGATGACAATGAGGAGTATATCTGAATACAGTGAAGGTGTTAGAGATCGCCATTATTGACTCGGTTTTCATGAATAATTTCCAGTTCATCCAACAGTAGTGAAAATGCATTTAGACAGGGTAAGACAGGCAGAAAATAGAAAGATAAAGCCGAAGCAGGAGAGTAAGTGCAAAGATCAAAGCAGAGATATTATTTGTTTACAATAATCTGATCTGCAGATGCGTACATTTAGTTTCTAGCTTAACTGTTTTTCCCACGTTGAAGCAAATATGCTTTACCCAAATTAATTGGCTGCTAGCTGCCTTGAGTAACCTTTAAAGTTAATGTTGAATCACACTGGACTTGCAGTTGTATTGCATTGATAGCACAAGGGGAGGGGGGCAAACTGTTATATGGAGATGTGTGAAAGATAGCGCTGCATTTTACTCAAGGTTCAATGCACAGAGTATAACATTCTCCTCGATCCATACTTCGATAATGCATATTCAAAGCCACGTGCGCTGACACACTATTTGTCATGGGGCGCTGGGTATTTTTCTCTCTGAAAATGTGGTCCCTCACTGTATGCCTCATTGCAGTAGTGTTTTTCTCTAGATAGTATCTCTTATAGCCCACGCAAGGAAGCTGTGATGTCAGTTAAGGACAGATAGCGTCTAAAGTTTTTCGCATCAGACTCTCAGTGGACCTCACAGTTATTTGTCAACAGAACTACTGCACAAAAGTGTCATATTCCCTTTATTTCTGCCTATCTTTTAACTTTATGATGTAAACAGTCCCACAGAAATGCACAAAATAAGCTATAAAGAAGCAGTGCGTTATTTTACAGATTAAATTGCGATTACAATGTGTGTGAAAGCGTTAATCCATCGCTGGACATCTATACAATTGTCAATCATACAACCTGGAACTCGCCATGACGCGACTTTTTTTGTTGCTTGACTCGAGAGCAGTCTCTAGTTTTCATAGCTCATCCACAATGGGTCTGTCAAATATCACGCTCACTTGAGCAAAGAACTGTTCCTGCTATTAGTAGCTCCTTATCCTGCTGCTGCTGTGAATAACTATGGCCACACAGTCATACAGATGAGTGACGTGGTGCAGAGCCTGCATGCACAAGCAGTGCAAGATGATGAGCTCACAGTTAATTAGAAGTTAATGTTACAGGGTTAGTGATATTAATTTAACTGTTAGCATATTCATAATAGTTGATGACATAAAGTAAGTGAAGTGCATTTGTTTGCAAAGAATAAGCGTGTCACTCCACCTCTACTTCTGCTGCTGTCAGAGATTTTGATTTGAAAGTCTAAAACAGAGTTACAAACCAAAATGATTAAAAGTATTATTGAATTTTTTAAAATGCATCTGTCTGGTGTACTTAAACTCCAAAATGTATCACATAAAGAAAAAGTATTGCGACATTAGTTTTTGTCTTATATTGTGCAGCTCCATTCAGACACTGAAGCCGGTCTCCAAACTTAGTGGACAGCTAGTTGGCAGTGTCACACACTTTGACACAATGGACCGCAGTGCTGCAGTGACCTGAATGACTCAGACCATGATTATCTATAGTTACAGCTTAAAGCTCTTTTTAGTTTAGTTGATGTCCATCTTATAGTTTAAAGCGAATGGACCATATTTTAATAGTTTCCATCTTCTTGTGACGTCAGGTTGCCATGTATCCTGAGTAATTGTGGTCAATAAGTGGCTCTATAAAGTGGGGACTTTCAGCCTGTTACTATGACAACCACCACATCATTTAGGTGAAAGTCGCTAGTATACAGGGTTGCTATTAAAGCCATAACTACTGTTGTCATTATACGTTGGCTAAAGCGCTGTCAGGTGCATTTTTAAACCTGATCTCTCTCATGTGAAATGACGACAATAAGTCTGAATATAACCTGGAGCATCGTGATGACATATGAAAGCATTGTACAGGATGAGCGCAGGGCTTGAAGACCTCCAGCACAGTTTCCGGAAATCCGGCTAAGAATTTTTTTTTTCGAAATCATGTCCAAAAAAAAAAAAAACCCTAGTTAGTTAGATCTGAATATGAGTGGTAGAGGACAGCATTATGCTTGATAGCGTACATCCTGCCGGAGAAGAGGAAGAAGAGCCTGAAGAAGAAAAAGACGCATCAGCGAGCGGCGAACAGCAAATTTCAAACAATGGATGCCAGGTACATCAATCCAAGAGAGGAAATGACAATATTAGAGGCTGGGCTTGGGTTGAAAAGGCTGGAAAAAAAAGGAAAGCCTCACAGTAGCTGGTGCCGCAAACTGAAAGATCCAGGTGCTTGTTTTTGTGTGTCGTGCGCCGGAAAGCTTATAAATGGCAGCAGTGGGAAAAAGTTCGGTAAAGATATTCACAGATTTGGAATTCCGGGATCAATAACTCTGAGACGAAATGTTGTCTAGACACAAATGGTGCGTCTTTCATGTCGTAATAGCAGAGACTACTAGCTACAAGAATCAAAAAACGATTTGTGTGTTACAAAAACAAGCCGTTCTTCGAGCTGGATGAATAATACTGATCTCTATATGCAGCCAGTCGCTGGGCAAGTGTGCAGGGATCGTCTGCAAATTACAATACAATGGCAAGACGCTAAAAAACAAAAATCAATAGCTCCACTGTTACACAGTAGAGACCCCAAAATCTCTAAAAGGAAAATGAATAGCTCCACTGTCATATGGTCCCCCCACCCCTGCATAAAAATTTTCAGGCACTGGTCTATTAGCTGCTCATTTTGATCATTTGCTGTTATAAATGTCAAGAAAGACCATTTCTTTAGGCTGCTGCTGTTGATCCTTTGTTCTGACTCCTACCCTCTCACAGCAGGTTCAGTCTAAAGAGTGTCGAACAGTATAGAAATTGCCAGACCTGCTGCTGATGGTCTAGATTGGTCTTTTAGGTAACAAAGACCCCCCAAGATCAATTTCAATCAGTTTCGTGACTAGTTAAAAACTCCCTACTGTGTCTTTAATATGATTCATAATGACATGAGCAACACCGTGGATCTAGAAAGAACCAGAAGGATTTAGTCAGCCTTCAGTAATGGGTTGAGTTAATGGTTTGTCTCCATGGTGGGCTTGTACAATATGGAAGTACTTCTAAGGTAATATCTTTGACATTTGAAAGATGTGTGTCCCTATAGCCTCTCTACTCGTTTCTATGAAGCCTCTCACAAAAGGCAGTAAATGCTCAAGGGATGCTATTTTCACGGCTCAGCTGTGATTTGATACACGCATTAACACTCATGACCAATCAAATTAGATCTCATTACACATAAAAGCTGAAGTAGAAGCATCAAGTGCTTGTAGATCTTCCCTTTTCTTCTCACTATGCTGCCCACATGCTGTATGATGACAAGATGATGACAGGGGATTTGTTTAAAAAGTTAAATTTAAAAGAAGTAGATATCGAATAGGGCAAAATTAATTATGATAGTTTTCAGTAACACTTTCCCTTTGCAATTAATGAGGTTGCATTTGATTAAACCGTCTGTGTTTGCACATGACAGTAATGCTGCCAACATACAGTAATTACACGAGCTGACAATCTCCCTTAATACTCTTGTTTACACGACAAGACAGTGAGTGTTTTGTTAATAGATAGGATTTTCTTTGTTTGGATGTTTGTTTGTGCCGCAACCACTATCACCATAATCCGGACCTGACTTTGCATCACTTTGTCGGGTTGTTTTTGCAGATTGTTTCGCTGTTTTTTTTTAAAGATTAAAAAAAAAAAGCTGATGAAGATGAGCTGGGTAAAAATTAGCGGCATTGTTCAAATATCTACATTCTTGGTGTGATTTGTGCATTCATACGCACATGCTGGCCTCCTAAAGTGCTGCTCTAGTAATAAATGTGTGTTGCCTATGACACCAGGACAGAAGCCAAAAGTATTTTTACTTTTGCTTTTGACCAGTTAAGGGAAACTGGTCCTATTCTGGCCTCTTGGAAATGCTTTCATAACAGCCGTTGTACCTCCCACCATGAAGAGGAGGAAGTATCAAGCAGAGACAACACATGCAACTGAGAGGGAATACAATCAAAAGCTTATCGACCGATGTACCGCAGGAAGTAGCAGGTGAATAACTTCATTTGTGCCATGAGGGAGTGCAACTCTGTCTTCCTAAATTTACATAATGCAGAGAGAGTACCTCATGAACCCTGCAGTGGTTAAAAGCTAAGAGAGAGCGATGGCTGAAGAGGACTAAATGGCTCTGTGCCAGTCAACCAACCAACCAGCTCATCCAAATAAATGGACTTCACTTGTCTGTGCTTTTAGATCATTTTTCTACCATTTCCTTTTTTTTTATTCTAAACTTCAATCTGAAAAGTCACAATGATGAATCAGACCCAATACTAAAGATAAAAACCACAGGGGGAGTTTGCTCATAGTAAATCAAAACACTGCTCTTATGGAGTTTTGACACTTGGGACGTGTTGTTGCTAAAATGCATCTGTTGCTGTTACTCAGTATCATTAAGTCTACTTGAATGGTGAGTCACGGATTTTGTTTTTAAAGAAAATACAAAGGAATTGTATCATTAGTGCAAAAAGCACAGGTTTTCTTGACTGAAAGGCAACTCTGTTAAAACCCATGAGCCTAACATTTTTGTTGATTTTTTTCTTCATTATCCCTGAAATGAAATCTGAACAGAATCAAACAGATTTCAGCTCATTGTCTTCTGTGATTGTAGGTGGTTAGTGAACAACTTCAGGAAAATCTGACTGGATTTAGGACTTAAGGAAAGAGAGAAAGAAAGAAAGCTGCTTTTCTTTTGTCTTATTCTTGTAAAGGTGCAGTTCGTAGTATTTGGGGGCATGATGATTTCCATTTGCATTTAGCAAAATTTACAATGTGCAGTTTCTGTACAGATGTGTAGCTCTTTTTCTTGTACCATCTGTTTTTACTTTATGCACCTCATGCCTTTCTGTCTTTCTGCAGGCTAAGCTGTCAGTACTGTAGTTAAATTCACTAAGTATACTTACCATTTCTGTAAATGCATGATAATGATCTAATGAGGGAGAAAATGAATAGGTTATTACGACTTACTGGTACATTCGTCATTGCGGAGTATAAGAAGCAGCCAACCTGTTTGATAAAAGGTTTTCAAAGTGTGTCTCACACACTGCATTATACAGTTCTTCAGATTTCTGCAAGTGTATTTGTGTTTCTAGTCAAAATGTCTCATTATGCTCAATATAAGACTCATTTATTTCATGACAAGTTCAAAAATAAAACTTATTTCAAGGTAATAAAAGACAAAATAGGGCCCTGAATTGCTTGTAAGAAGTAAAAACATCTGCCAACGGAGCAAAACAAATTTTCTGGAAATGCAATGTAATGCCTATTTCATGAAACTTTTCCCTGCTGTTGGCAGATATATTTCTGCTTTTTAAAAAGAAAATCTTGCTTTATTTTTGACTTTCCATTTCTTGAAATAAGGTTTATTTCTGAACTTGTCAGCTGAATATGTTTCATGCAAAGTTGGATTTGATACTTGGGCTAGAAATTGAACAAATGCACTTGCAAGTATTTGAGTTTCGCAGATTTTCAGTGCTTAGCTAAGTAAGATAAACTTGTATTCATCCCACGGTTGGAAAACTACAAGGTTTTGTTGACTGTTTCTGTAAATAATAACTCAGCCGCTCTGTATAATATTCATATAAATGTTCTCTTGCCATGATTCCCAAACTTATTTTGCAGACATAAGTTATATAATCCAAGAAAAGCCTGTACATCTTGGTATTCATATGGTGGTTGTACTCAAGTAACTCTGGATTGTTTTGCAGCAGCGTTGAATCCAGCAGTGAACTTTATCTGCAGCTTTTGCAAAAATAGATATAACGTTCTTTATGCCATGTCTCCTGGGAGAACAGAGAGTGTTACTGTAGAGTAGGAATCTGCTTCTGTTGAAAAATGTCATCAGGTGTGGAAAAGTCTCTGGAAGGTCATCACTTTGTAATAACCTTTAGTACGACACTTGATCATGAGACAGCTGAGTAAGAAGAGAGTGGGAGTCAAGCAGGTGACTGATTGGCCGGTCGGTCATGGTGGTCTAATGACACCAACATCTTGTGAGCAGGTACTCTGTGTCAAGCTCTCCATTATCTCCCCTAAGGTCATTATAGCGTCATTACTCATTTACCCAGTATAATGGAAGTGAATCCAGAGGAATTAGTCACCATGGCCCCAGACAACCTGAAACTTGAAGTCCTCTTCAGCAGGTGATTGAAGACCCGGTTTAAGAGGATTTTAAAGAAAGAAGTGTCTGAGTATTTATTAGAGTTCTGATCTGAATTTAGGCTTCACATTTATATGAATAAAGCTCAATTCAGCTGCTGTGTATTTAAGCTGGGAAGAAGAGTACTTTTCATTATGCATCCAGTCTTTTCCTCTTTACACACACTTGAACCATTTTTGCCTTTAACCTATCTATATTTGCTTTAATGTAGTCACACTCTCAGTTCTTTGAAGTGATGTGAAAGATAGATAGACGTCAGCTAAGTCAAAATTTTTGAGCCCTAACATTAGAAGTGTTCTAAGACTAAGGATGCCGTTACAGAGGATTTCTTTCCACCTGTATTTGCTCTCTACTCCTTCTTCCCATAGACTGTATATACTATTGACAACTTGACTCCGCCTTCCGGCATTTTACGAATTCGAAGCCAAATTGCTCTCGGTCCTGCCCTCCTTCACCTCTGATTGGCTAGAAGTGCTGGGCTCCGATTGGTTATTCCTAATGGCTGTGAAATGTCATTGTCTGTCAGGTTAGGGGTAGGGTTAGGAGATTCAGAAGTGCGATGATGTTCTGTTGGATGCACAGAGCCAACAGCCTGTGTTTGGCTTGAGCGTGTGATGACGTTTTCAGCTTTCCTAGCCAATCAGAGATGCAGGAGGCGGGACTTTCTCCTACCGTTCTACAAAAAAAAAATATGGCCCCCTGGGTGAGCCACACAATCTTCGTAAGCCCATAGGCTGTATCAAGTGTCAATCATAGAAAACATGAACCCCCTAATAACTTTTAAAAATGGAGCTGCACAGAAAAAAGAGGACTTGAGCATAATCAGTCTTAGAGTAACTGCGTGTCACTATCGCAAGCAGGGGGGAGAAAAATTTACATTCTGTGTAATAAATTTCTAAAGTTTGTCCACAGCTCCATAGGGATTGCTGGAGGCGGGATTTATGACCTATACTGCAGCCAGTCACCAGAGGGTGCTGTTCTCGTGGTGAGGCAGATGGCGTCCATTCTATATACAGTCTTTAGTTTTTATCCTCAAAAACATCCATTGATTGCAAGTCTTTTTTTGCACAATAACTTCTTCTTCTTCCGCTTCTAATCAGCGCACACTACTTTGTGCCACTGTAGAAACATGGTAGTGCAACATGCCGTCCCTTAAGTTTGCTTCTCTATGTATCCAGTTATCCATTCTATATACAGTCTTTGCTTCCTCCGCATCCACCAAAGCCCGCTGATTTGTGATTGGTCAGAGCTGTGAGCCTGAATCTGTGAAGAGACATCAGATGCAGTTTAGCATGAGGTCTTGACACAAACCAACTTCTACTGAAGAAAAAGGTCCAGTAAAGTCTACTTTCTTGATCCCCCGCTGGGTCAAACTCACTTGTTATATCAGCAGCTGCTGCCCAATGAGACCAATGAAAACATACTCTAGATTGTAACTTTGAAAGTTTAATAATATACCGGCTTCATTAAGGCCTGCTGTAACCTCAGAAATTCTCAGCATTAGATGAAGCTGCTTTCACAAATTACTCTTACTGCTGTGATGTTCACGCTGCTCCTAATGGCGGGCCGGCTTCTTTGATCATAAACTCTGACTTTCTTCTGAGCTTATCTACATCCGCTGCTCATGTCACCTAAGATGTTGTTTGATAGAGCTGGATGTACTATTCTTGGAGATCATATGAAGTGGAATATTTGTTCTATCTGATAACAGCTGAGGATCTTGATTGTTAATATACCATAAAACCCACTTTAACAGGCCCTCGTCTCATTTATTGATGTATTTGATTGGCCTCTGTCACAGACGTCTCCAACTCCAAGTCTGTTTCTAATGATCTCTTTGTCTCCAAAGAAATAAACCCCCTCATCTTTTGTTTATTACTGTCATGTTAGTGCCTCTATCATCCCTCTGAATCTCCTGTCATTGGTTAAATAAGTTCCCTTGATAGTCAGACTAATGATTTTAATGACATTCAGTCCACAGCACTTCCTGTTCGATGTTGTCTCAAAACCAATAATCTCATTTTGGGTTAATCTGTCCTAGTTTGTCAGCCACTCCCATGAGATAGCTCCATAAAATGTATAAAAATCACATTTTCTACAGTAAGAAAAGTTTATTTAACACTTACTGTCGATAAGCCTTTCCCCTGTTTTTATCGACGCAGTGGCTCCTTTTTCCAGTGAGCCCCCCTGAGATGCAGCTGTTAGTTTTCTTTCACCATTAAGGTCAATGCAATTATAGCAACAATATAAACTTTATGGTGTCAGACTCCCTCACACTCCTACATTCAGGAAAATAAAAGTTAATATTTTCAACCATGAGCCAAACTGGAGTCCGTACCATGGAATATGAATCACATTATTTCCCTCTCTGACTCCCAGTGATAGATCTTTTACTACACAGGAGTGTTTTCAGACTTTGGACTGCTGTCTGTTTCCTAGCAACTTGCCAGTTTCCACCACATTGTTTCGAAGAGCTTCAGGGGAGAAGACGGTCATAATTTCATGTTTTGCCTCAGAGATGTCTGGTGTCTGAGCAATTTTCAACAGGAGACTCCCTCAACCCCAACACAAATTAATAGTAATTTTCTTTGCATCAAGGGGATCATCATCAATTTTTCCTACAATGGGATATGTCAATCAAACCCAACTCTCTTGAAATAGGAGTGTCCGTCTTGTACTCCGCAGACAGCCTCTTCCTATCAGAGAGAAATGAAGTTTCAAGGGTGTCAGTTAGCTCGGTACTGTGCCAAAAGTTCTCCACTTAAATTAAACGGATTTAAAACACTTACAGCTGTTGTTATCAATATTTGTACACATTCGTTTTTCAGCTTTTTACAGCTGGTGGAAATGGTTTTAAAAGGAGTTTGGAGAGAAGAAATATAAGCTCAATACGAGACATACCTGTCAGGACTCCTGTGAGAAGACTTCAGGTAGAGCAGGGTTCATTTCATTAACGCTGATGAGGTTTAGGTTTCATTAACAAGACAAAACTGATGTAGAAGGTCATTAAGAACACGTCATTTTTTCTCCACTTAATCTGTCACAAGCAGTGCCTTCTTACAAAACAGGCTGAGTTAGTTAGAGGGTTCAGAGCTAACTCTGCTTTCTTTCTTTCTTCATTTAGAGATTTCTCCTGATGCACATTGATTACCGAAACACAACCAGTTACCGAGGCAACGTCAGTTTAATGTTTGACCATTCTAACTGTGAACAGCTCCATATCCAAACCTTGTGTTGTCCCAGTTTGGAGTTTTGCTCCTAACTTGAATCTGAACCTGTGCGCCGAGTAACTTACCCTTCAGCCTCTTGAATTGTATTTGTCTTTGCAATATATCACACCCACACTCCGCATCCTTCTGCCAAAAGATCCTCTAGGTTTTACAAATAGTCCTTTACAACTCCATCACTTGGGTCTTGTCATCTCTGAAGTCGCTCGTAATGACAGTGTCTTATCTGTACCACAAAAAGTTTCCAAACTTTCTGGATCATATTTTTCCATCTCCATATGGGGACAAAACAACATAATATCACAGGACGCTGAACAGAAGCAATACACTCACATGAAATGTAACTTTACAACCACAATTATAAAAAGTATCAGTAAATAGTCGATGGTTAACATGGATGGATAAGGTGCAGGTGGGTAGCAGCTTGAATCAGTGATAATGAGACTGTGTTTTTAGAGTTGGCGTGTGAAAACGACCTGGACGTGTGTGTTTTTGGCTGACCTGTCGCACCAGCCAGACGGCAACATTTTAGTTTAATTCCCTTTAACATTCCCCTCACCGTACATTTTCCTTTATGGGTCACAGCCTCGTCCAGATTTGTCTAATAGGAGTAGCTGATTCACCTGGTTTTTTAAAAATGCCTCTCTAAGTCGAGTCAGGTATTCATTTTCAAAAGCAGCTGAGGAAAACAAAAGCTAAATGTCTTAGTTGGAGTAATCAGTGGTGTAGGCGAGGTCAGGTAAGGTAAAATCCTCTACATACGGTGCCTTTTTTGTCTGCATTTAGGTCTTGAATGTTGCCCAAATGGATTTTCTCTGCAAGAGGGGGATAAAGAATAAGGTTTGGCACAGCGAAAAAGATGCTTGTTTTGAACATTCATCGACAGCGCTAATACGAGCAGCCAGAGATATGAAAATAGTTCTGTTGGAGGAGCATCAGCATCCTCGAAGGACACTGGAATGAAAGTGCTCTGCTGCGTTTTCGATGTAGGGAAAGTGAAAGCACACAGTGTAGGAACAGGAGTGCTCACTGATAGAGCCTTTCACAAAGAACACTAAGTGTGTATGTGAGTCTTTGAGGTTTTATGCATGTGTTTGTGTTCAAATACAGAGTAGAAAGTTATGCATAATGCATCATGCTACACTGGGTAGCACTCACCTAGGTATCATGAGTCAAGGTGAAATTATCTGCTCTCACACACTGCCCCGTGCTCTTATCGGAGTATGGTAATGATTTCAAGGTGAAGTGGGTCACCGGTGTACATGATAATATATTTAGGAAGACCACTGTTGTGAACCATCTGCACGTTCAAGTTTGAGCTGCGCAATTCAGGCGAGCAGCTGGAGAGCTACAGATGGCTGCGATGCTAGAGAGAAAGAGCGGGGTCATGGGAATGAAGGAAGACCTGCTTCTCTTCTCTTATTTGTTGGAGAAAAGGATAATTGTTGGTTTGCATTCAGAGCTCCTTTGAGTCCACTCTTAAACGTTAGATATAGCCTACATGCGAACGCAGATAGAAGCATCAAGAGTTGATCTGACCAGCAGTTAGCAATACACAACTTCTAATTGGATGATAGGGTGACCATATTCTGACTTCCCAAAAAGAAGACACATCACGTGGGGGCGGAGTCACTGAGTCGCACAAAGTTAATTTTGAGAGTTCTGCAGGTCGGATCAAACTCGTAGCTTCCGTGCAAAACCGCGAACATTTGAAGGATTTTATAAACTTTCCCAGACAAAGCCGGACAGGCCCGGACAGCCCCCCCCAAAAAAGGACATGTCTGGGTAAAAGAGGACATACGGTCACCCTAAATTAGAGCTTTGTTTGTGAAATGCAGTTTAATTAGTAGGGCTGTAAAGTCCTAGTTAGCTGTAAAGTCCCCTCTTGTTTTCCCCATCCCCAAATGAAAATTGTGACAAGAATTCTGACAAAATACATCTATTTGTCATTGTTGCAGTTCAGCCAACTCTCCATCATTTTTTTAAATGTTGGCGCGATTGTGAGTGAAAGAGTTAGGAAGCCAAGACCCGCCTTACGTTGCTTCTGATTGGTTTATATTGCGTGGTGCCTTCCGTGGTTGGTTAGATTACAGAGTCGGAAAAGTCTCCCTCCCCCTTAGTCGATTCTTTGCCGAAAATTTCAGGGTTTTAGTCGACCAAGAATGTCTTTGGTTGATTACAGCCCTAATATACACGCAAACGCAGAACACGTGAGCTGTCTCCTCATAAAGATAGAAGCAACAAGGAGTGGATCTGGCCAGCAGTTAGAAATACACAACTTCTGATTAAAGCTTTTTTGTGTGCATTACAGCTCAGTTAGCAACCTTTATGTGTTTTTGCAACATCCAAGGGGCTTTTTATCTCAGTGTACACTCAGAGACTATCCAGATTCAAGCTTCCTGAGACTTCTCCGCTTGTTAACAGCATAGAGATATGAAAGACAGAAACTGATTTATCTTGATCAGCTCGCTCCTGTACCAGTTGGTCTGTGCTTTCTCTTGTTACAACAACATCCAGATCAGATTTCCCTTTATTCTGACTTAATTTCATGGTGCTGGTTACATTAATCAATAAATCATCACATAAAGGTTGAATCAGCAGTATTTTCTGGCTCATGCAACTGGATATTAGCATTTACAAGCAGAGGCACCGCAGTAGTAAGAGCTGCTTGTTAACTTAAAATAGTTGTACTAAAAGTCCAGACCCCAAAAGTTCAGTTCCCACATCTTTATGTAGAATCTGTAAATAGAGATTAGTATTCATGAAACAACACAAACCTGCATTTTCTTTGTCTTTTTTTTGTGAGTGTTTTGAATAATTCAGCACTCTGGAGGGGAAAACGTTTCCAAATGCTGGCTTTAATGAATAAATTTGAAACCACACTGAGGATCTAGATGTCACGTAGCTCTAAAAAGTCTGATTGTGCTGCTGGTGGGTCCAAGCCGGTGTGGGAAACAGTGTGAGAGGAGGAGCTCAGCAGGGTTAGCATTAAAGCTCCAGATGGCTCTCTAACATAGCCAGACAGTGCAGCTCCTCTTCAGTTCAGCTCTGTAGACTAACCTCTCTCTGCTGAAATCGCACACATATCTGATGGGAATATATTGAGATGTTTTCCCTGTTTTCCTCCAGTGTGAATGGCGAAGCTAACTAATAATGATGACCTGAAAGGAGGCACGTTTCTCCTCCTTCTTTATCTTCCGGCATTTTCAGAGAAAAACTATCAGCGAGACCCAGACGCTGCTCTTACATCAGCGGCTCTGTCCACATTCAACGTCATCAGCATTTCCCATGCCTGTCAATACCCGTTCGAGCACATAAAGGGGAATGACTCAGCTTAAGAATTTTTTATTATTCCTGCCCTCTCCGCCAGGAAGATCAATAGCACTATCACTTCTGTCAAGAAGTGGAGAGCTGAGGCTCAGAGGTGATGTCAGCAGCATAAAGCAAAGAGCGACTCTGCCCACAAAGAAAGCAATTGGATTTAAGACGCAATAAGTGAGAATCTTTTTCTTCAAGCTTCTGGATTTGAAGGGTTTGTATTTTCCATCAAACTGCACAGTCAATACAGATCGAGCTGTCTTTAGTTACTGTAACAAACTTCATTTGAGGGAGGGCTGCAGAGTGGAGTTTTGCTTACCTCGACAAAGACCAGATCCCTAAAGAAAGGGGGCTTACAAAAAATGCCAACATCAGACTCCAGTTTAGAAAACTCCAGTATCATGTGTGGATTTTTGTACCAATTGAGCACACTCAGGTTTCCAGATAGAATAACAACACTTCCCCGAATAAATAAACTGGTAATCTGATGCTGCAAAACAAAACCACGACTGAAGTGCACTGTGGGAACAAACTCATCACTCACTGGTGTTGTTTAAAAGGGGTGTCAGGTTTCCCGGTCTGGATAGAACTGAAAAGACCTGCAGCTTATTTGAATACAAATAAAGAATAAAAACCTCAGATGAATTTTTACACTCTGTGGCACAGAGAGAGAGGGACTTCCATGTTGGGCTGATTCATGTGACCCCTTTGGGGAAAAGACTGCATTTCCCATGAGCGTCATCACCCGCTGTGATAAAGACATGGCACTTGCCAAAGCAAATAAATGGAATTATTTTATTTTAATACTACTTTCCTTTGTTTCAGACAGCATATTATTGCAGGATACAGAATGATTGGATGATGCATCGATTCGTTTCCATGTAAAATCATGAACTAAAACTTTACATTTTTTAAAACTGGATCAATTTAACAATTTACAGCCATGGTGTTATGATGTGTGCTTCAGTGTCCCAGTCAATGTCAGAACTAGGGCTGAGTAATATGGACTGACAATAAAATTTCATTTAAAAAAACTAAATTCATGATTTTTTTCAAATTTTCGCCTAAAATTAAAACCTTAAATGACAAAAACATAACCCTAAACACTGCGTTTTGTTCAAGGGATCTCACTGCAAAACCAAACCAGCTCCAAACAACTTGGGAATAATGTTTGTCTCTGCTCGAAGGGGAACGAGGTTGATGGCAGAAGCCATTCATACCCTAGTTTCATATGCTTATCTTATTGCCTTTGATTGGCTATAAGGGCTGACCGTTTGGCTTGAGCGTGTGATGATGTTTCCAGCTTTTCTAGCCAATCAGAGGCGAAGGAGGCTGGACTTTCCCCGGCAAAAGTCGAATCGGGCTTGATGTGGATAGTCAGGCGCGTCAAAGTTCACCTCCGAATATTTCGTAATTTTGCGTTCTATATTTGCGTCTGCCCTGGTGTGTAAGGACCTTTATAGTGAGGTTCTGACAACTCCAGACATCATTTTCCAGAGAAGTAATACAAGTAAATCATTAGAGCGCTGTTTCAAGTTTTGAATTTACTGAGTAATTTGATTTTTGGTTCAGCTCTAGTCAAGGAGTAAAAGTCTCGTGCAAATATTTGAGCGAGCCCTGATCAGAGTAAAGCCAACATCAACATCTACATTAGCTGAAGTTGTTTTAAATCTTGAATAGCATTAATATTGATGAAGAAGTTAGTCTAATAATCATAAGAGCTTGAATGGAGGCCCACATTCATTAAGCATTACCTCAGCTGCCCTCTTTTCACAATCGTTTGTTGCCGTTGCGTGCCTGCGCCTTCACCTTTTGACTTTCCAGTGTGTAACAGTGGATATGTTTAATGCAAGGCTCCATTTACCATGACATCATCTTTGTTGTATCTATTGTTAAACTTATATTCGCACTGACAGTGACATGGCTTTCCCCTCTTCAGAAGACTGCTTGTCTTTTCTGGTTACACTGATAAAACTGCCTGAAGCATCGCTGGATGTACAGTGGTAATAGCAGCATGTTTTTAGCTCTTAAGTGAACACAGAGCCTTTAACTACACACATACGCCTGTGCAATTATAAACAGCATCAGAAGTGTCAGCTTTTATTTTAGAACGGCTGTTTTTCTGGATGAGAGCACACACGGCAGAGAAGTCGGTTCTCATTTCAAGCAAAGACACCAAACCGATTCTTTCAAGGTTATTTGTTTGACTTCTTTCTGTTTCCACGCCAAGTCATTTTTACTCATACTTTAACTTCTTCTTTCTCTCTCTCTGTGTTGATGAAATGTTTGTTCTTCTGCATTATATAAAAGTTATTTTCTGCAAGACTTTCTGCAGTGAGAAATTGAAAAGCACTTTGTTGGTGGTCTTAGAATGGGACTACGAAAGAAGACCTTTATATTTCTTTATCAACATCACTTTTTAAGCTTTATTCAGTATTTTCTGAAGATTTTGGCTGATATCTCACAAGTTTCTTCCTCAAAGCAGAAAGTTAGCCTTGAGTTTTTACATTGTTATGTTCTTCTTTTTGAGAAGCTAGGTTTCATCTTTGTGTCCTCTCTTGATCTGCTTTGACACTCGTGTCTGGCTAAGGGCATCAAATGTTTTCATCCTGTCCAAGGTGTTGCTGGATGAACATGCATGCCTGTGGGTGGTTTACATACAGCATACAGCAAAGCCCTTCGCACTCTCCCGAAAACTGCGGTCCTGCTTTGCGTTGATTTTTACACCTTTTTCTTTAAATGACTCAAAAAACGAGGAGTTTTAAAAAGAAATCTCTCACCTTAAAAGACCTGAAATCACTGAAAACAAACTGTTCCTTCACTTTGACTTGGTCAGAACATAAAGAAGTATTTTCACTATTTGACAACATGACAGTGCGTCCAGAGGGAAAAGAATAAGGACAGGACAGCAATGCCAGATAGAAAAATCCTGATGCAGTACATCACTTTGTGTTCAAAAATCTGTTCGACAACATCAACATCTTGTATGAAATGTAAAAGTAGATGTGCTGCTCTTGTCAGGAAAGAGTTCTACTTGCAACTAGACAAAAAAGTGATCTTTTGATTAGGGCCCAACTGATATGGGGCCGATGCCAATACCGATTATTAGGTGGCCAAATTAATCGGCTCGACGATAAATCGGTCGGGCCCTACTTTTGATGAAGGCAACAATAAGTATTAAAAGGATGTTCTTGTGTCTCTTCTCTTTCAGATCAGTGCACAGTGACACGGTCCTATCTTTTCCTCCACAAGTTCTGGTTCTTCAGCACCATCTACTACTTTGGTAACTGGGCCTTCATCGGGGTAAGACATTACCATCTTTATTTCAGATGAAGAAAAATGATTCTGGGTTGAATTTAGAGGCTTACAAAGAATAAACATTGAAGCTCCCTTGAGGATTTTTGGGGTTAAGTCACTTTTGGCGCCCCCTGTGGACAAAGTATAACTCATCCCTTTTCCAGTCTTCTCCTGTACTTGTGACTCTGGTGTTTTCTAGTGTTGTCAGGATACCAGATTTTTGAACTTTGATGCAATACCAGTAAAAATCAACATTACATTAATACTGCTACTTCACACTGAAATAACTTTATTGTGACTTAATTGTGCTGCTTAGAAAACCTGAAGAAGCAACATTTAACATGCTTTTTAGAGCAATGAAAGTCAAAATAAATCTGTTTTTTCCCATTAATGATATATAATCAAAATAAAATGTTTCATCAGAAGTATCATTTATGATTCAGAGAAAGTTTGAAGTGTTTTTCACCAAGTTGCAACCTCCAATTTTGAGAAATGGAGCCGATGCAGTTCCCTGAGTGCCCACTTGAGGCTGGCTGCAGAAGCACTCGAATAAATAAAGCCCCATGTTAGAGCAAAAATAAACATGTTTACAGGCTGGTTCAAAAGCAGTGCCCAAGGTGATTTTCCAGTGTCGGTAAAAGATAAAAATGTAACTTAATTTAATCTCAAGTAGATCTCTCAGACCTCATTATGCTTATGTCCACTTCATCTGTATTTATCGCATACTGATGCTGCTCACTCTTGTCATTCTCTCACAACGGCTTCTGTTTGAACCATAAGAGTAGATTTACTTCTTCCATAAACACATATTCTTTTCAGTACTATTGCACTTTATAACCCTACTGTTCTATCAAAGGAAAATTCTATCTCGCAGCCAGGAAACAGGCGAAATAACTCGAAACCAGAAATCAATCTTGTCTCTGATGGTCTGCTTCGCTGTTGGAGGTTGTATAAAAGCTTCTCAATTAATTTCAGTCTGTTTGATAAGCAGCTACAAACTCCTCACAGGAGCTTTAACATTATTTTTGGGGGGAAACGGTGATGAAAACTGTTATTTAGCATTTTTTGAACAATAAACTACTTGCAGCAGAAACATCTATGAAACATTTAATTTACTCCCAAAGTGGTTCAGGAGTATTTTCTTCGGGGAGTGTGAGTGCAGAAGCACATAATGAAATTTCTGCTCAGAGGAAAAAAAGAGTTCCTGAAAATGATTTTCCAACACTGTACACAGCTAATCTCCCCTACAAAATACTTAATAGCCTCTTTCCCTGCTGTTGATGCATTGTATCGATCAAACGACCCCTGCGAAATATCTCCTAATGCACGCTCTTTGTCTTTTCTTTTCAGGCTTTCCTCATCGGCCTGGTCGTGTCCTGCTGCAGAGGGAAGAAGTCTGTGATTGAAGGAGAGGTGGAGGCCGATGACTCAGACTTGAGCGATGATGAATATGTGCACTGAAAAACGTTCCTTCCAAAAATGCAAGGGACTAGAAAGAGCAAAATCAGAAACAAACAAATGGATGTCAGTCATTCGTCACCGCTTAATTTATTGTTTTGAGGGAGTGATTGCTGTGGTTTTCTCGCGGATTCCAGCACGGTTTTGAGTTGACTCGTCCCTCCCTTTTAATGAGAGTGCTCAGACCGATTGTTGTGTCTTTCCCGCTCAATATTATGGATGACTTTTGGATTCTGAGAGCGCCGTCCAACTTAATCCTATCTATAGAAAATTCACTTATCATCAATTTGAGACTGACACAAATTGGAGATTTTTCTGCCGCTCATCCCAAACTTTATGTCCGAAATAGTTTGGACGTAAACTGACTTTTTACTTGATCTGAGCACTTTCTAGACCCTTAAATGGTTTACTTTGTGAGAATATTTACTGTTTGCTTTAGACTACTTTTTAAGATGGAAACGATGGCGCTTACAGAAGCTGTTCTGCTTGTGTTTCTGACAGATAATTGGCATTAAATAATGATTCCCGTGCGTCGAAACAGTAACATCTTTAAAGTTTGTTTTGCTTGTTTACGTCCGAGGTTAAATATTCAAAGATAGACGTGTGCTTTATCTCATTGTTTTAGTTTTCTGCAGCCTCAGACGATTATTGAAGTGTTACTGTTCTTATAAACCTGCACTTTGTGTGTGAAACGTAAAGGACCAATAGCAGCTAAGATCATGAGTTATTGCTGTTTTTTTTTATGAAATGGGGTCAACAGCTTTCTCACTCGTTTGAAGACCTTACAGAAAGAAACTAAAGATAAGGATGTAATTTTCTTTTGATTAAGAAGTTATGTTGTTTTGCCTTTTGCTCTGTAGTTCATCAGCTTTTCTCAGCTATGTTTGACTTCTTTCAGCGTGTTTAGCAATCATTAAGTGTGTAAATGAATACAAAGTGTTGATTTCAATAACAAACTGACAGAAAACAATATTTATAATTAGGACTAAGAGAGTTTTGTGCCTCATGACTGTGAAGTACTATGATGGGCACACACTGCTGTAAATGATGCCCTGAATTAACCCCCACGAATATCAGCCTCGATCTCATAGTTTTGATCATGCCTGGAGATATTAATCATCAAAAAAGTGATCAGTCCAAACGTAACTGCTGTTGATGCTGTCTGTATTTAATAAGTCACGTATTCAAAGAAATAAAAACATTTTAAACCCCCTCCAACTGGACGAGAAAAAGTGTACTTTTTTACATCCTCCCTATGTTAAATAATTATGCTAATATTTGTGCGTCTGTTTTCTGCAGAGTGTATTTCTGCAAGATACATATAATTTAAAGCAGCTGGGGGTGGAGGGTGTCCAGTTCGGCAGACAGAGGATCGTGTCGCTGCTTTTTGCGGATGATGTGGTTCTTCTAGCTTCGTCGAGCAGTGACCTTCAGCGATTGCTGGGGCGGTTCGTGGAACGAGTGTGAAGCGGCTGGGATGTGAATCAGCACCTCCAAGTCCGAGGCCATGGTCCTCAGTCGGAAGAAGGTAGATTGCCTTCACCAGGTCGGAGGGGAGGTCCTGCCTCAAGTGGAGGAGTTCAAGTATCTTGGGATCTTGTTCACATGTGATGGTATGATGGAGCGGGAGATCGACAGTTGGAATGGAGCGGCGTCAGCAGTGATGAGGACACTTAACCGATCTGTCGTGGTGAAGAAAGAGCTGAGTTGTAAGGCAAAACTCTTGACTTACCAGTCGATCTACACCTATGGTCATGAACTTTGGGTAATGACAGAAAGAACAAGATCGCTGGAACAAGCAGCCGAAATGTGTTTCCTTCGCAGGGTGGCTGGGCTCAGCCTTAAAGATAGGGTGAGAAGCTCGGACACTCGAGAGGCGCTCAGAGTAGAGCCGCTGCTCCTCCATGTCAAGAGGAGTCAGCTGAAGTGGCTCGGGCATCTGGTTAGGATGCCTTCTGGACGTCTCCCGTTAGAGTTGTCCCGGACATGTCCCACCGGTAGGAGACCTCGTGGCAGGCCCAGGACCAGTTGGAGGGATTATATCTCTCGCTTGGCCTTGGAGCGCCTGGGAATCCCCCCAGAGGAGCTGGTGGAAGTGGCTGGGGTGAGGGCCGTCTGGGCCTCCCTCCTAAAGCTGCTGCACCTGCGACCCGGAGCCGGATAACCAGAAGAAAACAACGACAACGTATAATTTAATAGGTTCCTGTTTTATGAAGTTAATATAATATACATTCGGGAACAGGACTGCAGCTCTTTTACCAGTTTAATCAACTGCAGCTCATCGTTTTCCTGTTTCTGTTTGTCTCAGCACTCAAAACCCTCCTTCCCCAGACCAAGAACCAAGAACCAAGGGGGATCTGGAACCAGAGGTGTCTCGAGATGTGCACCCACCCTGAGTCTTAATCTCCCTGTTCCTTAGATGTGGTCCAATGTACAGTGATGTGTTCTCTCAACCAATGTAGCTCTAATACACAAAGCAAAGTCATGTTAGTGATGGACTGTTTTAACCAACCAGGATTCCTCTTAGAGATACAGAGAGAAATCATGCACCCGTATCATCCCTAACTAACAGTCACTGAGTAATACTTTTATTTTTCTTCACAATAAAAAAGGTTACCGTCACATGAATATCTGGAACTGTTAAAAAAATACTTATCACTTTACAGTTTCCTTGTCTGAAACATATTTCTCACCATTATGAGCTTTGAAGCAAAAAAAATAAAAAGCCTAGAAAGGTGCCAGAATTTCAATTAATGCATGTGCAGGAGCGATTTGGCTAGCAACACACATGAGGCAAACCGAAACCACATTAAACTTTCCAAAAAACAGCCAAAGATCCCCCCCGGTGGGCAGAGAACAGATGCTTGTGTTGGTTTGAAGCAGACACTGACGGCTACGGACAGCAGAGCAGGAGCTGCTTTTGTCAACAGAGGGATCAATCATCTTTTTAAAAATCTAATAAATCAAACTGAACCTTTCAGAAAAATTAACACTCAGACATAAATCAGCATGACAACAACTAACTGTACTGACAGTTACCATGTTCAGGACAATTTTACGTGACATGTGTTTTAATTTTATAGTTTGACCCATGTTCCATCTGTTAACACAAAGAGGGGCGGGGTTTATGACCTATACAGCAGCCAGGGGGAGCTCTGAATCTTTTAGCTTTACTGTTTAATAACAAGGCATGTAGCTAATATTAATCTAACTAATGCTATTGTATTGTCTGGTTTAATCAAGTCTTGAAGATGTCAGTGCAAGAAATTGAAAGCAACACTGGTGACACAGTAATTCAAATAATCAATATAAGATCCTATTGGGATTAGAATTTATTAAAACCTCTTATTTTTGCATTTAGTGGATTTAATCTTATTTATAGGACAAATATGGCATTGGCTATTTTAAGTTTTCTAGTGAGCAATCACCACTTCTTAATAAACAATTAACTGTTGTGTAAAATGTGTATAATATTACCATTCAGAAATTTGGTAATACTTTACAATAACCATAATTTATAAATGGTACGTAGATAGTTTATTTATGTTTAATCATAATTTAAAAACAGTATATACACCAATTATATAATTATATAAATTATATAAATGATCTATTTATCATTTATAAGTTATGGTTATTGTAAAGTGTTACCAGAAATTTCTATATTTGTTTATTTTGCTCTTTTTTTGGTAAAAAGTTAATCCTGCTTTTTAATTAAATAAGCAAACTAACTTATTGTCAAAAAAAAGTTATGATGTTGTGTAAAATGAAATGACAATTGAGTGATTTGACAAAACATTGATCCCTTTAAGTAGCAGTAAGAAAACACATATAATGCTGAAACTGAGAAATTGTATAAGATTAGGAATTAACATCTTTATTTATTCTTAGACTTGGTTGTGAAGGGAACATCTGAGCAATCTCAACTATCTGTTTTTCACGAGTAGTCCAGTCCGGCTCCTGCTCCCCCCCAAAACAAACGATCATTACAATCTGTGAAACATATTGGCTTTGTGGTTTTTTAAAATAAATTCCTCTTTTATGAAGCATCCTTCCTGAATGAGGAAAATAAACGATAATAACGCTGTGTTTATCATCATTAATCCCTGAGTATTAAGAGTGCTGTGACAAAAAGACGAAGACCACAGCGTGGTTAGATTCCTCTAAATCTATTAAGGAGCTTTTAAGCACATAACCACTATCAGTAATTCTGTGAGTGAAGAAGTATCCCGCTGTTCAGAGCTGTAGTTTTGACACGTTAAATCATTTCAGAGCGGAAAGGACATGTATCAAGTCAAACCGACAGTTAAATACACCCGCTCTTGGATTAGCATAACTACTCGGTGCTTGCTCAGGATGGATTTGCATGAAATTTGGAGTGCATGTCCAATTAGAGTTTGTGGCATGCATACCTTGTCATAACTATTGTACAAGAGTGCTTTGAGTTAAGCCATTATGTGATATGCCACCCCCATATCCCCTAATAAACCAAAAAAGCCTTGAGCCAAAAAACAGGGAGACGTGGAACTGCAGCGGAGAGGGTTGTGTGATCAACATGTCAGATCAGAGGAGGTTTGCTGCTCACAGTGCAACATTTCCTGTCAAACCCCTTATTCAAATGACTATCTTGTCTCGTGTTTTCCCCCCTTCCTCGCTGCGTAATTTTTTTAGGCTTCTCTTGCAAGTTTGTTTGGGAACAATGAGCAGATTTTAATGAATAAATTAAGAAATTACTTCAATTTTGCAGGACAGAGCCTGAGGGCCGCACATAATGTACATTTTATTTCAACACCATTCTTGAAGGGATATTCTGGCGTAAAATTAACCGTAACACCGAGTTAAACACCCCATCGAGAGATGAATGTTGCTGACCACTTGCTTCTCTAGTTATACCAACTTTAGTGACGACCGCACGGTAGCAATACACAAAGTAATGATCATTACTTTATCACTTCCTTGAATTAATAATCACCATATTAATCATTTTGCACTGCAGATGCCATTTCTATGAAGAAATGATCGTAAATGTTCTTCCTTGAGCTGCGTCACCCCGCAGCAGTCCGTAATGGACTGGCCGGAGGTCTCGCTACAAACAAGCGGCTGCTGAAAGAGAGTAGGTGAGTTGTGTTTAGTCTCTTTGCTAAAGAAATTAGGCAAAGTTAAAAAGATGTTTGGTTGATAGTACTATAGCTGGACCCTATATGTCCTGTTGATGAAGTTAGCTGCTGTTCTGAGCATTGTTTGTGGCTAGAGTGGCGTTTTGGTTGAGGTTTGTTTACGGCTCCTCAGACCGCTGTGCATTGCTATCGTGCGGTCGTTACTAAAGTTGGTATAACTAGAAAAGCAAGCAGTTGGAAACATTCATTTCTCGACGGGGCAGTCTAACTCGGTGTTACGGTGTGTTTGACCCTAACTTAATTTTACGCCGACGTATCCCTTTAAGCAAATGTATTGCTTCGTATATCGGCAACGTGTTTTATACATATTCGCTTAACTCCAGTGATGTTCATCTGATTTTAAAGTTGTTGTCTCGGCCGTGTTAGCTCGACTGGAGTTGGTTGTCACTTTTTTTACTTTCTTGTGAATTACTTGTTCATTAAAATACCTTTCGTCGCTCAGTTGAAGCTTGAAGTCCTACGTTCAAATGGGCTTCCTGTAGCTAATTTAGATTACTTTATCAGCAAGTTATTAACTCTCAAAAAGAAAGTTATTTTTTAGTCTAACACTGTGATTTAAAAAAGGAAGGATAAACTAAATGTCTGCAGATATAATTCAGTGGATTTTTTCGGCATACCAGACCGATGGTGTTTGCCCTCCTCTCTATGTTCACAGAGACTTTTCTGTCAGTGTTTCATAGTTCAAATTGAAGTCTTAAACTTTGCCATGTATGCCTCTACCTTGAATGTGACCTCCCTCACAGTCAGTTGAATGGGTCTAGAAAGAAACTTGCAGAGTTCCCTTTAGGGTCAGGTGTGTTATTAGTGATTTCACTCACCCTGCTCTGCTGCTGTGTGACAGCGAATGTAGAAAGCGAACCGAGGAGGAGAACACAACCACAGCAATTGTTATTATTAAGAGGAATTATGAAATATGAACTTAATGAAATGGTGACCGATCGTTTGGCATCAATAAGTGCTGAGACTAACTCACAAGACGGCCAACCCCGGTCTCCCCTACCTAATTTAAGGACAGTTCATTAAATAAGCAAGGTTACTTCAAACCTGCTCTCCCAGCTGCTCTGGGACTTGAGCTTTCAGATCCTCCGAATTAAAGTTAAAGCCGTAAAAAGAAAGAAAGCAAAACCTCTGAGTCACAGAGAAAACAGTGGGGGTTTGGTCTCATATCAGTTTGATTTTACTTTAAAGAAAGACATCTCATTACATCCCAGTTTGAACTGAGCCTCATCATACTGATTACCGAACGGTTCGCAGAAATGAGTCTTGATCATTTTTAATAGTGCTTTCATCACAGCCGGAGGAATAAAAGAAAACTCAAACAAACCAACAAACTGCCTACGGTGTGGTTTTCTGACAGCAGGTAATTTTTTCTTTCTTTATTTTGTCCTGAGGTAGCCCCTGTTTTTAAAGTAAGTCTACATGACTGTATGAGGTAGTGTAGATACCGAGAGGCATTGCTGAGCGGTACAGCCACCTTCAGGGGCCTCTGTACCCGTCATCTATCTTACTGCTCCACAGGATGAAAGACCATAATGCATTATACAGTGCATGGTAAGTACCTACTGTGGAGTCTTCCAAAGTTTCACTTTTGTTCAGAATTGAGGAAAGTTTTCTTCATTTTTAGAGAAACTCTGTTTAAAAGTGCAGATAAAGTTTTAGACCTCATTTTACCTCTATTTTCTCTGACACACACCAACTTTACCTAACTGGCTGCAGTTTTTCAAAATACTTCTCTTAGCTATTTAAAATTTGACATAAGCTCCTACATTCATGTTTGGAGTTTGAAAAGTTGAAGTTAATGTACAGATTTGCTTTTAACTGCCATGCTAACAATGTGCTTTGTTTGCAAACTCAACTGTTAGCATGAGCTACATGCACACAGTGTTTTACATGGTCACCAGTTTGATTACCGACCATGACTCTTTACTGCAGGGTTTCTGCTCCCAATGTTCCAACTGATAACGGCAAAAATGCCCCAAATATGTAAAGAATAAATTAATTAATTAAAATGTAGCAGACACTAAATAATGTTTTTTTTTTTTAAGGAGAGCTATACCAGTTATGCAATAAACCTGCATTCCTGCAAGTGACCAGCAGAAGGAGACTCCACCAGATGCAAATAAGAAGATATACAGTCATATCAAACATGATAGTGTAGAAGGAAATCAACAGTAAAGCTGATTTTATTCAGGGTGGGGCTACCTGTGGCTGACTAGTTGCTTCCGGGATGATCTATCAGCGAGCGCAAAGCAAAATACGAACACTTCTGTCTCCAAAAAATCAACACAACACTTTCTAAAGTGCCAAATTTCAAGCTCCAAGCATGGCTACTTTTTGTTTTTCTTCTTTAAAGTTGTTTTAGAGCTTTTTTTTGTCATGATATGTTCCATTAATTTAGTTTAGGTTTGTTATTTGAGTGTATTTTTCTAGTGTTTCTGTTCCCTATTGTCCCTGTGATCCTATCTTGTGAGTTTTCAGTTTGTGTTTGACCCTTTTTCCCTTGTATTCCTAGTGTTTCACTCTTAAGATCAATTCTCAGTGTTCCCAGTTTTTATTTTATAGTAGTTGATTCCTTGTGTTTCTAGTCTGGTTTTACTTCCCTAGTTTTCCCTCGTTAATCAGTTAACGAGTTTCACCTGTGTCTCATCTGCCTCACCTGTTGCCTGTTTCCCAGCGTGTATATAGTCTTTGTCTTCCCCTCTGTCCTGGTTGGTTCATGTATGTGTGTCTGTGTGCGTGTATGCTTGTGTCCCCAGTTGCTCCATGTGATTTTTGTAGATTTTGCCTTTTAGATTTTTCTCTTTTTGTTGCTCTTTTCGTTTAGTTCTTTAAATTCAATCCTTTGTTCTTTTTTTGGGTCTTGTTCTTTGTTTAACCCTGCGTGTTGTTACATTTTCTGCCCTTCTGAGGAGTGAATAGAGTGGGAAACTGTAAAAGAGAGAGAGAGAGAGTGGGGGATAACATGGAGTATAAGGCTGCAGGGTGAAATCAAGCCTATACTGGCTGCTTACTGTATGTGGGACTGGGCCCACAGTTTAACCACTAGACACTTAAACATCACTTTATAACAGCCTATATCATGACACAAATCTAAGGAAGCTGAGAAAAGCCTTGATTAGGGATAAATTTAATTATTGTGTCTTTTAGATCAAGAGTTTGACGTTTTATTGACGGATAAAAGCTCAAATCATCTCAGATTATCAGCTGCTGCCATAAAGAAATAAGAAAGCGGTTTTTTTTTAACACTTTGATTTACCAGAAATCTAGATGATATTGCGCATTATATTAAAATTAAGTGACTGTAACTTAAAATGTTGGATTTTATGCTTTTCATAAGATTTCTAATTGAGTTAAAGAAGTAGTTTGACTCAATCTCGGCTATTAAAGACAAATATATTACTTAAGGTAAACAAAACAACTACTGTGACTTCTTGAGTGGTTCTGTTGCTATAAATCATCCATTGAGTTAAGAAAATCCTGTCATGATAACTGAGTAAATGTACCCTTTGTCACAAAAAAGCATGGACATAATCCAGATAATGTTATCATTAATTTATTATCTCAAAATTATAAAAGTGTAGGCTCTGGGACATGAAAAGATTACTCCAATCATGAGCTTTTATACAGGAAAAATAGCTGTCTCAGCTTGACTCTCTCAGTCTGTCCTCTAAAAACAGTAACTGGGATGTTTTCTGTGATTTCCAGGCGCCCTAAAGCCTCCCCTCTGGGCTTTAACTCTTGTGACAGGCCCTTAAAGGACGAACAGTTTGCCTTACCCATCAGTCATACCTCCAGGGAGGAGAGTGACTCAGGATCAATGTGATTATGTTGATTCACAGTTTGCAGGCTCTAAGCAGGTTAACCCCTCTGCTCTCCGAGGCCTGAGGGACTTGCCACTCAATCCTGAATGAAGACTTGTCCTGCAGGCTTGTCAAAATGCCTCTGCTCAATTTAGCAGCAACCAACAACACAGGTTTTGAGACACACAAGACATTTTATCACCATCTTAGCAGCCGCATTCACACTTTATAACCCAGATTTGTGGTGCGAATGTCCTCATAGGAGGCAGGATTTTGCAGTCACATAATTGGGACTGTTAGATCCTGTAGAAATTAAATGACATAACACACTGAATACAAAGTCAACCTTCTTTCCCCCCATATTTGTCAATCTGGCATGGACACAATATGACAGAACATATCCTGTAAAAATATACTGTATATCCAAAGTACTTTCAGCCTTTACTCTGACAGTTGTTTTACAAAAAAAGGGAAATAAAACCATCACAAAACAGTCGCATCTTAAAATATGAGATAGAGAGAGAGCATTTCCATGCCGAAGTTTGCATGCTCAGTTTATGAGTCACCATGTGCTCGGTACAATCATCTGACCATGCCATGATTCAGCAAGTACAGCTGATTAAGAGCCTCACTATCAAACACGCTCAGATCTTCATATTGCAATACCATTAGATCATATAAATGATCCCCGCAGGCGGTAAACATTGTCTGTTTCAATCTTTCTTCAAGTGATTTTCATTATGGGGGGAAAGTACGTCATGCATGCACACATCGGGCAGAGGGTACAGTTTAAGGACAGAGAAATAAGCTCTACAAGAGGCATGATTTGTTATTTTAATGAGCGTAACTTGTGCTCAATGGCCCGTGTTGAGCGTTTGTGAGAAGACCTTGGGTTTTTTTTTTAGTGTCTTGAATAGAGGAATGTCGCTTCTGCTTTTAATAACAAAAGCAACATTGAATTATTTCCTGTTCAAAGGAAATGAGAAATTATTTGGTAACACAATTTGACACGGCAGAGTTTACTGACTGCATTCAAAATATTTCATTTGATTTTGCAGATTTTTTTAACTAGTATTAAAACTTGAACTCATGTTCCTCATTTATTAAGTCCTCATCTCCTCAGTTAAAATTAGGTTCTTATTTTCTGCCTCATGTTAAACATTTATTCCTATCTGGATAACTATTTGTATGTTACTTCTGCACTTTATTTTAACTGCAATCATTAATGCTCTGAATATTTTTGCCTTATTTTACATTTTTTCCCCTTTTTCTTTAATTCTAAAAGCTAAATTTATGAGTAAAAAATGCCATTCAAATATATTTGATCATTAAAAATGATTGTAATCATTATAAACCTAAATAAGTGCCAATGCAGACTTATCTTTGATTGAAAATTGCCTTATTAAACCTATGAAGCAGGGGCGGTTTCAGGAGATGGACAAGGGTGACCATGCCCACCCCAAATAATAAGGGATTGGCCACCTAAGATCCCTGAAATCTGATTGGCTATCTGCCTTTAAAGAAGGAGGACTTATGTTTGAAAAAAATCAACTTCACTTTTATTCAGATACTAGACACCTTCACAACCCCTTAATAATTTAAATTATTGAAATGCTGCCACCTTTTAACTCTTTAAAGGTACAGTGTGCAGTATTTAGAAGCACTTCGCAGAACAGACTTGGTAGAAATCAATTAATGTTAAATTGCTTAAACGTAAAAATTGATGAACTTAGAATAAGTATTTTGTATTAACATAAGGAGTTTCAATTTAGAAATTAAATGCAACACATAATATTTTATTTAAGACAGAAATGGTAAATAAACTGTATTTATGCAAGTGGGCACGGCAACTTCATACTACCCTGACGAAATAAAGTGCATAAACTGGTCATATCTGTCAATCAAATCTGGCTCCACCCCTGCTGTTGTGGCATATATGCTGTCATAAATGCAATAATGTTGCCTCGAAAAATATACATCCTATGTTATCTTCTCTTTGCTGTCAGGTTTGCTCTGAGTGAAATGAAGGCAGACAGTATTCCTGAAGGCATTTTACTGAAACTGATGTCAGCATGTCCATGAAAAAAAAACTCTCTGAGCCGCTAACAGTCAGCAGTACTGTATGTGATTAACCTAATTATGCATGGTAGTCTAAATTGAAATGCACTGTAAATTCAGGCATTAACGTCTAGACTGAGCCCAGCATGTAATCAAGTTGATTTATGTCGCTGCAACATCACAGCACAACTGAGAGCTCTCATTAATGAAGTACTGTTTATCGTCTGCATCCCCCGTTTTTCCTTTTGTCATCATTCCCCTCTGATGCTGCAGATTCAAGTCCTCCTCCTCTTCCTCCTCCTCCTCCTCCTCCTCCTCTGCTGGGTGGACCTCCTCTCCCTGGAGGGGGCCTTCATACGGATGCTCTCATCGCAAAGTGTCAGCCGCAGCACAAACCAGCAGACAGGACAAACAAGATTTCTCCCAAAGCCCTCACCACCCTGCCTCCATTTGTGCTCTGTCTGGCCCTGACTGCTCAGGAAAAGCCTAACTGATGTTATCAGCCGAGCCTTCTGGGGGCGCAGAAAACCTATTAGAGGTCTGAAAGTTTCCAATACCAAATTCAGAAATCAGATATGGAGGTGGAAATATGAGGTGAGGCAGGGAACTGCTGACCTGAGGGTAGGTAAGGTTGAAAGCATTATGGGCAGGTACAGAGGCCCTGAAGGTCGAGTGCAAAAACATTTCATTAAACACAAAAAATACTGAACTAAACTGCAAAAAACATATAAAGTAACACAAAATTTTTGACTTATGGTGAGACTGACTCATTTACCAAACATTAGTTAACATAAAACATTCATAAAGTGCAAAATGTTTTTAATGAAACAAAAAAAAACAAACTTAGAAAATATTAAAGTTTGTGATTTGTGAAAAAAAAAACTCGAAAAGAATGATTTAAAGCAAGTTATTGGTTTTCAAAAATTTTTGTTTCTTTTTGTGAATTTTTTGTTTGATGTTTTATTGTACTTTAGTGAAAGGTTTTTGAGGGATTTATTTTACAGGTTACATGAAATATTTTTATGTCTGATTTTTTTTTTTTTGTTGTTCCTTGAAAAAAAATTGCAATTGTGAAACACATTTGTATTTATTGACATGGATTTTGTTTTGTAAATTTTATATACTTTTCGGAATATTTTATTTACATTCCTTGGAATATTTTAAAATTTTATGAAATATTTTGTACATTTAATATTTTTCTGCAAAAATAAAATATTTTTAAATGTCATAAATGTCATTTTTCCAATTTTTTCAACTGTTTTATTTATTTATTGTATTTTTTATTTATTTATTGAAATTTTTTTTTTGGTGTACCGTATTATATCTTTGCGTACATTAAGTCTGATTCATAAAAATCTCCAAACTGGAACTTTAAAAGTTTTTTCATTGATTTAAATATTGTTGCTTTTTGTGAATTTCTTTTTGGCATTCATTGAAATAACTTTGTGGACCAGAAATGTTCATGAAGTTGACCTCCAGGGGACCATCATTCATCAGAGGGGACAGTGAGCAATAAAAATGAAACCCACTCTTAACTAAATCAAACAAAACAAACTCAGGATAATAAAACAAAATAAAACAGTTATTATGAATCTAAGCGCTCACGTGTTGCTCTGATTTCCCTAAATCTCACTTTTTATACAGTATAAGACAAAACTGTATCTTCCCAACAAGTCACATTATTTGTTTTCCAACCTTCAAAAGTTCCTTTAACAAAACAATGAATTCAACAACCGACAAACCACATAAACTTGACACAACCTCTGAAGCAGTACGAACATATTTCCTCTTTTATTTACATTCCTTTTCAAATGTTAACATTTTTCGCTATAACTTTTGATCAGGTTGGCATTTGTTCTCATTAAAATAAATTGGCACAAGTAAAACATATGTAGACAAAAGTTTATTTACACCATACAACATTTTGTTTTTAAATATTTTATACAGAGCTGCAGATGAGAGAGCTTGCTGGGATCCTTCAAGCAGATTCTGCAGTATTAAAGTTGTGAAATATATTATTTATATAAAAGTGAGTATTATCTTTATTGCATTTAAAGCAATGAAGAATGTAGCTTGACAAACATTCATTTTAATATGACAGAAAAAATCCTCTTTGCCTCCCATGTTTTATATTATAAAGTAAAAAGTGTAGTAATGGCCAAACAGACTGTTATAAACTTTTTAAAAACCTGCATAAATATATACATTGTGCTCCCGGGTCTAGTTTTAGAAATTAAAACTAGACCCAATGAAGCTGGGACCACATGGTATGTCGTTTGCTTTGTGAGGTTTCATCTAGAGAGATTACCTTTTTTAGCCAATTCCTCAACGGATAAATTTGAAACACATGATGGTAAATATTGTACACCAGGCTGCCCCACACTAAGTACACTAGTGAGAATACAAAAAGTAACACTGATGTTTTTTTCCCTTTTTTTTCTTTTTTCCTCTCTCCTCAGTCCTTATATTGTATTGGCACATAATGTCCCTGCCACACTCGTATGATCCAGATATGTATGCCAAGGCTGTTAGAAAAGTCTGTTGCTTTATTCAGTGCAAAATACATCCCTTTCTCCTCCTTTTTTCCTAGTTTGCATTTTCTCCTTCCGTCACCCTCTAGACCTCCGTTTGGAAGTCGCCCTCCTGGACGTCTAAGGGTAGGTTGACACACTTTTCCCACTCTGCAGGCGTCATCTCCAGTGAGTCCTTGGTGTCAGATTCTAGTACATTCATAGTGGCGTAATTCTGGTACTCACAGGCTGGATTGTAGCTCTCCCATGGGTTCTTGTTTGGCATTGCCTTGTCCTGTAAACACGGCCAGTGGGGTGCGATATTAGTGCCATGACATCCTCTGAAACTAAACTGTAATTTCTTCACAAAGTCACTTTATTCAGAAGGGCATTAATATGAATTCCTACCCATTGCTAATTGAAAATAATGGATTAATGCTGTGGAAAGCATCAAATAACAAAAGATAATGGTTGTGTATTAAATGTGACCATGCTCGCACTATTATCATGGAGTCTTGGCAGAATTACGTCGTCCCTGAGCTCAAAAACGGGTGCTCTATAAGGGCTTCATGTGTGAGCCATTCATCTGAATGCGCTCTCATTGACAGCCACACAAACACTACAGCAAATCAGGGAGAGAAGCTGCTCCCATTCAGGGAATATAAAATGGATACTAATGTCTGCAGCCAGCTCTGCAGAAGATTCATTTAAAAAAAAAAAAGAAAAAAGGAAAAAAGGGGGCGGGTGAGAGTGGGAACGTACTCTAGTTATCTCTTTCTATACAAAGGAACTTGCTCCGGTAACTAAGCAACGAGCCTCAAATTACATTGTGCTGTAGGGGTGATTGAAATGTGAGTGAAAGAGGATTACATGCAGCCAAAAGCCTGCTGCCTGGCTGACATTGTCTAATAGTCTGGCTGTGTTTGGTCACCAGCCCGATTTCTATTTGCTGCATTCAGTACAGGAAACAGCCCTGCTTGTCTGGGAGAGCTTGACATGCCCATTGTCAACAGCTCCAGTCAGGTGTGGAGACAGGCGCCGGGACTTTTGCGGTCAAAAAAGATTTCCCATCATTCGCTCGACTTCTACATCCAAGGTGACGATAAAAAAAAAAGAAAGAAGTAAAAAAAAAAGGAAAAAGCCCCCCTCACCCACACAATAAGAGAATAGCAAACTTAAGGTAATACTTGTGGAGAGATTAAATCATCTGCCATGCATTAATGGAAAAAATGATGGGGTTGCTAAGTAATTAAATGTGCATGTAAATAAAAGTGCATTCATGGCCTTGCATTGGAATGGCTGCACTCTACTGCAAAAAATAAAAGGTCTTTCTTTCTTCCCTCAGACTGGCCTTGTGGAGAAAATGCTTTTAAAGGGGCAGCCCCCTCGATCGCCCCCCCGCCAGCTGGTTTCGCTGGCAGGGATCACTTTATAACTCGAGCACTTTCAGCTACATAACTCCTCATTTGCACAATCACACATTTTGTGTCCTGCACTGGAAATCTAAAATCGGGTACCTGGATGTGGCTCTCTCTTCAATTGCCTGACCGCCACCACCCCTCCCCTGGTTTCCTGTTACTCACCATGCTGCCCATATTTGGTATGTCTCGAAATCGGTCCAGGGTTTGAAATTTCTGATTCAGTTCCTGGAACAGCTCCATGTGTCTTTTCCTGGTGTGCATGACTTTCTGCAATGGCAAGGGTTTTTGCTTTGGTATTGACAGCCAATAATGGAAATGCATCTTCTTCTCCACCCCCATCCAACTCTGATCAATCCGTTAGTGTCATGATAGTTACTTATAGGCCAGGTTGGAAACAGATCTACTTGTGTCTGCATATATACAAGTGATCGCCAAAATAAAGGAAACACCAAGACAAGAGAAGTTGGTGTGATATGACTGCTGTTTTCATCTGGAGTATCTAAATTAAACATGATTCTTCAGCGACAAATTGCCTCTTTTTAGAGTTTTGTTGGCGTAAGGGAAACTCTTACAATCAAGCCTTGGCACAAATGTTCCGTTTTAAGGGTTTGTGCGTTAAAACAAAGTGCATCCCACGCCATAAAAGCTGCCAGAAGCTTCCTGTTTCCTTTACTTTGAGAGTGTGCACGATATATATATATGCAGCAAAGCCTGATTTAACAATGCAAAGGAAAAGCTGGAACCTGCCAAAGGGGGATTCAAAAAGTGTTTGCAAGCCAATATGATCATTGTTGAAACACGTGGTAAAATCAGACGTGGAATGTGCAAATGACTTTAAAAGCATACACTTTGAAAATCAACGTATAGCTAATGGATGAAGGAGATGGAGGACAAAATGTAGATGAGGACTGTTGCCCTGTTTGTCAGTTGACAGCCTTGCTTTTATCTTAACTACACAGCGTGTCAATAAATCGTGTCCAGTCAAGGCTGTGTAACTCCAATAAGCTTAAGAGGCACAACAAGTACTAATAAATCAAATGACAAACACAACTGCGAAAAATGGCTTTTCTCTGCATAAAAAAAGCTCGATGCATGTTCTGAGATAAGAAATCTTCCGTTTACGTACCTCAAAGTCCAGATCAGAATATCGTGACTTTCGTCTCTGTGAAAGCAAAAAACAATCATTAAGTCATTAAAGGGGAAGTGCTGTTATAAATGTGTCTATTTTGTAGTTTGCACTGATATTCTCATAAGCAGGTGTACCTCTAAGGAGCTCATCGATATTGTAGACCCTGTCTCGCTCCGAGAAAGCCCGGCACTTTCCTCCATCTCAGCGAGGAAGTTCTTTACGGCCGTGCGTGGTTCAAAGGGCAGGTTTTGCATCTGCTCCGGAGCGCTAGGATACTGCTGCTCCAGGTTCACATTCATGTGGTCCAAGCCTGACGGGCTGATATTGAAGTCAGGACTCATCTTGTAATGCATCAGCCTCTCGTGCGGCAGCGTATCCATAGTGATGTTCATCTTGGTGTCCTCTTTCAGCAGGGTGGGCACATTACACGGCCCTGACACCCCTGCTGCAGAGGCACGAGGCATGACTATGTAGTCTGTCTCCATCATCTGGCCCTGCACCGGGTGGCCCTCCATGTCATGGCCGCCCATGTCATGGTCGCTCTGGCGCATGGCGTCATCGGTGCACAGATAAACAGTGCGGCGCAAGTCGGCGCTGTCAGCCGTGCACTGCTCCTTTAGATCACCCACTCCCATCGGCATGTGCAGAGCTGACGGCTGCTGGATGATCACTTTGGAGATGATGTTGCCTGGCAACGTGGAGTAGTTGAGGCCTTCAGCGGCCTTCTCGTCCTCCTCATCATTGAGGGAAATGCGGGAGAGGGTGCCTGTGATGGTGGCGGCGCGACAAGAGCCCATGTCTTTGTGGAGAGCTGAGGGGCAGATTGATATGGGGATTAGTTGGAATTTCTCAGAAATGAAAGAAGTGCCACAGATTATCAAACATATGACCAGAGAGAAAAGGAATTCAAATCAATAAGAAGCCATTCTCAAAGGATTTGAGGGAAATTAGTGCTGATGGGAGCTGTGATCAGTATTGAGAGTGACAATGCAAAGGCACACAACAGCAGAAACGGGTACCTCCAGAGGATTCAAAGGGGGGTTGTTGCGCTTATTTCCTTCTGACAGCTTTGTTAGCAGCTTCACATGACTGTCAGCTTCAAAAATTATTTACTCAGAGTCTGAAAACCTTCATTTCAACAACTATTGCTTTGGAAAAGGTGTTTGTTATGCTTTTTTCAGGTTATACAAACTAATATTAAGATAAATCTGTGAATCTTGATTCAAAATTTTAAACTGTGAAGTCT